TTTCAGAGACTCAACTGCTCACTTTTGCACAGAGGTATCGAGCCAGTTTCATCCAGACGCATAAGAGGTAGTCATAACTGTCGGTGGGCTGCTAAGGCCGTCGACATCCGTTGTCGTGTCGAGCAACGCCGTGTAAAAGTCGAGTTCTCCCACGGAAAGGAAGGTAGTCGGCACCCCGGTTGCCACGCCTGGTAAGGAATCGAAATCTTGTCGCGTCAATCAGAAGCACCGCACTTACCGACGGTATACTCGATATCCAAGTCGGCTTCCCCACCGGCATCGTTCACACCCTGCGGGTTGGTACCCCCTGCGGTGTTCTGGACAGCGAATGTCGTCGAGGATGAGATGTCAGGACGGTTGGTTTTCAAAAACGCCTGGGTCACATCCTGAGCGCAAGATAATGATGGCAAATGGTCGAGACCGCACCTTCAGATCGCCTTGCGGGCATACTCGAAAGAGTATCCGGTGACCAACAGCGAGTTGTTCTTCGAGGTGGCGCGAGTTGCGGGGATGCCGTAGATCTTGCAGACAGTGGGAGTGATGATGCCGCTCGGGACAGTCGTTGTCGCACGAGCTGGCAACGGCCCGCTTATCCGCTGCACACCGCTCAGTTCGATCGGCGACGGAGCAAGTCGGATGCGGGCTCGGCAAATGAGGTGGACGGGGGGTTCACATCCACGATGCCCACAATCTCGGCAGGCAGGGAGACAGACATGTGTGCGCGCGATCTGAGTGTCCAGCTTTGCATGGGAAAAGCTCGAAGTTGGCATCGAACAATTCATTGGCGCGCGAGACGGGAAGAGTGATCGAGAACCAGTCGCCGTTAGGAGAGATGCTGCTTGTGTTCAATCCGTTGGCGGAGGCAAAAGCCTGGAAAGCCGCCACGGTCTCAGCCGAAGGCTCCATGTAAGTCTTGATCTGCAGCATAGTCAACATCTCAATTGCATACTACGAAAGCGACCGATGCGAACCTCTTCCATCGACAACCACTGGCGAAGTTCGCGTTCCCAGGCGTCGAGACCTCCTGCAGCTTGGTCTGCAGCCCAGCAGCATCAGTGTGCGCGAGACCGAAGCGCAGCGTCAGTTGATCGTTGACGGGCGCGGCCCAGGTTAACGAAGCCCGAGGGGACTACGTCCGCGTGTGCAGCACCGTTAGGCCCTTCGCAGCTGCGACCGCCACCGCGGCAAGAACGGTCAGAGATTTGCTGAATGCCATCTTGTCTTCGGAGAGGCCCAAAGTGAGCTGTCGAAAGCGATTGCCGTGGTCTGCTTTTATGTCGCGTTCTTTCTTTGCGACGGCGCGCCGTCTTGGCAGAAGGGCATGCGGCGAGAAGGACGATGATGAGAGCATATCGTGCATCTAATGTCGAGCATGCTGTTATCTTCCAACGCTCCTATCTCAAGTCGCGAAATAGTTCCGACTCCGTCCCCGCGCGAGTCCCGTCCAATCTAGAGTTTTGGCGAGGATGCCTCGACAGATCCGTCCGTCTGTGCCCGCGCGAGTCGGAATCAGATGAGGGTCTCGTAGGCCAGTACTTGGCCGACACGGGGATTGGACGCCGCTCGAAGAGATGGGGGCATATGCGCAAGAAGTCGTCGGCGGGACTGGGTGTAATAATCACCACTGTTCTCATGGTGCGAGTATCAGAGATACGCACATGTCACCTTCAGGACGCGACGGCTAGCAGATCTCGAGAGCACGAGAACAGCCCGAAATCTTGCTTCTTCCCGGGATGATTCAAAATGGTGCAAGTTACTCGTGAGTTGTTCAGTCTGATGCGACGGACGTAGTGACGCAACAGAGACAGCCGCCGGTCCGGTTGTCTCCGTGAGATTTCACGATCCGTGTCAAATGGTGCACTCAGTCGCGTGTGAGGTGTAAAATGGCTGTTCGCGCGCAACTCAAAGGAGCAATGCGAGACCCACTTGGCCAATATATCGTACAGAAGCCTTCTCACTGTAACAGAGCATTGGAGTGGTGGTGCTTTTGATACACAAACTGATAGAAGCATCATCGTTTCTGCAGTTCTTCCCGACGCTTCATCTCTAATTTCGCCTCATCTGCGACCTCTTGCGCCGCGACGTTGGCCCAGGCCTCTATTCCGCCCTTGTCGTAAGCCGCTGCCAACCGATCCTGCGCTTCATCCCAGGTCCACGGGGACCTCTCATCACCACCGGCCGCTGGATCTGGTTCTTCGCTCGAGGAACCAAACTGAAGAGCGTTGCGCATCTTTTCAGCCAGGTTGGGCATCCTGTTCATGACGCCCAGCCGGAATTCGGCGCTCAGATCATCCATCTGCAGGTAACCAGGCCATTTTGAGCGAATGAAGCCAAAACGGCAGTGGGAAAGCGCACGTTATCCACACCCAGATACTCCCTCAAGCCCCAAATCCCTCCAAAGGCCAGTGTTCCGACAATGGCCGTCGCGATGCCGAATGCGCGTACCGTATGGAGCGCAGGGTTGAACTTGTCGTTAGGATCAAGTTTTGTTGGGGGGACGCCCCAATTGTCGTCGTCGTCCCAGTCCTTCGGAGATGCATAGGATGTGGAAGGAAGATCAGCATTCGTTGATGCAAGCGGGACGTCGGGATGGCGAACGCAAAACGAGCGGGTGCGTCGGTTTTTAGGCTGGAGTGGGTGAGTGCTATCGGAATGGACCCAAAGGCCGTGCGACGCGGAGGTGCATCAAGGGAATTGAGAGGAAGTCGCGTGTGTCGCTTCATGCGCCAGACCAGTGCTGCTGGGGCTACGACGAGGATGGTGCCTACTCCAAACTGCGTATATAAGACAACTGACGCAAGGAAAAGCTCCGTAAGGTCCTACCAATGTGATTGGGAGCCATTTTGAACGAGGTTTGGGCTCCTCGGGTTGGTCATCGTGCGGCATGAAGGAGGTGACTACATCGCGGAAAGTGTCAACAACAACAAACTCGTCCTACGGGCTGGATATGGTATTCATCTCAGGAAATGCTAGGGCTAGTAGAGAAACACGTGGTAGAATGCGAAGTGCGAACGGTAGTGGACATTCAAGCGGGCCGATGGTTTGGAAGGGGAACTGTCTTGCGGACGCCGCCTCCTAGTCGCTTGTCGATCCAATCATTGGACTTGCGGACAATCTAGACAGAATTATGTATACCAAGAAGCATCGCCGCGATAGAAACACACCTCTACCGAATTCTCTATCTGAAGAGAGTCGTCCGGGTCCTCGGCAGGGGCAGTTCGAGGGTGCTTCATAGTGCGTGTCAAGACCTTGAGCTTCTTTTCCAGTAACGCCAGCTGCAGGAGCAGTTGAGTCATGCCATCGAGAAGAATCAAGACACCCGTACCCTTTTGTCCCGCCTTGTAAGCTTGCCCTGCAGCTTCTCGACTTCTTCCTCCTTGGCTCTCACTCCAGCCACCTGCGTCTGAACCGCCTGCTGCAGACGAGCATTCTCAGCTCGTTCCCTCGATAGAACCGCAGTAGCTTGCGTCCTTTCTTGTACCGCAACCTGCCAGTCGCTTCTTGCAGCGGCGACCGATTGCCGAAGGAGTGGTACCTCAGCAGCTTTGGTTTCCTGCTCTTGCAAGCGACGTCTGAGCTCCACCATCTCCTCTGCTTGTTCTATGCACCGGTTCTTCATCAGCTCCAGCTCCGATGCCAAAGGTGCAAGTCGCTCATCCAGTTCCTTGCGGCGGTGAGCAATTCTTGCTAGGGAGTGTCAGATACAGTGCTCGATACGCCCAACGAGAGGCTCACGACATATCCCTCGTCGATTTGATCTTCCGGAATTGACGCAACCACCCTTTCGATCTTCTTTCCGCCCTTCTGAATGGTCATAGCCATCGATTGCGGTCCAATCATGTCGAGGCTTTGCGTCACCGACTGTGCCTCGTTTGTCGTCTCTGCCATGGTGAAGAAACCTTGAACCGCTGTCCATCTCCTTTCGTTTCACGGCAGACAGCACAGGTGGATTTCGTGGCAGGATGCTCAGCGCAGGAGACGCAAAGCCCGTGCCCTGTGACCGTGTCAGGCCGTTACCGGGACCGAGCGGGGGGGTTAAGGAGACGTACCACACGTCAGAAAGCGGAACTCTGAAATCGTGAAGTCGTCAAGGCAGACGGCACACCTTACTTTGCCGCCCATTACAGTAGAGAGGGCTAATGAGCGCGTGAGGTCAGACTTGGCTTTCGTCAAGCGCGAACGTGACAATGACATTGACGCGGTCTGTCACGTTATCACGTGTTGTTCAAACAATGCAAATTTCGCAAGTCCTTTGTTCACCAAATCCTCAATTCTTGTTTCTGTTCGCGCTTTCAACACTCTCACTCCGGATTTAAGAACGAATTGCATTACATATGGATCGTACGGTGGCGCACAATGCTGAGGCACAAGCCGAAGAGGGCGAACGGTTGAAGAACCTGGTATGTTGAATCCGTCCTACAAACGGTGTGGTGTGGCTGATCGATTTCCCCAGGGAAATGATCTTTTCAGACAGGGAAAGTACGCGGAGGCTGCCAAGATGTACAACGAAGCCATAGAAGTGAACGGAACTCAAACTCTCTACATGTCTAACCTTGCTGCGACCTACCTCAAGCTCGAAGAGTGAGTGGCAAGACTCGTGCAGTAGTCAGGAAATATATCTCATTGACAAACAAAAGCTTTGATATGGCTGAACGTGCTGCGTCGACCGCTCTCCTTTCCGATCCAAAAATGGTGAAGGCTCGCTTTCGTCGTGCCATGGCACGCAAAGGCGCGAGCAAACTTTTGGCGGCGAAGATTGGTGTGTTAAAAACCTCTGACAGAAGACTTCGCTCAATGAAACCTCCAGACTTGGACACCGTGCTCGAACTCCAACCCTCGTGTTTTGAAGCTGCCTTGGAGATTGACATCTTGATCGACATGCGAGACTCGGGTGTCCCCGACTTGACTAATATCTGGGAAGATGCCGAGGTCCCCTTGCCTAGTGATGAGCCCTGTCCTATCATTTCGTCAGATCTCGCCAAGGAGCTTCGTGCGTTGAAAGCAGAACGAGATGACGAGGAGGCAGAAAGGCTTGCGCATGTCGGGAACGGGATTCCATGCAAGCACCATAATCTCAAGCTTCTCGGTTGTGCAAAGGGTGCCGGATGCCCTTACTCTCATGCGCCAGATGAAAGGAGCATCGCCGATTCTGAGTGCGTGGATCCAGTTTGAATTCCTCCAGAGCACTGATTTTGCAGGGGCCGCAACGTCTGTCTGTATTTTCTCATGGGATCCTGCAAATTCGGGGAGGGATGTCTCTATCTTCACTCCAAGGCGAACTTGCCTCATTTAAAGGATCAGGAGGACTTCCCACCAGGCCTTGTCCGCCGGCTGATCTCTGTCAATGAACAGGGCATCGCTGAGCAACGGCTGTTCTCCAACTTCATGGGAGTGGGACCAACTGCTCTGGGTCAGGAGAAGAGCCGCACTGGAAAAGTCGAGCAGCTCTCTCGATCCTCGAAGCCATTTGTCATGCACCTCACCCTCAACAAATCCACGCAACTGCCCATCAAAACCATGGAGGCTTTGAGGAAGAAAGTCGAGGTCGCACGAGCCAGCACCAAAGCTAAGGCCAGAGACTTCCTCGTTCTGCCCAGCATCAAAGGTGTCTTCATTACGGATGCCCCAATCGTCACTCCGAACAACAGTGGCTTGCTGGTGCGACTGGTGTCGTATGTGGAGAACGGGGGAACGGTCGTCATTGGCGGTTCATTCAAGATGTTTTCCAAGAACTCGATGGAGGATATTCGTCGTCCGTCGCTGAACAAGTTCTTCGATGAAGCCTGGGGACTGCCATGGAAGCTCTCCGCTATGGCTGGTACCGAGAACCAGAAATTAGTTCTGAATGGAAGCCACGAGTTGGCATCTGGTTTGCCAAAAACCTCTCGTTGACCGGCGGCATGTGGTTGACAGGCGTCGCGGCCCATGAAGCGCTTTACGTCGAACAAAGCTCCGGTCAACGAGCGGCTGCGGCCATAGCTCAAGTCGGCAGCGGGCGCTTCGGATTTATCTGTGAAGGAGCAGAGAATGGGCTTGGAGCTGGCGCGATTGTCATTGCCATGCTGGGGCTCTAGAGGATCAGGATGTCGGAGAATGTAAGGTACAATAATATATGATAATCCTACCGTGTATATCTAGCTAGTGACAGTACCGTAAAACGAGGTTTTGGATCTAAGACTCGCATCAGGACTTTTCGCCGTTCCTTTGTCTCGAAAACGGTCGCGTGGTCGAGATTGGGGAACCAGATCACTTGCAGAGTCTCATCGCTGTTTGCCCATCGTTCCGAGGGACCAGCGTTGGAGACCCAATCATCTGAACCGTCGGATAGATACTCTCTGATAGCAGCGCTGGGTATGATCTGGTCCGCACCACCTATCACAACGGAAACTTGGCGGCGAGAGCTGCCCTCGCCGATGAATCGCTCCAGATCCTCGCGCCATAGACAACCCTCCTCCCAGAAGAATCCCCGCCTCAGCATTCTTGTCACGTCGGCATCGCTGCTGGCGAAGTACCATAGCTGCCATTCGTTTGCCCGCCGAGGAGAGCGGTAGAGGAAGTTGTAGGTGACTGTTGGAAGGTGCAAGAGAATCGGGATCGGATCGATCAGGACGAGCGAAACCACTTTGTCATTGAGGTCCTTGCATGGATCATCGACAGGGCCATCTTCGGCTGGCTCGGCCACGATGTACGCAGCGAGAAACGTCCCGTACGAATGGGCAGCGAGAACGACCTGCCTCAGTTCGAGGCTATCAAGGATGTCGTTCATCGCTTCTACGGTACATTGACGAGACGCCATAGGACCAGTAATGCGCATACTGACAGGCAGAAATTCTACAAGGAGGATGTCTCGGGACGGGTCCGCTTTGACGATCTCTCGTAGCATTGGAAGGTATGGGTGCAGCCCGATCTATCATACTGTTCAGCGTGCGCCATGCCATAAGAGGACGTACATACACCAATTCCATGCAAAAAAACGAACGATTCGCGCTTGTGACTGAGTCGCCCGGGGCGGAACCAATATGAATAGTGAGGTGTGACCCCAGGCCTAGAGAACATCCATAACAAGATCCGAGGGGGGAAGACGAAGTGTTGGGGCGAGAAGGGGCATAGTGCTTGAATCCCAGACTGAGAAGGATGAGTGATGTACTGGTATCCACGAGCGCCACGATCTAAGCACCAGCATTAGATCCAAGGTGCTGAATCTTCAGACTCGTACTCGCCATATACCACACCAACGGTCGATAAGCAAACTCAACCTCGTCAAACGAGAGTCGTATGCTCTTCACAGGCCCTCTCCCTTCAGCAAGCTTCCTACCCAGCACCTGTTCAATCAGATCCAGATACTCCTCGATCTCCCCGTCCCACTCGGGCGACGCATGTTCCAGGGTCGAGGAGAACAGCGCCCACAACAGCCACTCCCGGACATTCTCCCGCCGGATGTCGTCATGCGAGGGAACGAACCACTCCACAACCGCTCCGCCGTCATTGTGGCGGCGCATTTCGCGAACAGCACTTGGCGCTGCGCGCGGCTCCGCGGGGGAACGCGCGGGGGCGATGGCTGGGGTTCAAGTCAATCTTGCCCCCAAAGTGGTGCTGAATAGCGGAGACCTTGGTCAACTGTCTCCGTCGGGCGAGGAAGATCGCGTAGAACACGCTCTCGCATGATGCGATGAAGAGCAGCGCCGGAGAGACGAGAACATGGCCTGTCGCGAGGCAGGCGGCGAGGAAACAGATACTGAGTGGTGCAACGAGGCGGAGCGCAGCGATGCAGACAACTATGAAGCAGTACTCTGCACGACTAGTACCGATCATGGCCCAGGAGAAAAGGAGGGGTAATCACGTGTAAGAGGCGCTCCAGCTCAATTGATGGACGATTTGGTTCACAATAACCACCGCATTCGGCGTACATACTTACAAGCACATTTATCTAGTGTGGTCCAAGTCGACATTCTGGGAGATGATAAAGCTGCTACACTCGATCTCTCCAACTTTCATCCCGGGAATCTTGCAGCAAGAACTCGTACCAAAACACGGCAATAGGGGCTGTGGCCAGATGCCACAGCGAATGCGCATCGATGATCCGCAGGAATGGCGCAAAGTCAAATAGCTCCAGCGTGGTTGCCGCCGTTGTGCACAGCACCAGCACTCCGACTCGTGTCGCAAAGTCCGGTCGGTAGGTCTTCGGTCGCGACGAGAATCGTCGCACCGTGGACAGGGATGAGGGAAACGCGTACAGGAGCCATAGGATGTTATGTGCGAGACCGATGACGGTGTTAAAGACGATGTTGTAGGTGTAGTCGAATCGGGGGAGGAGAGTCAAGTACGAAACGTGTCCCACATATGCAAGGAGGCAGAGGGCCGACCAAAATTTGTACGCTGGGCTTCTTGGAGTGGCCGTATCAGGCGTCGAGAGTGTAAGCTTCCCTCGACGCTGGGTCGGATACAGATGGAACAGCCGCACAACGGTGTAATACAACGCGTACGTGATCGTCAGCGCCGCGGAGAAGTAATCCAGCCTTTCCGTCGTGGAATTGTCTGGAGTGCATCAGCACGGAAACCGAGCCAAAGCCGAGAGCCCCCAACCTCGTGTGTGGAACACCGCAGACCAGACCCAGGCGTTGATCCCCGTCACAGCCCAGGCGAGGTAGTACGGCTTCATCGGATGGGTCTCAGGGATTTGGCGTCTGAGCTTCGCGAGCCCGCGCGCGTGGGCCCAGAGATTGAGCAGCGAGAATAGCACGGACGCCGGCTCCTGGACCCCAAACAGCCTCCAAAACGGCCATTTGCCGTAGTACTGGTGCACGCGGTCGCCGAGACGGATATCGCGCGTCGCAATGTCTTGCATACACGAGTACTTGCAGTTGTCGTCGCATGTCCAACGCGTCAGGCGCAGAGGAAGCGAAAGGGGGTGCGAGTGCCCCGAGGCACAACGGGATGCGTTACAACGCGACACGCAGTTCGTGAATTCGGGCGCTCGATCGCCTGACGACGCAGATACGAGGCCTGCGACAGCGAAAAGCAGAATCCAGCACTGACAGGTTCGCATTCCCGCGGCAGAACGCGATTGAGGAGTGGAAGGGAAGAAACTGTGATGATCATTGACAGCCCGTGTTTTCCCACGTTCAATACCTCCACCCTCCGTTGTTCTTGGAAACTGCGAATGCCCCCAACACCGGACTTCTACTGTCGCTATTGAATATGGCGAATGATATCGAACTTTCTCTGCTGAGTGCCAAACATGAAGACGGCGAGGATGAGTTCTTCGATGGGTCGAAGAGAGCGGAATACGAGCCTTCCCAAAATGGAGAATCCGACTCGGACGAAGAGGACCTCGTAGTGGATGATGGGAGCCGGGCTCTTCTCCGAGGACATACTACCTCAGAAACAAAAGAGAACGTGCAAAATGACCGGTTATGGCCTCAAATCAGAGGAATAGTCATCGAGGTGTGTGGAATCGTGGCGCATGCCTTCCTAGCTGACATCCCCTCAAGGGCGCTTCTACGCTGCTTTTCACCACTGTAGGGCTTTTATTCACCGGGAACTGCTCGACCATGTCTCGGTGCGCGTCAACCGCTACCGGTGCACCCGACGATGCTCACCCGCCTGCTAGCACTGGCACGCCATGCTGGAGGTCGACCAACTGATCATGATCATCCCAGTCGTCCTCAACCTCAAGGGAAATCTCGAGATGAATCTCTCCGCGCGCCTCGGCACGGCGGCCAACGTGGGAGAGCTGGATGAACCGCAGGCCCGGCGCGAAATTATCGTCGGCAACCTCGCTCTTCTGCAGGTCCAGGCGGCGGTCGTATCGTTCATCGCTGCGGGTGTGTCACTTGTGCTGGGCATCATCATCCCTCCTGCGGGAGCGGAAGTTTCTGTCCAGACACGGAATCAGAGCACCCGGACATCTGGTCTGCCAACGTTCGTTCGCTTTTCTCTCATCCGACGACAAAGACTCAGTCGTCATAGATTCGTTATGGTCGCATGCTGTGCTATGGGGGCGGCATCGTTATCGAGCATGATCTTGGGGTCATTTATGTGCTCACTGGTCGTTGGGTGCAGATATCTTGGACTGGATCCAGGTGTGTGTGGATGCCAACCGGTGAAACCTCACGACACCGAACTGATCTCTGAATCAGATAACATCGCGCCGCCCATCGCATCCTGTCTCGGAGATCTGGTCACCCTCCTGCTCCTCGGTGCTGTTGCAACGACATTGATCTACGTCATGCACACACCCATTCCGTTCGTCGTCGCCATCATCGTCGCCTTGTTCGCCATCTCGTGTGGGTTCTACGTCCGCCGGAACTCGCATGTTGCCCCGCTGCTGACCCAGGCTGGTCGCCTCTCTTTGGAGCGATGATCATCAGCAGCGGCACCGGCATCGTGCTGGACATGTTCGTTACCCGGTATGAAGGTTTTGCACTACTCGCAGTTGTCATCAGCGGTCTGCCCGGCGCTGTCGGCTCGATCTTCGCCTCGCGTCTCTCTACCAGTTTGCACGCCGCTGCATACTCGCTTGCTCCCCCGGCAACCGCGGGCCCAGGCCCCACAAGACGAGAACCGTCGACGAAGGTCGTGATGCTCGTCCTGCTCCTTGTCACGATCCCTGTGGAGATGATCTTCCTCGGGATCTTGGCCGGACTGAATTGGCTACGACCGCCGGTTATGTTTGTCGGGTTCTCAATCGTGTTTTTCTGCACTGCTGTGAGTGCATTATTCTCCTACTGCTGTCATCATTTCACTAATGTCCAACAGGTGGCATCCTCTCTGCTCATCGCACGGTGGCTGGTCAACTTTTTGTGGGCGCGCAAACTCGATCCGGACATGTACGCTCTGCCGGTGCACTCGGCTCTGATGGACCTCATCGGGCAGCTGCTTCTTGTGCTCTGCTACGAGATCGTGTCGCTTTTTGGCATAAAACTGAACAGCGCGAGGTAGACTGCCGCACAAAATTTGACCTTAGCATGGACGTAACATTATTTGTATCTCACCGCATTGTACAGTCACATTCATTTACCCTAGAAGCCAGTCTCTGAATATTATTCATCGAACCGATGCAGTCATATCGAAATTAGAAGTGAGTAGCGTAGCCCTCCGACCATGGCTAGGTTTGATCAGAAAGTCGGATCGTTCCGCGGCAGGACACAGTTCAAGCGGCCAATGCTGCAGCGAGCAGGCGCTTGAAATTGGGCGTGCCCATCCCACCTTCGAGCGCGTCAGTTGCCATTTTCACACCCGCAACCCAACCCAACACTCACTCAACGGGTCCCAGCCAGTCGTGGCATCGAAACCGACCGACGAGGCAGGGCAGACGGAGCCCGAGTTGTGCCCGACAGTGATATCATTGAATGCACCGGAGTTGGCATACAGGAACGGATTCAGGAACCCGAGCACGGGCTTTCCCGCAGCGATCAGGCGGTCATTGATGAGCGCAATCATGCTCGCGAATGTGGGCGACGACGCGCTCGTCCCGCCGCTCAGCGCCAAGGCCCCCTCGATGCCGATCTGGAAGTTCACGGCCTGGAGGGCGACGTCCGGGTACCCGCGGCCGGTGCGATTGAACGACGCGCTGAAGTTGGCCGGGACGGTCTTGAGGAAGGAGGCGACCTGCTTTTGCTGGTATGCTGGCGCCGGGAACATCGTGGAGAATCCTCCGCCCGTGAAGTTGACGGCCGTCTCGGGGAACCCGATGGTCCCCCCTACGGAGGTTATGAATGGACAAGTCGCGGGGAAGACCGGAGCCAGATCGGGCATGTCGCAGTCGTCCAGGCTGTCGTGGTTATTATGCACTCCACCCTGCGATAGTGAGTTGACTTTGCGGGCTCTTCTCCAGAACGAACGAGACCCACATCTCCAGAAGCAAATAAGACCGAGATACCCCGGGCACCAAGGGACATGTAAGCATTGCAAAGAGCGCTGCAGAGACCATCAGATGTAGTCCAGCGTGAAATAGAGAACCCACTCGACTACAGTAATGTCAATGACTGATTCGGTCATGCCATACGATGTCGTCATCACTGTTGGCGGATTGCTGACGCCCTGGAGATACGTTGTGGTGTCGAGCAGAGCAGTCAAAAAGTCAAATTCTCCGACAGAGAGGAATGTCACAGGCACCCCGGTGGCAAGTCCTTGCTTCACATGAGGCCTATGTGAGACGGAGGGACACGGACTGGTACTCACCAACGGTGTACTGCATGTCCAAGTTGGCTTCCTCTCCCGCCCAGCCGGCGCCCTGCGGATTTGATCCCCCATTGATGTTCTGCAGGTTAAATGTCGTCGTCGACGGGATATCCGGTCGGAGCTGTTCCAGGAACAACTGGCCCCGTCACCCATCCATCAGCGGCAGTCGAAAAATCAGACAGAGAAACCAACACACCTTCAAGTCAACTTCCTGGGCCCACTGGAAGAGGTATCCCGTCGCCAACAGCGAGTTATTCCCCGCTTGAGCCCGTTTCGTCGGGATCCCGTATATCTGCTGCAGACACGCAGGCGTCATGATGGCGTGTGGGTCGTTCGTGTCGCACGACGCCGGAACATGCGCTTTGCTCTTGTGCACTTTCTCATTCGCCTGGATGAACGGCGGCGACGCGGGCTTGGACGGGGGCTGGTCGAACGTCGTGGACGGATGGATCACGTTCACGACGCCGACGATCTCGCGCGGGAGGGACACCGACATCGTGCGCGCGATCTGGCTTTCGAGCTGCGCGTGCGAGAACAGCTGGTAGTCGGCGTCGAACAGATCGTTGGCCTGCGCGACGGGCACGGTGGCCGAGATCCAGTCGCCGTTGGGGGACACGCCGGTCGTGTTCAGTCCATGCGCCGCCGCGAACGCGTTGAAGGCCTGAACAGTGGCTTCCGAGGGCCCCATGAACGTTTTCACCTATCGCAGCAACGCAAGGGCTCAATCACCCATCCTTACGACGGGCGGAGAGAAACCGACCTCCTCCTTCGACAGCCACTGGTGGTAGTTTGCGTTCCCTGGCGTCGAGAGCTCCAGCAGCTTGGCCTGGAGACCCGCGGCGTTCTGCGGCGCCAGCCCGAATCGGAGTTGCAGTTCGTGTGTAGCAGGGGCGGGCCCTTCGCAGACGAAGCCCGATGGGACAGCCGATCTCTTCTCGTGCAGCACTTTCTCGTTCCTGGCGGCAGCCACGACCGCGAACGCGGCGAGCAGGGCCAGAGCTTTGGTGAAAGCCATCGCGTTTCGACAAAGAGAAAACGAGAGAGAGGAAGGTGTTATGGGACGGGGACCAATGGGCTAGATTTATACACGCGCCGCGCCGCTGTACGAGACAAAAGACATGTGCACCGAAATGCGGGCCTATCTGCCCGCCAGGTCCGGACCCTCGCTTGACATCTTGTCCAAATCACAGTTCTGCCATCAAATCGAGCTGGACAAGTGGAAAATCGAGGGGAGAGGCAGGCGACGAGTGAACGAGCGGTCTCTGAAAGCATGGGAGTGTCGTGAGACACGGGTGGAAATTGGACGTCGAGTGTCACAGCACACATCTCTGAGTAGCCGCCGGAGTCGACTATGAGTTGGACCATGAACGGACGCGTTACGTGCTGTTGTGATTGGCAGTGGTTCGAGTGATCGTCGATCACAATTGACGTGTAGGAACACACCGCCACCTGCAAGCCGCTTTGACCTTTCGCCTCAATGTCGGACAAAGTTCATGATCGATTTTTTCCCTCTGCATTTCTCGTCGTTTTCTTGCGCAGATGAGAACTGTTGCTCTTGTTGGGGGTCTCCTTTACGCTGCTCTCGATTGCAAAAAAAAGTCTGAACTTTGTCTGAAATCGGAGACTAGACATGTCCTCCCCCAGAGCCCACAGCAGCCCGATGTCTCCACTGGCCTATCTGACAGGCAATTCAAATAAGGAGGTGTCTCTGCTCTTGTCCACGGCTGAGGCTCTCCTAGCGCGAAGGTGCGGAAGCTGGATCGCAACTCTTCGAATGTCTGAGAAGCCCCTGCTCAGTATATATACTGGCCCGCCCCCGACTCTGATTTTTTCCTCCCTGTTCCTCCCCCTACCAAGTCCACATGTCAGATCAGAATCCATTCCCAGACTCCAGCAACAACGGCGGTACGGCGACGGCGACGGCGACGGCATTCTTCACCCCCACCACCCTAGCGTCAGTCATCCCACCGCATCCCCAGGTTCCATCTCTGCCAAGCTGACTTTCCCGCTTTTCACGCAGCCCGCTGTCCGTCGGCAGCTGGATCAACATCTTTCTCTTCACCCTCGAGCTGGTCCAAGTCTCTGCCTACTTCCGGAGCGCTGCCCGGCGCACCGACAGCGTGTTCATCGGCCTCGGGATCGTCGTGAACCTCATCGCCGACATATTCGGGACCCTCGCGTGCTGTGCCATCACCTACCTCTACACGTCGACGCATTGGGTCAGTGGCGGTCCTGGTTCCCAGGCTCGAGCCCAATCTGACTAGACCGATCGCAGGGCGAGGTGCAGTCGATCCGGAAGCAGTACTGGCCGTTTATTCCGCTGGTGCTCAGCCTCGGAGTCGTCACCGCCGTCTCGCAGTCGTTCATGATCGCGCGGCAGTGGCAAATGTGTGTGCAGTCGCAGTTCTGGAGCTTCCACCCGCTAATGATTCTCAAGGACCAAGAGCATCGCGTCTTTCCTTCCCCTATTCCTCGTCCTACTCCTCACTGTGCGCCCATCTGACCTCCCATCTCCAGCCTTTCTCGCTGACTGTGGCTTAGCTGATCGGAATCTTTGGCTATGGTTTTTCGATGATCCACAATCTCGACAACGGTGACCTTCTGCAGCGCGTTTTTGCCTAGTCAGTTGTCTCTTCGTTCTTATTGGGAATCTACTTAACAATACAAGCATGGCTCTCATCGCGTTGTCCATCGGCACCGCCCTCGTCGTGCCTCTGTCCTTCTCGCCGCTGAAACAGAGAAACAAAGCTTTCAAGTGTGTTTTCACGTCGCACTTCCTGCCCCTCCGCTGATTCACCTGCAGATTCTTCTCGATGTTGATTGAAACTGGACTCTTCTCCGCTGCCGTTACCATCACCGGCACAGTCATGGCCTTGGACAAGGACGTTCGGAAAACCATGGGTAAGCGGCGGTTGCAGCACTTGCCGTCATCTTATCTCACCAAATCTGTCTGATGCATTGCAGTTTGGGTTGGCTTCGCTTTCGTGCTCGCTCGAATCTACTCATGCACCATGCTATACTGTCTCCGCAACCGCACCGAATCCTCCATCGTCTGGACCGGGAACACATTCGAGACCGCGCACTCCGGTGCCCTCAGTGAGTAGTGACACCCCTGCATCGTCTACCGCCAACCCCAAGGCTCACGCGCTCCAGTTGCCCCGCCGAACGAGCCCTTGACCGCCTCCTTGTCCTTCGAGCACCAGAAGAAAGCGGAGAAGATGGTCATGGAGGACGCGGACGCGTTCCAGCTGACCCGGCGCCAGATCAAGCTGCACACGGGCGACTCGGACTCAGGATCCTCCAATCTCAGCCGCGACCTCAACGACGAGATCCTCGAGATGGAGTACGAGTCGACCCTCGGCCGGGACCTCGAGTCGCGGCAGTCGTTCCGGACCGCGCGGGAGCTGCAGACGCCGAGCGTGAGGTTTGTCGGCGGCGACGGGGACGAGAACGAAGAGGACGAGGACAAGGAGAACGAAGAAGAGGCTCACTATCATCAGCAGCAACCAGGTCGCAATATCACTGGGTACTGGGATGTAGAGAACGGAGCTGGATACCAGCAGGAGCGCGATGAAGACGAGTACGACGGAATGCAACACCGAGACCTGGGGCGTCTCGAAGAGCGGGATGATGGTAACGAGTCCGACACCAGCACTCCTTCCGAGTACCCGTCGAGCAATGTGGGAGAGGGTCCTCAGGCTGTGTAGTTCACTCTCGTCTTTCTTTAGTCGTCTGGACAAATGCATCGCAGAGGTCAGCTGAACAGGACGGGGCATCGAGCGTCATATTTGGGGTCAAAAATCATGAGAAACGCGCATACATCCGTATCAAAAAGAGGTTTGAGACTCAGAAGTGTGCCAAGCCCCTAGTCGCTGTCGCGCAGATCCAAGTCCTCGTGAATCTGCCTGATGGTCGACTGTCTCAAAGCAGCCAGCTGCAGGAGATCTAGTCAAAGCAGCGGAAACAAAAAGGTCATATCACGCGTACCCGTCCAATAAGAATCTATGCGCGACACGTTACACTCATCGAGCGAGGCACGCAGGACTTCACAAGGACGCACCTGAGTCGCGTCCTTCGCCTCGTTGTACCGATGCAGCAGCCGTATATGGTTCTTGACAATGGCTTCCGCGTCTGCACTCGCTCTATGTGCGTACCATGGTACGTGTCAGAAAGTGTTCGTGCCGCGATGACGAGGCGCGTACCCCAACTCGGCTTCGAGGCTCGCGATCTCGGCTTTCAGCGCGGCGCAGCGCGCTTCTTGGGCCTAAATTGACGCGTCGGCGTCAGATATATACAGAGGCAGCTGACACGGCGCACTTTGCTTGAGATTGGCGCGTACATCGCACTGGGTCACGTTCAAGATTCGTCGGACGGAACGGGTCACAGGTATCGTGACCGCGCCAGACGCACGTGCAAGATCACGAGAAAACACTCCAGTGGGGATAATGTAGGCTCGGGATAGTCTACTTACTCCTGCTCAGCAGTCATCTCCAACACATAAGCGACTGGCACTGTCAGACTACTTTGTCGATTCACGTATTCCTCAGTATTTATTCAAATTTTGTCTTAACTAATCGATACATAGCCACTGACAATAGATCCCTCGCCTTACGGGCTCCAGACAGTAACAGTAGCCGCAAACCCATTCAGATTCGATGCGTGGTTTATCACACCCGCGCTACCCACACTGAGCTGGAACACCGCCCCGACGGTCGACAGAGAGTAGACGCTGACAGAGGATGCGGAATCGATGTTCACCAGCTGGTTCTGGCAATTGACCGAGTTGAGACACGTTTGGGAGTAGCTCTGTCAAGCAGATTCAGTAATTTCTCCCAAAGAGGTGGGGAGGGGGCAAAGAGAAAGCGCACGTTGTAGAAGCTGTAGAACCCAGCGCCGAATATGAAGATATTCGACGAGCCTGACACGACGAGCGCCCAGGCCGAAGATGTGGAGGTGAAGGACGGATCGTGGAATGCGCTGTTGATCGCAAACGGTCCCGGGACGACCGGGTTCGGTTGGTAGTACGGCTTGGAAAGCAGATAATCAGTCCCTGAAGAATGGAACGACAAGCTCCGCACCGTTTCCGTTTGTATCAATCCGATGTAATGGTCCTTCGCCCCCACGAGGTTGAATTGGTAGAGCGTATGATGCTCAGCAGCAACCCCGATCATCCATACAGGGCCTGCCGACTCAGACAGAACACCGCGGCCACTGTAGAGCGACAGCTGAGAGAATCCATCACCGTCAACGTCATGGTCCGCCAACCAAACCCAAGTTCCCTGAAAAAAAAAACCGATCGTGAGCGACGAGACTCCCACATGCCATGCGCGGCGGCTCACCTCGAGGTACGCCGTCGAGCCCGTGGTCAGATGCAGCGCTAAGAACGCAGCGTAGCAATTCGAGATTCCGCCGCTACCGTTCGAAGGGCATTGAGCCAGTTCAAGCTCAGTCCCGGCGGCTGGAAAGCGGTCGCAACAGTCAGATTCTATGCTGGACGGATCAGCGACATACACGCACCTCCTCCCAACCGAATGTGCGAGTCCCACATTCCAGTGCTTCCTTGAGTTGACTCGTGGACATTCCATTCGACAACGATTGCCCCCGGTGCTGCAAGTCATCATGTGAGCACCAGCTACAGGAGAGTAGGTGAAACAGGACATACTTGGTCCAACGGTGGTGAAGATGATGTCGGTGATCTCCATGATCCCAGAAGACCCGGGAGCACCCACTTGTACGACGACTTGGGGGTTGTTCACATCACTGAACGCCGATCCCTTTCCGGCGATAACCGACCATGCCTCCCCGACGATCTGAGATCCCGCTGGAATGCGCAGTGTCGAGGTCACGATGTAAGTGCCGGCGTCGAAGAATATGATCTTGCAGCCAGCGTACTGTGAGTTGGAACTTAGCAAGACATCAGGAGACGAGGATGAGCGTAACGCACTGTGTTGAAGACAGCCTGCAGCGCCGCCGTGTCGTCTGTAGCTCCGTCGCCCTTGGCCCCATGATCCTTCACACTGACGAATTGGGACACAACATAGCTAGCATACTGCGGATGCCCGCGTCCGAAGATGCGCCCAGCACTGTCCAGCAAGGCGGCCGCCTTCGACGGAGCAGCAATGCTGCCCTGGGTGAAGGTCCCAGCCCCATTCGTTCCGTGGTAGACGTTGCCCTGTCCCCAGGAATCGATCGTCATCGAGCCTGTGCTTCCGGCCAAAACGACCGCGCCCCCAACGACGCCGACAGCCGTGGGAACGTTCGTGAGCTTGATGTTGTTCAAGGCGAGCGACCCAGCGCCGATCACAGTGCCCTGGCTGGGCGTCGAAGTGCGCAGGAATACCGGGGTGTTGGTAGCCACAACATCGAGGATGGCCTCGGCGCCGACGGTCTGGATTGTGTTGCCACCGCCGGTGGACAGATCGAAGCCGACTTGGCAGTTGGAGATCGTGACTGTTTGGAACGTCCAGCCCCAGTTCCAAGCCCCGAAAACCGCAGTCTGAGCGCCGTTGAACGTGACATTACGAACCGTGAATCTGGTCAGAAGCGATCAACTCGGAGGGCAAACGGCTCTGGCTTGACTACTTACTGCTGGTTCCCGACCCACATGCCGTACTTTCCGCCGTTGAAGACCAAGTCGCCCATGAACCCACCGCTGCCGTTCTCCATCCAGATTCCCTGGTGCGCCGTATTCGGGGCGTTTGACATATTGATGACGATGTTCATCAGCGACGTCGACTGGGAGACTTGCCAGTGGATGCCGGTGCCTTGTGCCACAGTCGGGGGAACGCGCGTAACATCGATCACAAAGTTGCGCACAGAACGGAAGCTACGCAGTGTTATTAGAGATAAACTGAACGGAGGAGAGGACCTACAAGTTGTTCTGGTTGACATAGTACTGGGCTCCTCCGCCTCCGGGGATATACGGATCGGCGTCAATGACAGCAAGATCAGAAAACGACGCAGCAGCAAGCAACGTAGGGGGCTCGATCGCATCTCCAATGAGTCTGGGAGAAGGGTGAGATCTGCCTGGCTCGGAAACACACTACGCACTGTGTATAGTAGTAAGGGATGATGGAGTTTGAGATCAGATACGTTCTGCATGGTGTCAGATTCGAACTCTTGCGGAGAGACATATCGCTCACCCCTTGGGGAAGAAGACCACCGCAGGAGACACACTGAATTACTGGATCAGGAGTGGTACTTACAGGAAACCGCTACCAGCGCTTACGTGCTCGAGTTGCAACCCTGACCGCATCTTCCTCCAGCTGTGATAGCGGCACTAAGTTTATGAGATGGGAATGAATCCAGTCATCAGAATCAGGTCTGCCTACTTGATGGCTGTAAGCACCCAGATGTCAGCGAGAATAAGTCATCAACGATGTCAAGGCTGACCTGCTGTGTCATCGTGAACACCGTCCCCGATGGCCCCATAGTCCCTGACGTTGCGGAAGACAGGATATGTAGATGGATTCGCGTTGTACGCAGCGGTGCCTTGGTGCTTGATGTCTTGCAGCCAGAATGCGTTTGATGGTCCGGCCCTGTCCGAGGACGTCAGCAACGCCCATGAGATCCCGGATGAGTTGCTGACGTTCCACTACCGAGAGGAGTGCTGCACGACGAGCCCAGAGACTGAGCCCCCCTCAGCAACCCGAGGGCAAGGCCAGCGGTGAACAAGACCGTCGAAAACATAGTGGCAAGTCCTTGAACACCTCTCACACCGCGCGCTGATCCCCCTTATCAAGGGCTCGCCCCAGACAGACGAAACGGGAACATGCGAAGAAGCAATGTAGGAGAATGTTGGTGTGGCGAGAAGAACTCCGGCCGGCAACGCTGCAAGCGGCTGCAATATCCAGCAAACCCGCTGTGCCGCAGCGGCACAGTGCAGGGTCACTTGCACCTGAAATCGCCACCGTATCATGTGTTGTCGTCGAAATGGGATAAATGCGCAGAGGATCACAGGTCTGCGTCGAATTTACGAATAGACCAGGCGATGACGACACCTTTGGACCGATGGTCCCGAGTAGGACTCTGTGGAATGGTGGGAAGAAGCTCGTTTGGTCCGAGATTGCCGTCCATTCACATGGCAACGTCGTGGTACATCTGGATGCAGACACGAGCCGTCCATTGGGGCGTGATATATGTATGCGACCCGTGCTCAGGCGGGAGGGACCGCATGACATATGAAGACACGAGAAGGGATCTGCAGTCCGAGATGACGCAGACGAAACGCCAGAAAGAAGGTCCGCCAGGAATTAGTGTCAAACCGAGCCGGATCCGGTACTTTCCCTCAGTAAATTGAGGTTACGGTCGCTGCCGTGCTCTCCAAGGGCCATGCAATCGCCCCATCAGCGCCGACCTCCATTCACACACCCGCGGAGCCAGCCCAGTGACGCTGCTCGCTTGGATCGCAATTCACGTGCTCGTCTTCCCGCGTGGCGACCCCACCTGATATGCAACAACTGAGGGCGACCACCATCGAGAAGTGGTTGGGTCCCGCTGATCATCATTTCAAAGAATCCAAGGCCTCTAAAGAGCTCGCCTCCTTTGACTGCCATCGACCAATCGCCGAGTCGCAAGCCATTGGCAGCACAGGGATCCCGTGGCCTCCACGCAGTGACTACTACGGCCGATGGGATTGACAGATTGTGCGCGGACTTGAGAGTCGACGTTGATGGACGTCGAGATGGATGACGCGGAAGAGGTGTGGGAGCATGTGTTATGTGCTAGAGTAGGAAGGCCAGACGAAATTGATATGGCCATTGACATTGCGCATCGACAAGCACTGCGCTCAAGACAAGGGAGAAAGGAATTATTATGTGGCTGTGCCATTCAGACGTCACGCGTTGATTCTTGGGTCACAAAATCCCCATCAAAAGATTGAACTTGGGAAGTTTTCTCTCTTGTTTCCACGCGCGGCGATGACCACGAAATATTACCGAGAGGCTTCTAGATTTTTATTCGAAAGGTTGTGACCTTAATATCAGACTTAAATCGTAGAACGTCAGTTCGACTCTATCAGAGACAGAAATTATCTCAGATTTACTTTTGATATTGCCGGCGAGCCTCGGTCTAGAAAGCCATATTTCTCCAGTATTCCGAAGCATTGAAATTCTATGGTACAGAAGATGAAGTGAACTGGAGTGCGGGAAGCACAGAAGGCAACAGATTTGAGGCAAGCGCCTCAAAAAGCCGTTGCCCATCCACCGTGGTAAGGTTTACTGTTACGTCCTCACCTTATATTTCATAATCTTTGCTCTTTGCTTGATTTTTGACCATAAATACCTCGCTATCATCTTGGCATCTCATATTATGCTCTACATCCATAAAGATATGCTGAATCTACGCTGTTTACATAGGTCACGACTTTAACTTGCTTCTATTTCATCTAACTCAATGCCTAATCCATGCCACATAGCGGGAAATCACAGCAGAGCATCCCGCCTGCAGCCCAGTATAAGAGCTGAACAAAATTTCCTTTCTCAGACGAATGGCGTTCACCTATTTGCGCGTGCTTTCGCCATCACGAGATTTTTCCAATTATCCACCGACCATGTCCTCCGCCGCATCCTCGTCGCGCGAGTCCTCCCCCGACAACGCGCCGCTGGCATCACTGAAAGCCAGCTCATCCAAAGCCGCGCAAAAAGCCAAGAGCAAAGCCCCCGCCGACAAGGGCAACAGGAACGAGGGCTCCGATCCACACTGGACGTACCAACCGCCTGCGAAATCAGTCCGCCTCGAGAAGTCCGCGGACGTCGGATCGTTCAGCTGGGATGAGCTGAATGGCAACGATGACCTCGAGCTGTGGCTTGTGCGCATTCCAGACGGCGTGCGTGCCGTTTCTTTCCGCGTTCTGTCCTGCCCCCGAATGTGCATATGCTAATCCGAGATGTATTTGTTGGACAGGTCAAGCCCAAGTATCTCGTCGATGCGCAGCTGGATCTTCCTCCGAACACGAAACACGACGCGACAAGCAGCGCAAAACTGGGGGTTCTGCAGCGGAAGCACGTCGCGTACGATATCTGGTCTGTGGGCGATGATGCACCGGAAGATATGCCCATCGGGGGCGAGGAAATCAAGGGCATATCCTGCTTGTTACCCCGAAAGACTGGGAAGGGCGCATTGTATTCCGGTACGTCGCACTCTGTATCCTCGCCAAGGCACCACCGAACTATTCACAGCTCCGCATTCGATCGCGAGAACTGTAGTCCTTTCCGCCCAGCCAGTCACACCCACCCTTGACTCTACCATCCCCCCTAACACGCGCCCTGTGTTTAAAAACGATCCACGGCAGATACACCCGGAAGAGCTACTCACGCACTCTTTCGTCCCGTACGGCGCGGACTCAGCGATGCATGCGCCTCTCGCTGAACCGCGGCCCGAGACACCGCCAGCTATGGAGGTTGACACGGAAGTCCTCGTTCCTGCCACACCAGACCAGCCGGTGAAGACGAAAAGCGAGAAGAAGGGCAAGGGCAAGAAACGCAAGGGCGACGATGTTGTTGCAGAGGTCCCGACGAAGAAGTCGAAGAAAGCCAAGGCGACGGCATGAACGCCATTTCCTGCTTACGTTTCGAGCGTCATACTACATTCCCACTATGCATCTGGTGATGATATACAATACTACACACAAAAAATAACGGCGCTATGCCAATGAGTAAGAGGTGTCGGGTGCCCGAGCGAGTCGGAAGGGCGAATGCAGTGTTAGCCCAGATCCATCGCGTCCCGAGAGGGCGAAGCCGCAGTCTGTTTCCTCCTGGGTTCTGGCAATGTTCTCAATATCTCCTGGACCTCATCCTCCATGTCCTGATAGATACTCTTCTCTGGGAAGCCCCACATCGAGCCTGGCTCCTCTTGCTGTCGCTGATCGAAGATGCCCCCAACAGTGTCGACCCACTGCCGCCGCATTTGAACGAGTTGGTTGAGCGAGTCGGGCACGACGAGATTATTATCTTCGTCTGGACCGAGACCCAGTGCAGCAGGACAAGGAGGCAAATGGCTCGAGGACCCCTCGCCTGGCGCAGGCGTACCCGAGCCACTAGCGTCATCCAGCTTCTTCTTCTTCTTGTTCACCTTAGGCTCGTTCTTCTTCTGCAGTTTGGTGTACGAGTTGCTAATGCTTTTATCGATAGCGTCCCGGGACTCGATGTACTCCTGGTGACCCAGCCGATCTCGTGCAATCTTGACGAGACGGGCTTTCCGAGCCTTGTTCACCGCAACGACTTGGCGCAGCTCGCTCTGGGCATGGCGCAGAGCAGTGGCAATCGGGTCGTCTACCTTGTCCGAGTAATCAGGCTGCAACCGCAGTTAGAATCGACCAAGTGCACAGTCGCATAGAAAGAAACGCACAATCGAATCCAACAACCCGTGATAACGCATCGTGTCCCGTATTCGAGCCTCCAGATCAGACACATTCATCTTCTCCTTTCTCGCCGCCGCCGCCGCACTCCCTCCCGGCCTGCCCTCCATCGCGTCCTCTGCCGCCTTGACGCCTTTCCACGGCGTGGCATCCGGCATCGGCAACAACGCGCTTAGCACTCGTTCCGTCAACGGGCCATGGCCTCGAGACTCGTTCAAGAGGTCGCCTTCAGCCAGCGTCGACGGATCCCACTTCGGAGCCGGTGGCAGATACGAGTCGGCTTCGGCATCGCGTGCGTCGCCCGCGTCGGGGCCCTTGGCGTCCATCTCGGCCCAGTTTTCCGTATAATGTCGGCCTAGCTTGGGCATTATAAACGGTTCGACTTCGTCTCCAGTGTGTTCCAGGAATCCGATGTCCTCTTCGCGGATGGGACGCAGGTAGGGCTCGATGAAGGAGTAGAAGATGGAAACGGAGGTTTGCGTGGGCTGTTTAAGCTGACTAAAGTCTTCCATTACATCCGTCGGTTTGCTCGGTCCCGGCTTTGACGGCGGCGGCAACACTGGTCGTGTCGGGAGAAGCGATACGGGAGGAGGGATAGCCCAGTCATTAGTGGATGACTGGTTCGTGATGTTTCGGAGTTGAGATCGTGTACGCATAGTATGAGAGAGAAAGCGCGACACACCTTAGCAGAGGGTTGGCTAGCTGAAGAGGTCGACTTTTGTGCCTTTGGAGGATGCGTATGCTGTGCTGGTGGCGTGCCTTTACGGGGCTTTTGGCCATCTATCAAAGCAATTAAGTTGAACGGTTCACAAAGAGAAGGGCCGGTAATGCCACCTTCATGGTCGCTCTCGTCGTCTCGCTTTCGTTTCTTCTTGTGCTTCTTGGCATCATCTCTGCAACGATTGTTGAAAGAGTATTCGAAGCGGCTTTAATTGAATCACTCACCCTCTCGGGTCTAAAGAGGACCGCGCTGAAGACGGAGGAAGAGACGGAACAGGTTTAGACTGAATACGCGATTTGACTCTGATATCGTCGGCCTCGGGAAGCGGGGTAACTAGAAAGAAAGAGATACCAAAAAGGAAAGCACACGATCAGCATCCGCGAACGCGTCGGGTCAGGATAAATCAGACACGCACAGTCGCGCTCGCGTTTGACCTTTTCTATCTGCTTGGCTTTACCTTTCTCCTTCTCCCTCATTCTCTTGTACGTCTCCTCAATCTGCTTGAAGTCCTCGGTCACCTTCTTCGCACGCTCCAGCGTACGCGCTTTGAGCAGCTTCAGCTCCTCATGCAGCGCCTCGAGCTCGTCCGTGGACGGTACAGAGTCCGGCACAACCTTGATGAGCTGCGAGCGTATGGGGGATGGAGTTCGGGTGTATGGCGTCAGCTTCGCGGCGGCCATGGTGGCACACAGGTCGGGTTCGGCCGTGCGGAGCGCAATCCGAGGGGGTCAAGAACGCACTCGGCAGCGTTCCGGGCGGAAATCAATGAGTCGCGCGGGCCGCAGATCGTGCAGAACGACGCGGAGCGACGGGGTGCACTGTCGTCGACCAGGGCTCAGATGGGGCTGTTCCGCGGGCGCCGGGATCGCAGGGACCGTTGCAGGGGGCGGAGAGAGACCCTTAGCGGGCCACGGAGGTGGTTTCGCGCCGTGTGCGGAGGCGGGTGGGCGAGGGCGCCGTGCTCGCGCTCAGCCAATCAAGGCAGAGAACAAGTTTGTGATCACGCATCATGTGGCGGTGCGCAACAATGGATATCTCGTGCAGACTGGTAAATCGAAGTGGATGGCTTACAAGGTCTCTGACCTGTAGAGACTGGACTGACTGGGTGTGGTACAACTTATGTTGACTGATACGTGCTAAAGCTATTTATCCAATGAAATCTACATGTACGGCGTGTTGTGCGACAATCCGGCAGTTCCTGATAGTCCCCACATAGTAATCCGCGGGTTAGCGTATCGGGATCGTGTCTAAACCCCATCGATTTGAAGGTCAACATGGTTCGAATGATTCGAATGATTCAGCTTCAGCTAGACGAGCATTCGAACAACACGTTCCATCAATTCAATGAAATCCACTGCCGACAAACACTCGTCTGCATCTAGTAGAGAAACTCTCCCCGCTCGAGAGAAGGACATCTCAACCCTGGTATTTGAGAACTCGAATCACCGCAGGCGACGCCAGCGAAAACGCCTTCAGCTTCGACGCCTGTTTGGATGGGGTGGAACGCTAGGGAGGAGACAGATAAAAAGGACTCAGTGGGGTCCCCCAAGAAAGTACCATATCGCCTCGGTTATCTTCTCATGTCCTAAAGCTCGCGCCTATTCCTTCAAGCTCACGCATTGGCGACAACGTCGTTGGCCGGTACCATGAGGCATACAAGGTGAGAAGCAGTTGTGTAGCACATGTGAGTATGCACTGAACCCCGTCGATTTCTTGGGATTAGCATCGTTCCATGTCAGGAAGGAGGAGGCAGGTTAGAAAGACGGAAGTGCCCTGCTGACAGAGTCTCAAATCATCGATCACTGATGGCCATCAAAGCGTCTTGTACCGCACCTCCCATCTCCCGCCTCTTATCGACTCTGTCCTATCGAAATTCTGGCACCAGAACCTCTCAAAATATCAAATAATAATATCTCAATACGAATAGCTCGACGGCTTGAGCCTGAGAGGGACAGCTAAATTCTGGTTTCCGTTGCAGCTCAACTTGAACATCGCGATGGCCCGGGGAAGCCAATCGAGTACATTCAGCGCGTCACCATATTTCTTCGACAGAGGCTCTCATGGGACCGCAACCCCCATCACGGAGCGCATCTCGGTGCGTATGCAGCGTCTCAGCGGCCCGCAATCATTTCCACCGGGTCTCGGGCAGTAAAGCTGATTTATTCCACGGCTGTATAGATGGATTCGCGTCCTATTGTGTCGTATTACTTCCCGAAGGGCGTGGGAGCGCATCACTATGGCTCGATGTGCGTCTGTGTCTCGGTCGTAATTCATGGAAACCCAATTCAACCGCAGGCACCCAATGAAACCACACCGGCTGACGCTGACCAACGCGCTTGTGATGGGCTACGGACTGGACAAAAAGATCCACTACATCTACGACGTACGCGCTGCGACGCGCGCAGAGTTGGAAGCGTACCACGACAAAGACTACATCGATTTTCTCTCCAAGTGGGTGTTGGGCGCATGAGCCGGATGTTCTGCCTGATCTCTGCTGCAGAGTCACGCCGATGAACTCCCATTTGATGCGCGATATGATCGACCAGTTCAATTGTGGCGAGGACGGCCAGGACTGTCCTATCTTCGCGGATATGTACGATTTCGCGAAGATGTACGCGGGCGCGTCGCTGGCAGGTGCGCGGAAGTTGATGGCGGGGACGACGGACATCGCGATCAACTGGTCGGGTGGACTGCACCATGCGAAACGCGGGGAAGCTAGCGGGTTCTGTTACGTCAACGATATCGTTCTCGCGATTCTCGAGATGCTCAGGTGTGCATTTTGCTGCTTCTTCTATTTATATTTTTTCCGGGTTCGAAAACGGTGTGGCAGATATCATCCGCGGGTGCTTTACATCGATATCGACATTCACCACGGGGACGGAGTTGAATTCGCGTTCTATCAGTCAAACAGGGTAATGACACTCTCATTCCATAAATACACAGGGGACTTCTTTCCTGGGACGGGCAAACTGGACGATAACGGTGACGGCCTAGGGAAGCATTTCTGCCTGAATGTTCCGCTCCAGGATGGGATCGACGACGAGATGTATCTGAGCACCTTCAAGACCGTCGTGAATGACACGATCGATGCTTTCCGGCCGAGCGCGATCGTGTTGCAGTGCGGCGCTGATTCGTTAGGCTGCGATCGATTGGGTGCATTCAACCTGTCGATCGCAGCTCACGGCGAATGCGTGAATTTTGTCAAAAAGTTCAACATCCCGATGCTCGTTGTCGGCGGTGGTGGCTACACGATCAAGAACGTCAGCCGGTGCTGGACATACGAGACGTCAGTCCTGGTTGGGGCGGAGGTGTCGAACAATCTCCCAGCGACGGAGTACGACTCGTTTTTCAAGGACTCGCATTTCAAACTCCATCCGCCACTGACGGGCAAGATCGACAACCAGAACACGACCGCGTCGTTGCGCCGCATCACAACCGCCATCAAAACCAAGCTGCGCTATCTGCAGGGCGCGCCGAGTGTGCAGATGCAGGAAATCCCGCCCGACATCCAGGGCTTCCTGCACGACGAGGAGCGCACGCAGGACGAGATAGAGGAGGAGCACGGGACCGCCCGGGCCGGCGACGCGCGCGCGGACCCACACCACACGCGTGTGCGCAACGTTGTCGACTACTTCGAGGGTGACGACGATAACGACGGCGAGGACGACGACGACGACACTATCGCGCCGCCACCGCCTACCAGCACCAGCCGCGCGGCACGTGCTGCGCCTAGTTCACGTCGGGGGAAAAGTGGGAGGCCGAGGGGCCGACCCCGGGGGCGGCCGAGAGGGTCCGCGGCCGCGCCGTCCACCCGGCGCAGCGTGGAAGAGGACGACGACGACTCGGATGATGATGACGATGACGAGGAGGACGACGTTTCCGTTGCGTCAGTTCCGAGACGTCGGGGACCCGGTCGACCGAGAGGCAGTCGGGCGCGCGGTCGGGGTCGAGGGGCTCCTCCGCCAGTCAGTCGCGCGTCGACAGTATTTGAGCCTGCGATGGACGTGGATGAAGACGCACGTATTATGGACCAGGAATTGGACGCGATGGATCTCTAGACAGACCTGGATATCTCCGTCAGGCGCTGTTAGTCGTCGACCGTTGTAACAGTGTAGGACAATGTCGTTTGGGGTGGGTAGCTGGACATTCGGTTGAGTTCGGCAGGAAACCACTGCAGGAAGAGGAAACAGGTAGTTTGTCGGAGTATTGCCGTCCCGGCCTCGGAATATAAAACGGGTTTAAATCTTGACAAGCAGCAGACCTGTCACATCGAGAGGAAGCCCGGAGTGTGCCGTAAAGAAGAGGCCGCATGCCAAGGATGATCCTGTCAAAAAGGCCCTCTCCGGGAATTGAACCCAGGACCACTCCCATCTGCACTTCTTATCGAAGCGGGTCAACACCCGAAGGGAGTATCATACTACTAGACCAAGAAGGCGATGTCCACCGGGTCGTGGATATCATTATAATGCTGCAGATACAGTGCAACCAGGAAACATAGGATTATCTTTGACTCACTTTGATTATCAGTTGCAGGATTCCGAGTAATGCATTTGGAAGCTCTGGTTAAGAAAATCAGATCGCCCTCTGTAAGCCCCGGAGTCGCTACCAGTCGGCCCGGATCCCGTCAATGGTCAACGAGCAACTCTAGTGGAGGCTCTCGGATTTTATCTTGAGAGTTGAGCGCTTGCCCCTTCCATTGCACAAACAGATTACTGATGACCTCTGAGTATAAAAACACAGTAAGTTCCAACATGACTGTTGTACAGGACAAGTGCACAATTCTGTCTGACACAATATCCGATGGGCACAAATATGTAGAAGAACCTTGCACCAAGGCCGCACACACGCCACCAGGGACAGTAAATTCCAGCGACCAGAGACCAAAACTTCGGCTTCGACAGCACCGGTGAACGGCGAGCGTCGAGCGTCGAGTGTCGAGTGTCGAACGTCAAACGTCGAACAGCGAACTGATGATTCTCTGCTCAGAGGCCCCGTCAAAATCATGTGGAGAGCACGTGCCCGCGTTCTGCCTGAGTGAAATCACATGGTCAACGACAGTCGGTCTCGGGCCCGCCTCATGCTCATGACAGGGCGTACCGGTACTGGAACAATGATGTCCAAATTTTCTGCAGGATTCCAGGCATCTCACGGCTCCGTCACCATTCTGAGATCTACGCTAGAGTTCGAGATCACAGGTGACCGCCCCCACATGATGTCATCCACGGGTCGCGTTACTCGCGCATCGCTGCTCTCCCTCCACAACCACAACCGCCATGAGTATCCCATCTCACATGCAAGACCGAGAGCGTCTCTCAGAAGACGTCCCCCGGGACTCTGACTATGACAGAAGCAGCATCCGAACAGGTTTTTACATCCACCGCAATGACCCGCGTCGAGCGAACAGTCCATCTCATGTCCGTGTCGCAGACTACTCCGACTACACCGCCTCGGGCCAAGGCCTGACCTCAACCGCGCACATCTCCCCCGATGGCCGCATCATCATCTCTCTCGACCTGAAACGCGCGCTGCCCGACCTGCCCATCGAGATCGTACAGAACGTGCAGGAATTCGGCGTCGACGCGTCGCAGACGTGGCGGAGCTGCCCCCCGCTTAGCATCGTTATCATGATCGTCGGCAGCCGTGGGGACGTCCAGCCGTACGTCGCGCTAGGGAAGTCGCTGGTCGCAGAAGGCCACCGCGTCCGCATTGCGACGCACGGTATGTTCCAGGGGTTCGTCGAAGAGCAGGCCTTGGATCAGCTGGAGTTTTTTGACATTGGGGGAGATCCACAGGAGCTGATGAGTTATATGGTGAAGAGTGCGTCGCTCCGTCTCCCTAACGCCCCCTGGTGTTCTAAATGACCTGTGTGCATAGATCCGGGCTTGGTGCCAGGGATGGCGTCGTTGACGAACGGTGATATCGGAAGGAAGCGCAAGATGCTCACGCAGGTCATGGAGGGGTGCTGGTCGGCGTGCCACTCTCCGTCCACTCGCACCGGGCAGGCGTTCGTTGCGGACGCCATCATATCCAACCCTCCTGCCTTTGCCCATGTGCATTGCGCCGAAGCACTCGGAATCCCGCTCTTACTGAGCTTCAGTGCGTGTTGACCACGGAATTCATCACTGCCTCAATTCAACCTTCTTTCTCGATAGCTATGCCCTGGTGACCGTTCTATTCTGCTTACCAAGGGTGATGTTTCTAACGCAGGACGCAGGACGCCGACTCGCGCATTTCCGCACCCGCTCGTCAACATCAAAGCTTCTAATGCAGAGAACGGGCTCACTAATTATCTCAGCTACGCACTGGCCGACATCCTTACATGGCAAGGGTTGGCTGTCTCTTGCTGAATTCTATTCCAGGCACTCAATGTTGTGCAGAATGGGCGACTTGGTCAACAAGTTCCGTAAATATACCCTGGGGCTTGAGGCACTCTCGTTGCGATCGGGCCCCAGCGTCGTGGACCGTCTCAAAGTGCCCTGGACGTATTGCATGAGTCCAGCATTGGTTCCCAAACCTGAAGACTGGAAGAATCATATCGGTAGGCGTGCTCACCTTGACTGCTGTCGGGCGGGTTAATCGCTGCGCACATAGATGTAGTCGGATTCTATTTTCTCGATCTCGCAACAAGTTATACGCCACCTGACGACTTGGCCAAGTTTGTACGAGCTGGGGACGCGCCTGTCTATATTGGGTGTGTCTCTCCCATGCTCCTTCGCACACAGTATGAGACGGGCACAGTTTTGGCTCGATCGTTGTGGACGACCCTGTGGCTTTGACCAGTCCGTCTCTTCCTGCTTTCACATGAAAGGTTTCGATCTGACACGAATTGCAGACATAATATTCGAAGCAACCGCCCAAGCAGGTGTTCGAGCCCTAGTGTCCGCTGGCTGGGTAAGCGACTTCTTGTAACTTGGTCGTAAAGTTCCAGCTCGTAACATGAACGTACAGGGTGGCCTCGGTGGCCAAAGCATTCCTTCGCACGTTTTCATCCTGGGAAATGTCCCTCACGACTGGCTATTCTCTGAGAACCGAGTCTCAGCGGTGGTCCACCACGGAGGCGCTGGTACCACTGCGATCGGGCTAGCGAAAGGCAGACCGACGGTCGTGGTACCCTTCTTTGGAGACCAGGCATTTTGGGGTGAGTGCTCACAACAATCAAGCTGTAGTTAGAGTCGCTGAACAACTCGTACGAAGGCGAGATGATCCACAAAGCTGGGGCCGGACCGGATCCCATCCCTCATAAGCAGTTAACCGCGCAGAACTTGTGCGACGCCCTCAAGTTTGCCGTCAGTCCTCAGGCTGGAGCTGCTGCTGGGCGCATGGGCGAGCAGATCCGACACGAGGTCAGTACTTGGTTCGCGCGATTGTTCACACTGACTGTGTCTCAGAATGGGGTGAACCAAGGCGTGGACAGCTTCTACCGTCATCTTCCGCTGTTGAACATGAGATGTGATATGGATTCGGCGCGGGTGGCTGCTTGGTGGTCCACAGAGCATGTAACTAGTATCGTGCTCCCGAGGTTGCTGGTTGCTAACAACCCCTTGCAGTGCTTGAAATTCAGCACGTTTGCAGCTCAAGTCCTCATCGATGCCAAGCTCATCAAACCGGGAGACCTTGAGCTCCATCGTGCGTGAGATAGATGATTCTTTGGCCACGACTGACTATGCGATCACAGGTTCGAAGGAGTATGACTCGGTCAAAGAGATAACCAATCCTGTCACGGGCGGAGCGAGTGCCATATTCTGGACGGTGACGAACTACTATGCGGGAATTGCGCAGATATTCTAGTAAGCGAGAGACAACCTCAGATGCATGAAATCACTGACCCGCGAAGCAAACCGGTGGATGGTATCGTCAAAACGACGACAGCCATCCCTCGCGGTGAGTCTGATCGCAGTATACTCTCTGAACCTCTCCAACTCGTGGCAGGCGTGATCGATATCGTTTCGTCCATCCACCAAGGGGTGGCGAATGTTCCGAAACTGTATGGTTCCAAAGTACGCAAAGCAGGCAAGGTGGGGAACTTTGCAGACGGTGTCAAGGAGGGTGGGAAGGTACGAGATGCGCCGAGCGTCGAGCATTGATGAACGCCTTTGTCAGGGCCTGTTTTTCGGCTATTACGACGGAATCACCGGCTTGGTGCGGGAACCGTATGAAGGTGCACAGAAAGAGGTGCTGTGGCGGGCCTTCAAGTCACAATATTCATCTGACTGAATTCATTAAGGGGTTTATTGGTGCTGTCAAAGGCTCTCTGCGGAGCTGTGAGTCCTATCTTACCTTCTGACGCACTCAAACCCAAACTCCTCTTACAGTTGCCAATGCGACGATCCGGCCAGCCGGCGGCATCGTCGGCGTGGTCGCCCACCCCGTCATGGGCCTGTGGCGGAGCGTGCAGCCGCCTGCGACGCGGAAGCAGGAGCTTCGGATCCGAGAAACGAGGCTGGCGCACGGGGTCGATGCCGCGCGGCGGGCCACGCGCCAGCAGAAGGCGGATGTCGTGAGCACGTTCAAGGAGCTCGAGCGGACGAAGATGGACAGGCAGAAGCGGTGGCGGGAGATGGCTGAGAAGGAGATGTATAATGATGGCGAGGGACAGACACAGCGGGCGGGGCCGTCGTCGTGATGGTGTTATCTGTGATATTATCATGGACATCTTGACCGATTCTTTTTGGTTTATCTGCCGAAGAATGTGACGTGACATATTGCTTCATAGGACATGATCGACATCGCCTTCTTGGTCTAGTCGTATGATACTCCCTTCGGGTATCAACCCGCTTCGATGAGAAGTGCAGATGGGAGTGGTCCTGGGTTCAATTCCCGGAGAGGGCCTTTTTTCATATATTTACGAATTCAAATTGATCTACCTTTTTGACTTTGTCATCCTTACCACGTCATAAGAACTATTCCGAGGTTTATTTCAAGCCATCTGGGTTGGTCAGTCAGTGTGACTGACCGGAACGCTAAGCCAATAAACATTGCCTGTCTGGACTCTCACTTACATCGCACACGATCACGTGATATACGTGTTTACAATTCTCTAGGACGCTTGCGTAAGCAACTCACCCTGCCCTGGCCGAAGCGCTGGAAAGGACTACTGCGCGCATCTGAGCGTCGGGAGGGTCTCCACATGTGCCAAGTCTTCCTGTCTCCCCACTCGATGTGACAAAGTTCTAAAGCACGACTGGACGATGAGTGCTCGATGAAGACATCAGTGGCATTTTGATAAGATCTTCTTCGTGTCAGATGTTGAAAACGGGGCTCCTTCTTGGCCCATGGTTCGCGCTGGGTGGGGGTGTGCATCGTCGTTTCCATCGGATGACACATGGCGACATCCGCGCGCAAGAACGTCCGGGGGGAGCATGGAGATGTCACGTCTCGACGTCGCGGGCCCGCGCTTGCTCTGGTCCCCCCCAGCTACTATCTCCCTCCAGCACAGCAGATCTGTCCCTCGGATTAGCCGAGCGGGAGGGTCAATCGCCGATCACCATCCCCATCAGATTTCCGTCGCGTTTGTGGGCACATCCGCCCCCGTTTGTGTCTGCGATCGGCTGGGTTTGGACCCTAGATTCAGGCTATTTATGGGATTCTGATACGGACTCTGCAGTTGTGGGTTGGCACAGCCAGATTGGGCGCGGCGAGGACTATAAGAGCGCTTGGCTGAAAACTTGTGGCCCTCAGGTTGCGATGTCGAGTCTGGCCAGCGACTGCTCCTCCGCGCTACGTAGCCTTGTATTCCACACCTGTTGTTTGGCATACTAGGTTTCGTAGCTCGGATTAACGCGTCGCTTTCCGCTGGCTAGCTGCACCGGCGTCGCTCCAGGGTAGAGACAGTCTGTCGAACCCCTCCATCGTCTGCGGCGCACTCCAATCGGCTAATGCCGGGTCGAGCGGCACGAGGCAGAGATTTCATCAACGCTACCCATGTACTATACGCTCGGCTGACTTTTGCTGACGGATTTTGGCAAATAGGGGTTTCCAGGAATATTCTGAATCTGCGCATATGTCTGATCCGAGCGAATGAATCGGACTTTCGACGCATTTTTTGAAGGACTTAATCTACACGTTTATGTGATTAGAGTGTATTTTTCAGCCAACGATTGATCATCGCCAGCGAGTTGACAGGTTCGTCGTGCGGCACCTGAGCAACAAGTGCTCGTGAGTATTCGAAGTGATTGACCGGGTAAGCCGCCACACACCTGATGTCCGGCATTCTCCACCGTCGCAAAAGTGAGAAGCCCAGATGATCTGATCTGGCCTGCTACATTATGTTCGACAAACCAGGGTCGCAGCGGCTGCGATGTGAACTGCCGCTGGCCGTGCCATTCGAGCCCACGCGAGACTCGGTCCATGCCGATGAAGTTGCACGAGAAATCGTGGATGCCGGCGTATAGCAGGACCCGGATATTCCGCTCCAGCAGGGCTTCTATGTACGGCGCGCTAGGTCGATAGACATCCCCGCTGAGACCGAAGGCGGTGTTCAGCGTCCAGTCGACCATGGCAAACTCGCCAAACGACCGATCGATGGACAGCAGGTCTCGCGTTCGGGGCAGATTGAGAAAGTGAGTGATGTTCCTGAGTGTTTGCGAGTCTTTAATGGTAGTACGTGTGATGCCGATCGGCAACTGCCACTCACTGTGTGATGGGATAGCACAGAGTGTCTCGGACATCCCCGATGCACACCGTCCGCATGTCGTAAGGGCTTTTACCTAAACCATGTTATCCCACAAATTTATCTGGGGAGGGCGACGCCAACGTGCCGGTCAATGCAAATGGCTCAGCTATCGCCGTGTGGCAGAATCCTCGCGCTGCTTGACATTCGATGAGATCAAAGGTCTCGATGCAGGCCCGTCTCAGCCGCATCTCGCATCGGGGGAGCTGGGGCAGGGCGTGAGGTAATCCCCCCACAACGCGATGGCAGAATGGTGCTCACCGCCTGTTTCATCTCCGTGCAAACCCTGCGCAGGGACGGTCAGTGGATGGATCACATCAAGGGGCGAGGCGATCGACCTTATGGATTGCAAAGGGAGCCCAACAACGGGCTTGCATTGGATGTCGTACTGCGATGTGATCGAGCTAGATTAGAGAATCGAGGTCAGAAGTGCGATTACACCCGTGGATCCAGAAAGACGGAACTGGATCGATTCAAGCACCCCGTTGCCTGGACGGGGTGAGCGGGAAGTAAGCTTAGAGGCCAAGACACTGACCGACGGCGATGGAACTCAGGTTGACTGGAGCAATGCCCTCTTTGATCAGCAGCTCATTTTGATCGAACACTTGGGCAGCAAATAATGGGATATACCGACCCTTTGAGAGGGATAATGTTTCGTTACTTTCGGCATGTCGAGGGCTGCGTAACGTACCGCATAAGACTCGCCAGCGATATGTAGCGCCCGATTTTTCAGGCCGGGCATGGACTCAAAGAATATCGCCAGAAAGCGCGCGATGTCTACAGCCGCTTCTTCGGTGGTTCGCTGTCCAGATCATGGATGATTTTAAATCTAGCGCGTGCTCGTCTCTGATTGCACGTACCACAGCCTCTCCGAAATCTGCATACGAGAATCCAACCCCGATAGGCTGGTCGAGGAAGATCAAATTGGCCTTCGAATTCCAGGAATGCGGATTGAATTCGGTGGTGTTGTCCGAGATCACATTGCAGGGCCCTGGGTTGTGTGTGAATGAGGCCTGCGAGAGAGAGATAGGGCAGAATAGACGCTGATTCACCCAGCTCGGAAAAGAGCCCGACCGAGGCAGAAGCACCCGGCCCGCCATTCAGCCACATGACAACGTCGTCAGTGGCTGGGTCATTCCTGCTTTCAAAATAGTAGAAGAAGAAGTGGCGAGCCCGGATATCTATGTAACCAGCATATTGGCTGGCACTCAGCTTATCTGTGAGCTGCAATCCCTCGGCAAACTCACTCGACAGTCGAGTCGCAAAACCCCGTCGATTTCTGGTCAATGGTCGTCTCAGGCCGCGTATCTTCTCAGGGTGAAATACCCACCGGAATCTGCTTCACTCGGACCCGATAGTCAGGGAACGCATCGTTGGTCAAAACGCGGAACGGTCCGTCTCCAAGATCGGTAAGGGTTTGTTCGGCTGGGTTGCGGGGCTGGCGAGATGCTTCCGCAGATCGAAATGCAGAGATGAAGGCGACGAGTGTCACGAGCAGCCGGAACATGCTGTACCCAGTTAAGGTCTCGCTCGACTGCGGCCGCGCGCTCTACTGAGCGTGACTTTGTTAACGCGATCGACGGGCCATCGCCAATCACTGATCGAAACACAAGGTCTCGATCAGGTGACATCGCCACCCACAGCACAGGCCTCTTTCTTGACCACCACAGTGCGGGACTTCGTATTCGACCCGCCTCCAACTATCTCTCCATGTCGGACGCTTCCGCCCCCGCCCCCGCCCCGCGCCCCCACCCGCGGCCCCATCCCCGGCAGAGCCAGACGCTGCCGACCCCAATGATCCCGTCATTGTCGTCTTGACATCGGACACAGCCATGCCTACGCTCGCCGAGCAGCTCGAGGCGCGCGCGGAGAAGCGCGCGGCGATCGTCGAGCAGAAGCGCGTGCGCGCGAGCGAGAGGCAGACTTTTGTGCGTTCCATCCGACGCATCTCGTCACACGAGGCGGCTAACGAGCGCTAGGGTGTCACGTTGATGAAGCTCAAGAACTACAACGGCGCTGCGACGTGTTTCGCCGATGCGTGTCGGCTGTGGAGAGAAAATCCGGTGGTGCACTGTGATTTGGCTACCGCGTATCTGTACGCCGGGAGGTGTGTCCGATCCTTCTACTACTAGGCAATGCCTGGGCGGCTCGGGGCGGAGATGCTTATCGTAACGACAGATTCGTGGAGGCGGAGGCTGTTGCGGCGAAGGCGCTGGCGCTGGATCCCAAGCTCGTCGAGGCGCGATATGTGCGTGGTATGTCCCGCAAGGGTCATGGCGATACCGCAGGCGCGATCGTCGGTGCGCATATTCCCTTCCACCCGTTCTCTGCTGCATGGCTCATGTGCCTAGACTTCGAAACCGTTCTGTCTATGACGCCCGAGAACACGGCTGCTAAGACTGCGTTGGCGGAAACGCAGGCCAGCGCACCTGCTCCAGATGCAGAAGCGTCCAAGGAGGCAACCGAAGAACCTGTCTCCTCCGATCCAGGCGCTCCAACGCCAGATGCGGCACCACGTCCAGTATCCCCATCTCCATCTATCACCTCCGACACCTCGGATGCCCATCACACGGCTTCCGGGATCCCTTGCCGCTTCTACAACCGTGGCCGCTGCGCGCGTAAAGCCGAATGCACGTTCTCGCACGCACCAGATGACCGTAGCGTCCGCGATGGGCTGGGAAGAAATGTCTGCCTGTATGATCTGCTGGGGCTGTGCAAGTTCGGCAAAGACAAGTGTCTCTATTCGCACGACCGGAGTGCCCTGGAGCACGCTGTCGTCGGTGCCGAGGGAAGATGGTGGGAAAGCGAAACGGGGGTTGCCACAATGCGGGAGCGGCTCGAGAAGGGAAGAGCCGAGGCGCGAGAGAGGCACGCACAGAAGGAGGCCCGCAAAGCTGAGCGTAGAGAGCAGCGGGAGAAGGACGAGGCCGGTGCTCCGAAACGGAACGGAGAAGCTGCGGGAGAGAAGAAGAAAAAGTCGAAAGGGAAGTCGAGGAACAATAGACAAGGCGGCGGCGGCGGCGGCGGCGGAGGAGGACCGAGACAGTCAAATGTGCCAGGCGGTTATCGGCAACGGCAAATGTCTCCGCAGGAAATAGCTCATGCTCAGCGAATGTTTCTTGCTGCAGAGATCGAGCGCCGAGTCGCGTCGATGGGCGTCGATCCCAACGCAGCAGCGCAGATCGCACTGTCGCAGATGGCCTTTGCGCGCGGTGGGATGTCGCCCAGTGTCGTTCTGAGCGGGTTGGGGATGGGCGGTCTGGGGCCGATCAGTCCCGGAGGTGTCATCAGTCCCATGGCGCCGCTCAGCGCGAACCCCTACGCGTTTGGGATGGGCAACGCTGCGTTGGGTGGTGGAACCGGAATCGGCGTTCCGACTGCCGAATTGCAGGAAATGGAGGAGCGGATGGCACGGATGGTCGACGGCTTAGGCCGTCAGGGCCGTCACGAGGAAGGCGTCCCAGAAGTTGCGGACGACAGCCACACCGGTGGGGCTGTCCATCCTCAGGTGGAGCCTGTCTCTTGAAACACAAATTACTACTAACAAGGTGTACTGATCTTATGTATTCTACGTAGATAATCTATTTGGATGTATGTATGTCTGCTGCCTACACAGTGTATATATTCCTTGTAGGAATAGATCGGGCCCTCGCACTGAGGATCATCGCATATCAAGGACGCGGGTCGCTGTCCGTGGCAGCCGCCACCTTCATTGAGGCCCGAGCCGTCTATGGGCGGCAGATTCGACAGACCCTATTGGATCCCAAATGCGGCTCAGTCTTGGAGAGCTTCGATTTCGGCTGCGCTCTTTTCCAAGTACGCTTCGTACGAGTCGTTATATCCGCCTTCGAAAGATCATTGATGAGTCCAAAACGCGTGCACAGTCGAGAAAAACTGACTGGGAGTCTTCGCCTGAGCGCGCAGACGAGCCACGACTTCCCGGTCATGCGCGATCGCCGCCAGCTGTGTGTGTTTCATGGTCCCTGCAGACACTTTAGAGTGGAAGACGGAATGCAGGAGGCTGAGTACCAGAGAGATGGACGACGTTCGGGATGTAGCGCACGCCCTCGATGCTGGTAAGCAGAGTCACGGCACCCCATGCAACCTGGTGGTGGTCGCGCGCGACGCGGATGATGCACATGTTCGTCGTCGGGGAGTAGTATTTCACTGGGGGTCCCGTGCTGTCATGAGCGTGTGTTCGAGACGACAGCGGCCGGCACACCGTTCATAGAAAGACCGATGGACCCCCATCCGACGTCGCCGAAGTTGGTTATGACACTCTGCTTCACTGCGGCCCAGATTTTGTGGCTGTCGAGGTTGTTGTTCGGAGCTGTCCCAGTTGCAGGGACGGGGAGTAGTTCAACGAGCAGCCAGCGGTTCTTACGTTTGAAGAGTGAGACCAGAAGAACAGCAAGTGTGCGACGGCGAGTACCTTGAAGCGGACCATGAATAGTGACTTTGCGCGTGAGTAGGCGCGAAGTGACTTGCAAGTCGCGACCGTGGGAGATCTCTGTCAATGATCGTGATGAGATCGTCTCATGCTTGGACTCGCCTTTGCTCCCAGATGAAAAGTCCTACTAGCGTATCCTCTCCGATCTCAGACTGAAGACTTCCCCACCCTCCCCGCGCAGATCAGCAATAATCGTAAGCGGGGCAATAGCTCGCTGTGAGATCAAGCGTGACATGGGAGCGAGGGCACAAGATAAGCCAAAGAGCTACAGTAGTTTACACAGAGACCTAATAGTGAGCGACCATACAACTATAATCAAGATATTCTAGTATTCATAAGTTACACCTTCGCCGACAGCGGCACCTTCCGCTTGGGAACATTCCCATAGAGCACCTTCGAGAGCGCTTCGCCTCCCAGAGTGATGACCAGGCCCTGGTCCAGCAGCCAGTCTGTGTATCGTTTCCACGACCCACGCGACTTGCGTTTGCGGGGAGGGACGACCTGGATCTGCGCCGAATCGCTGATCTGGGCGATATCAACCGGGGCCGGTGCTGCTGGAGCTGGAACTGGTGTTGCTGCTGTCGCCGCCACCTTCGTGTCAGCCCTGAGGCCGTCCCCCAGCGTCTTGATGCTCCCAATGACGAACAACCCGCGTTTGGCGCGCGTCAGCCCGACGTTCAGCCGTCTCTTGTCCGCCAGAAAGCCGATATGGCCGCCCGAGTTGTTGCGCACTGTGGAGAAGATGATGACCTCTTTCTCGCGGCCCTCGAATCCGTCCACCGTCTTAACCTCGATGTGGCGCATCTGCATCGCGCGATGGGAGCCCAGGACTTGTTGGAACCGGTCGGCGTACTTCGCATCGGTGTTCAGCATGCGGTTGATCCGGGATATCTGCGCCACGTAGGGGGCAATGACACCGATGTCGTTACCGTTGAGGGTCTGACAGTCGGAGTATCAGTCCTGAGCTTCTTCGCATTTGTAGGCGACACACGCACCGGGTTGTTCAACAGCAGATCTTCAATCACGCTAATCACAATCGCAGCCTCGGGCAGATTGACCCTGCTCCGATCCTTCATCGCCTCGCCCCCAACATGGTCCAAGAAGATGACTGCAGGGCGGTCCCCTCGTTCGTTGACGGGCAGATGCACTGAATTGGGCGGTGTCAACCTCGCGGCGACGGTACCCGTCGGGTCGACCGTCCCGTCCCGTAAACGGAAGTTGTAGAACTCGGACGACGGGAAGGATGAGATCGCAGGATGCATTCGGTATTGTGTGTCCAGCATGATCGAAGGCACCTCTGCCGCTCAATGAGGAGCAAGAACTGAAACATTGTCAATCAAACACATACCTCCTTCGTCCGTCAGCCGTTCGAATAAACTACGCCCCAGGCCCAGGGCCTTGGCTTCTAGGCTTGAGATGACCGGAGGAAGTTGTTTATGGTCTCCGATGAGAGATAGGTGGCGGGACTGAAGAGCATGAGCGAGTCATTCATAGCATATAGCCAGAGGACTTACACCCTTCATGATGGGCACAAGCGTCGCAGGTTCTGTCGACATCGACGCTTCGTCCAAGAATACCACCGGGAAATCCACCAGCTGCAGAGCCTGACAGGCCGAGGTGATGCAGGTTGTACATATCTGGGATGCCAGGGATCGATCAGAAAAGTAGGCGGACCAACAGGAACAACGCACCACATCGGCTTCCATGATGATGTGCTTCAGCATTTTCATCTGCAGTGCATAGACGCGCCCCTTGAGCGATCGATGCTGCCTCTGCTTCCGAGTTTTCTCCCGATCCATGTTCAAGCGGATCGCCAGCAGTCGTTCCGCTGCCTTGTTGTTCGCCGTCTTCGTCTTCTTTTCGGCCTCGTCTATCTTGGTGTCCAGCTCATCCAGCTGCTTTTCTAGTTTCTCCTTCTCCACTTGGAGCGGCTCGAGCACTTGCTGCAGGGGATGTTCGGCAAGTTTCTGGTGCAGGGTATATTGTTTGAGCGACTCTTTCACTCGGCCGGCGGATCCCACTCGGAGCGGACGCATGTTCGCTGCTGCGAACCCCTCGACAAGATTGTCAACTGCAACGTTCGTGTAGGTGCACACCAGCAACGGGTGCGGAACATCAAAGTGGACTTTGAGCAGCTTAATCGTTTCGATGATCGTTTTCGTCTTGCCTGTTCCCGGAGGCTGAAGGAACGGATCAGTCCTGGGCATCAAGATGATCGGTTGCACGCACACCCTGGATGAGACTGAGACGTTTCCCAATCATCAAAGCCATCGCCCGAATCTGTGTCTCGTTCAGACCGGTCAGAGGGGGGTCGCCTTCCATCACAAGCGGATCAGGCTTCGCATAGCGCAGTGCCCAGCTGTGAATCCGCTGGTCGTCGGCGAACACGCCTGGCGCATTAGCTACAGGTTTCGACGTCATCTCCTCGTCCTCCGATCCCGGCTGGAAGGTATCCAGCAACACATCTCGCAGATGCGTGCCCAGCAGAATGACCTCGCGATCACTACTGACGGGCACCTCTTCCAACTGCTGTGGATCGTGGTTCAAGTTCCTAACGGCTTCGAGCTGCCGCTCGTGCGCGATATTCGAATTGCCAACGTCGAGCCGCCAGAGCCCATCTTCGAAGTCGAGGAGACGCTCCCGGAAGGTGACGCGGATCTGAGACTTGGAACTGGAGATCACCGAGCCTGTCACGTTGCCCTCCTTGAGCGGGTCTAGTCGCGATACGAGCACAGTGGAACCATTGCTGCGAGTACATCTTGTCAGCCGAAAACCACCGCAGATTTTTCCATTCAGGCTTACTCGAAACGGTGTTCAGGGAGCGATATGCCCGGTCCGAGAGAGAACGACGCAACCGGGAGCCCAAACTGAGTCTCCTGTAGCCAGAAGGATGAAAGGCCGGTTATGGAGTAGCCCTCCTCTTGCAGGCGCGTCAAAGACCAGGTGGAGAGCCGTTCCTTCAGAACAGCCTCAGCTTCTTGTTGCTCCGCAACCAGCATCTCCGTGAAGCTGCACGCAGGCCGGTCAGAGTTGGTAAGAGGAGAGCTGATGGACAACGGACCGTTCTGTATACAGTTGAATCGCATCATAGAACGGCTCGCCCTGCCCCACCGTGATACTTGGAGGATGTGTCCGCTTGGTAGAAGTGGAGCCCGACTTGTCATTATTCTTCATCTCTTCCTCACGTTGTCGGCGCAGCTGAGACGAAGAAAGTCTCCAATCGAACCGGGGCCTCGCTTCATCCACGTCTGCGTCCATGCTCTCGGAGAACCCATTTCCGCGGGGTTGTAACCATTCACTGTCCTCGACCCCAGCACCAGAGACAGCAGCTGCAGCAGCAGTCTTCCGCCTGAGATACGAAGACGGAGATGAGAAGGTTGTTCTGGATGTCGCAGCACTATGCTTGAACGCGGCTTCCCACTCGTCCAGCCTAAGCGAAGGATACCGCGGATCGTCAGAGCCCGAATGCAGCAGTTCCCCATCCTCGACCCCGGCATCGAGATCAGCTGTCCGGCTTGACGGGCCCGATACGGGCCAAGGCGCTTCGGCAGCCTCCAGAAACACATCCTCTTGCTCCTTCGCGCTGAGTGAATGATAACATCGGCGGCGGAAGCAATCCAGTTGAGAGAAATAAGCTTGGGAGGAGGAGGATGCGGGATTGGGAATGCGCCGACGACGCAGTACCGCCGCCGCCGCCACGCGTCGAAAGAGACCCGGGGTAGCCAGCGTATGTCACCGCTCAGCGGATGAATTGGAAAAAATTGATCGCAAAAGGGTGATGCGCTAGGGTCATCAGACGACACCCCACGATCACGTGAAGGACGTGCTGCTCGAAAGCTGTTCGCGGGGATATCGCAATCAAGGCGGACCTGACTTGACGATCCTGCTAATCATGTACAAGAGGCCTTTAAGCCACCTACACTTCGCTTCGACTCGTCTATGCGGAGAGCGTGGCCCACTCAACAGAAAAGGTTCGAAAATGCTTCTGCCTGTCCTAAAGATGTGCTATTCAGACCACATGCATGGTATTCATCCACATGGTAATTCTGGAGGGTATAATGGAATGGTAGGGACATAAACAAAGCTCGATTCTCGGCTTGATGACGGATATATCGGATGGACAATGTATTTCATATATGAATTAGATTACAGTGAATCCAGCCCCGGCCCAGGCCAGGGATATTCGATATTTTCACTGAAAATACAAGTGCGTGACCGGCAAAGCACTCGTGGATCGATAACATGATATACTATGGATTTGCGGGATGAGGGAGCCCTCGCTCAGGTCGGTCGGAACCAACACTGCGTGCGGGGGCGCGACGTAACGGTCGTGTCGTGGTTCAGCTGTGGGCACTCTACAGCTTCTCGATGATCGCAGCCGAGAAGTCGGAGAAGTACGAATCCTGGGTCTTGGGGGATGCGAAGCTAACGGAGCTTCCACCGAAGAAGGTCTGCATCTGGATGCCGCGCATGACACCCGTAGCGCTGTTTCGCAGGACCAGTCCGTCCACATCGATCACTTGCTGGCCGTTCGCCCAGAGCGTGAGCCGGCCGTTCTCCTGCCCAACGTCGTTAAGCTGGATGCGCTCCGAGATGGTCGTCCATTCGCCAGCCTTGAAGAAGAACGAGCCGCGCCCGACAGATGCGCCGTACGTCGGGTTGCATTCTGATTTAGGGCCGATACTGCACACGCGATTGTTGGCGGTGAAACCTGGGGGCAAGTAAGTGTACAATTCGCCCGCCCCGTCTTTACGGAACATCAGACGCGCGGAGAAGCAATCGTTTGAGCGACGACCGCCAGAGCAGCTCTTGGAACCGGAATCAGTGTTGCCACCGTCTAAGGGTACGTTCAGCATGGAGTTGTTCCAGGTGCTTGTTTTACAGCTTACAAATTCCAGGAAGCTTGCCACCGATGTTGAAGTCAAAGTCCGCTGGGAAGTACACCGAGTACCCGAACGTCAGTGTCTTGGCCGTTGTCATATCCAGGCTGTTCGGGCCCGGCGCGTAGAACGAGAACCCGCCCTCGTGTCCGGAGGTGAAGACATACGACCCCTGCGGGTAGATCGCCTGCATGGCTTGTTTGCCATCGGGAGCCGCCATGTACGTGTGAGTCAGCGCCTTGAGCACGCTGTTGGCCTGGAACGTCGCATCCGAGAGCGGAAGCGGCGACGAGGCCTTGGGGGAAGTCGACCATGAGTCGGAGCCCTGTCCCAGTGGGAACAGGGAGCTTAGTGCTAGCGCACCAGCACCACCGCTGCTCGATCCAGACCCGGAACCGGACCCGGACCCGGAGCTGCTGCTACCCGTGGAGGCAGCATTGCTCGTGGTGGAAGTGGTCGTCGCCGAAGGCTTCGGCGATTTCGACTTGGGGGGCGCGGCTGTAGCCGGAGCCGAAGAGGACGGCCGCGCTGTCGTCTGGTCGACGGTCGAGGACGGTGCCTGTGCGACGGCGGAAGTTGCAACAATATTTACGGCACCGCTTGACGTTGACGATGGTGTCTTGCACATCCTCCGCCCGACCGATCGCGCAGACCGCTTCGTGTTCTCGGAGCGCTCCAGCAAGTCCCCTGCGTTTGCGTGCGCCGCGCGGGCAATGGCTTGATGATGATGTCGTGACCAAAGACCATTGTGTGGTTCAGCAGCAACGGCTGTTGCCAAGGCCGTCAGAGCCATGATGCAGAGTTGGGGAGTGAACATGACTCGATTGGTTAGTAGGTGAGTAGTTGGCGGAGGGAGGGAAGGAGGGAGGGAGGGAAGGAGGGACAAGAAAGAAAGGTAGAAAGCAACAACCTCGGCTGCGACAGGCCAATGGCCGACAAACAAAAGTGGGGCCGTCAGGGCACTTTTCGGCTTGATCTGAATGAACGGATAAATTGATTGTCCGCCTTTATTGGGCAGCGTGTGAAGATTTTTTACAGGTAGAACTGAGAAAGTAGTGCCCCCCGCTGAAGCTTAAAAACGGGAGCGAATTCGAAGAGACACTCTTTCAGTACCGCTGCGCTGCTAGGACAACTAATCGCATAGATTTTTAGACGAAGTGATCGCTGGCCGATCTGTTATCAGCACTGCACCGCCTCAGCCCGGATGCACCAGATGTCAAGTCCGATTGACAAGCGTCTCGCATGAACAACATTGAAGTGAAAGTGAAGGCGGACATACGGGAGTCGCGTCCGCAACCTCACATAAGATGCTATGTATGGCTTGTTCAATGCAGCCGTTTCTAGCAACGAGTGTCCTGGACCTGTGCCGGCTTCACGCCCTGCGCCAAGAATAGATCGACGACTGCTCCGTGAAACCTCGCGCGCGCCAACTGCGTTACATCCACCTCGATCAACCCTGCGTAGTCGAACGCATGGCGTAGATCGTTCTTCGAGAAACCGTGTTTGTGTGGGACGTCTTCTGGTATGGGCGTGGTCGATGAGAGAAAGTCGACTACCAGCAGGCAGCCGCCTGAGCGTAGGAAATACGCGAGTGTGCGCGTGGTTTCGTCAATAGCCGAGAAGTGGTGGTATGCAGCAGAGCACTAATACCGTCGCCATAGAAATTAGATCGAGGTGCCTCGAGGAGGGCAGAGTGGGCCAGACGCACGACGATGACATCGAACTTCTCTCCATCCAGTTCCGTTGCCTCGCCTTTCAGATCGGCACAAATAGCTTGCATCTCTTCTGGTGGTATCCCTGAAGTTGCATCGTGTCGATGATCTAGGGTAACAGGTCGCCGGCAATAGAGCACCTTGGTTTTGTATGTGTTCTTGGAATAGGTTTACTTTTGCCGCGTCGATATCTACACCGACGATCCTGCGAGCAAATGGTGCTAATCCACGAGAAATTGACCCTTTGGACGTTTTGTCGATAGTACGAAATAGTCGCGATGTGGAGTCTATGCGACGAACCTGATCCACATGCAAAATCCATAACACTCGTTACGTCCTCGTCGAAGTCGTACGCATCAAGCATGGCCTCAGCTATTCTTCGAATACATGAGGAAGGCGGCTCATGTATGTGGTGTTGGTAACCTGTTGGTAGTTTGCCTTTCCAGACGCATGGTAGCGGTCGCAGTCAAAAACGTATATATGTAAGGTCACCCATGTCCGGCCCGAAGGATCCGACTGCATTCCCCTTTCGACTTGCAAAAAGCTAGTCATGATAGTGCATGTGTGTAATAGTATGATACAGTATATGTATGTCAGTTAAATACAGTCCTCAATCAGCAGCAACCTCCTCCATGTCGTCGTCGTCGTCATCGTCGTCGTCCATACCCTCCTCCATCTTCATGTCCTCCCCGAAACTGAACAAGCCCGCGCCGGACGGTAACGGCACCGCAGACGTGTCCTTGTCCTTGAACGTTTCTTTGAGCTCCCACATGCTTGCATGCTCGCCTGTCTTGTTGAGGAACGCAATCTCCGACAGCACTTCCTTGAGGTAGACCTCGGGCTGCTGCGTTCGCTCTCGCAATGGCTTGATACCCCAATATGGCTGGTCCCGGAAGACCTGGAACAGCAGATCGAGAAGCTGGTTTCGCGGGATACGCGCCATGCGCTCGAACTGGCCCTTGGCAGGCTTGGGTTTTGTTTTCTGCAGAGGCATCGGTGAGCAGAGTGCCAACGCAAGGTCACGCTGTATGTCCGACTCACAACGAGCTCGCTGAATGCTGTTCCAGCGCCGGTGCTGACACCGCTGGTGAGCCTGTTGACGGCACCCCGGCCACCCGCGATGCCCGCATCCTCGATCCGCTTCACCTGTCTCGTCGCCGTGTTGGCCTTGAGATGTCGCTCGCGCATCTGCTTGCGGTAGCTCGCGGTGAGCCCCGCCGGTCGCATGTTGCAGTCGTGTTTTATCCGGCCCGTGAGGATGGTTGTGCGCGCACGGGTGTTGACGGTTGCTGCCGCCGCCGACTTGGAGGCGCTCAGGCTCGGGTCCTTCGGCCGCTCCGCGATGACCACCTGATTTTCTACATTGTCGTTCACCATGTCCAACTCATAACAGTCCGGCTCGTCGCTCCCTTCTATAACGTAGTTCGTTGCGTGCGCGAAATGCGGCCGGTTCGGTTTCACGGAAGGGTTTGGGACCTGCGGACGGCTGGGGTCGATGTTGGGTGGTAGGAATAAGAACATGCGCGATCGGTTGTTCGGAGGGCAATTGGAGTATACGCGGACAGTGGCAAGATGAGAGTCTTCTCTGTTGAGAGCTGTCCAGCGCTCGAGAAGGTGTTTGGGTACCTGGGCCGGTCAACTACCTTCGAACACTTTCTCGGACATGGACAATCGACCTTGACGAGCCAGACTCTGCCATTGCCCTGGTCCAGCATCAGCTGCTCGTCGGGGTCTGGCTGCGAGTCCCCATCTGCCGCATCGACCTGGAACGATTTCTTTTCCTCTTCGAGCTCCATCACTGTGGGCGGCGCGGAAACAAGACAGAGGAAGAGAACAAGAGAATGGCTGATCGAGTTGTTGTGATCGCATCACAGTCAGTCATTCCCCGTGTTCGTGCTCGTGCTGGTCCCGTGTCCTTAATTCCGCCAGACAAGACAAAAATCCACCATGCTTCTTCCTTCATCTCCCCAACAACTCTCCAGCTCCATCTCGAATCACTTGAAGTGATATTATGCTTCGAACGCATTACAGAGCTCGGTCCCCGCTGGAACAGTGGGCACAAGCTGGGCGAAGCACTGCACGCTACTATCCGCAACCGCTCCAAGGGCAGCAGCGTCAGCCTGCGCTTGCTCTGCCCTCTGCGCTGGCACGTTCAGCACACACGAATGCTTCTAGTTCTCGTGTCGACCATCGAGGACGGAGAATTGCTTCAAGCCGCGATCCCCTCCAAAGCCACTGGCATCGTGCCCACTGCAGCGCATATTATCACGCCACGACAGCTCTTGGACTTTCCTCTGTCTCGAGCCCACATCCAAGCTCCGCATCGTCCTCTGCCCCATCGGCAAGTGACCATATCCCCGGCCCCCAAGCGAGACTGTACCGGGACCCAGACATCTCTCATCCGGCTTCCAAAGAGGACATAGTTTATAGCCCGGGAACATGGGAGACTACCGCGGAATCACAAGACGCTCACACGACGTCTGAGAGTTCACCAGTCCAGATATTCGCGATTGGAGCGGTGGTAGGATCCGCGCTGCTGGGTGGGATCGGATGGCTCATTTGGCAGACCTACGGGCAATGGAAGGCTGACGTGGAGGGAGCGGCGTTAGAGCAGCCAGCGAATGATTCTGCTCGTGGAACATCAAGCACCGTAGCGAAGCAGGCCCCCGTTTTCGGGTTGTTTGGAGGGCGGAATCGAGGATGCCCTTGTTAAATCTCGCGAGTAGAGCACACTAGAGAAGTATTCAATGTATGCAGACGGTGCTGTGAATCTTGTACATCAGAACATACGCTTATGACTGGAGTCGATGTCCAATATCATCAGACACGTTCCACAGCTGTGTTTCTGCTACATGGCTATCAGATCAAATACACTGTTGCAGTATCCGTCTGTGCCGTAAGCAGATCTCTCTATCAACGTACGCGTTCGGCACGACAGGTCATTCGGCCAGTACAGCGCTCGGCAACGCGGAAAGGCGTCTCGATTTGGAAACAAGTAGTTTCCTGGACTTTTCCTGCTCTTGTGACGCGTTTTTGGCTTTCGGATGCACTCGCGTGGCAAGAATGTCCCCAAAGACACGTACCATATGTACCTTGGAGGGTGTCTGCTGTCCCTGTGTGCAGTATTTACAGAAAAGCTTGCTGGAGGTCACTGTCGATGTCATCAGATTCGCGTCATCACTGGTAGATAAAGTGGGATGCGTAGTTCCCAAATGCAGTGTCTGTCTCGTCAAGTTCCCACTTGCCATACCTCTACCGCAAGCCAGTCATCAGGATGATCACCAAGGTCCTCGTTGCCCTTGGCGGAACGCTCGGTGCCTTCGGGTTGTACGAGCTGCTGAAGCTGGTGTACAAGGAGTTCAATTCGCCCATCAAGCATCTCCCAGGACCCAAACCGACGCATTGGTTCTACGGAAACATGAGGGATATCTTCAGAGCGGAGGCTTCTGTGCTACACGAGCAGTGGGTGCAGGAATACGGGCCGACGATCAAGTACAAAGGGTTGTTCGGAGTGAGTGGGATCAACCCTGATGTAGCGGGGAGCCGCAGGGGACTGTTGGCTCACTCGTCGGTCTTTCTAGATGAGCCGGCTGTACACCGTGGATGTCAAGGCTCTCAACCACTTCCTCACGAACAGCCATATCTATCAGAAACCCAAGCAGTCCCGTTTCGCCCTTGAAATGGTGGTCGGACCGGGTTGGTGCTATCCATGCCGATATCTTCTCAGAGACGCGCCGTGTTGACGAAAATTGTCTCCAGGTGTACTGGTGCAAGAACAGGACGAGCACAGAAGACAGGTCCGTTGTCATGTCATCAAGGTTAGCTCCAGCTTATAACGCAACTCGACAGCGCAAGATCATGGTTGGTAGACAAGTCGACCCTGAGTCACCCTTGATAACCAGAACTCGCAGAATCCAGCTTTCGGACCACCTCAGGTCCGCGAATTGACGAGTATCTTTGTCAACAAGTCATTGGAGGTCAGTCCATTCGAGCGCCGAGGCAGCTTCCGGGAGCTGATCTTATGTGGTAGTTGCGAGACGTTTGGGCAAAGCAAGCGAATGCAGACCCTGTGAAACTGGACGTGATACCCTGGTTGAACAAAGTGACCTTGGATATAATCGGATTGGCTGGTACGCGGCAACCCGATCGGGGCTGGCGGTTGCTTGACTCCTCCGACAGGCTTCAATTACGATTTCAACTCTGTCGCATCGGACGAGGAGACAGAGCTCGCGGCTGCTTTCAAGACGATGTTCGCAGCTGCCACGAGAATCAGGCTTGTTGGTATCCTGCAAGCTGTTCACCCAATTTTCCGTCATCTTGTGAGTGACCCTGTCGTCGCTCGAACCTGACTTGCTTATCAGGACAGACCGACGAAACAGGCAGGGCTATGAAGAGGGCCCAGGCTACCATGAATAAGATCGGAGAAAAGCTGTTGCAGGATGCTAAGAAGGAGATCGCGGACAGTGGGACTTACGAGAAGGGGACGCAGTCTAGGGATCTGTTCTCACTCCTCGTTCGGGCTAACACAGCGAAGGACATTCCCGCCAACCAGCGCTTGGATGATCTGGATGTTTTGGCTCGTGAGCTCCTGATGCTTACTCTGAGTTCACCATCTTACTCTGTTGCAGAGGTCCCCACCTTCTTGGTTGCTGGCCACGAAACGACGAGGTGAAGGCATTTAACATCGTTTCCGGCCGTTGTTCTCAAGGATTTGTCTAGTACGGCTACGACATGGGCATTGTTCGCTTTGACGCAGAGCCCCGCAACTCAGACTCGGCTGCGCGAGGAGCTGCTGAGCGTGTCGACAGACAATCCTACCATGGATGAATTGAACGCCCTTCCGTATCTGGAATGCGTCGTTCGCGAGACATTGCGCGTGCATTGTCCCGTGGCTGCCACCGGTAACGGACTCCTCCCAGTCGTTCTCCAAGACGCTCATTCGAATTATGCAGTTCGCGAAGCGGTCCAAGACGATGTGGTCCCGCTGGCCGTGCCGTTCACTGATGTCAATGGCGCGGTACACGACACACTACAGTGCGTCTGACTTCGTCCTCTCCTGAATGTGGTCTGATTTTGAGTGAAATAGAGTGAAGAAAGGACAGACCATGTGAGCCCCAGAGTATGCCTTACTCCGAGCAGACTGATGCTTCCTCATAGCTTGATACCCATTCTGGCACTCAACCGCGACAAAGCCATTTGGGGCGAAGATGCTACGGAATTTATGTATGCCACCAGTCAAGGATCGCTAGACAAGCGCACTCATCTGTTTGCAGCGCTGAACGGTGGGAATCTGGCAACATATCCAACTCGATCCCCGGAGTTTGGGGACATATGATGACGTTCCTCGGCGGTCCGAGAGCGTGTATTGTCCGTTCCTTCCTCGCATTCTTCAGCTTCGGAGACTGACATGACCTTACAGGGCTATCGGTTCTCTCTCGTCGAGTAAGTGGCCTGCTCATCGACAGAGTCACGGGGAATGGGATCCTGATACGTTCTAGGATGAAAGCGCTTCTTTTCACGCTGGTCCGCGCCTTCGAGTTCGAGTTGGCCGTGCCGATCGAGGACATCGGGAAGAAGTCGACTATCGTTCAACGGCCTATCTTGAAGAGCGATCCTAAAGCTAAGCACCAGCTCCCGTTGATCGTCAAGCCTCATGTGCGTTGAGCGGTTGACTATGTTGTATTTTATTGGACGATCTAGTTTCTCGTGGATATAATTTATCGTATTGAGAGGGCCTGGAAAACTTCACATCCATCTCAATGTTTTTCAAAGTCCGACGTTGTCAATCAGGCACAAAGGAAAGCACACGATCCCCGTAATTGCCGATTTGTTGGTCTGGCTCGATCCAGCAGTCACCGGCATCTCTGAAACCTTGAAGCTCGTTGACACTGAGGGCATCTGCCATGCACTCCGTAAGAATACAAAGTAGTTTGGACGTTGTTCCCGGCAATGCCCTTGTGCCGTTTGGGGATGCTGCCCTTGTTTATTCCTATTTGGGTTACATCATTTTGATGTGACTTCCTGTTTTGGACATCCTATTGTCCTTGGCCATTGTCCTCGAAAAGCACAATGGACGGCGGAATGGAAACTCGGCTACCGACGCGACGGGTTTTGTCTTCTCTTTATCATAATACAAGCCTATCTTCTTCCCTCCTCTTCCACCACCTACTTCGTTTCGACGGTCTTTCTTCATGTTTTCACGACTCTGTTTAACCTTAATGCTTTCTGCGTGGGGTGCACGAGCTGGTGTGTCCTTATGCATCTCCATTCTCGTTCCTCGACTTATGCTCCTGCTCAGCATCCTCATCGTTCAACTCATCGACTGCCATTGTGTGCGTTGCGGGCCAATGTCTGCAAGGTACATCGAATACATCCCGTACGTGTTGTTGCCCTGTCTAGCCTCGGTGCTTGCTGACTTCAGCCGCAGTCGGGGTATCTGTTTCCGCATCAGACGTGAACCAAAGTGTCATTCTACTACCGGGCCAATACACCGCGACGACGAACCCTCAACTCGTTCACGATCTTCTCACTTCGCCTCACGCCTCGTTAATACCGTCGCCCGGCTTCGGCCTCAACTCGACGTCCTCACTCTCCCTTCCGTTGAACGTGGCGGTCTCGCCTGGCTTATCCATCTACTCCGACTCTCTCTATTCTGGCAAAGCCGCCTTTAGCGTGCTGCCGTCCGCCCCCGTCGGAAATGTGTCCGTCCCACTCGCCGCGCAGTCGCTTGCCATGTCTTCGAGCGTCTGGGCCGCTGTCTCGCTCGGCTCCAACGGACGCGTCGTGTTCTGGGACTCCATCCCCGACACGGCCCAGCTCCCCATCACCTCCACCTCGTCTATGGCACTGCTCGACATGCAGTCCTCGACCTGCTCCACGCCCTGCGCCAGCTCGGGCACCTGCTCGTCGTCGGGCACCTGTGTCTGCGCGCCCGGATTCAACGGCACGTCCTGCGAGACCTGCGCTCCTGGATTCTTCGGGCCCACGTGTCAAGCCTGTCCCGCAGGATGCGCGGTGTGCGATCAGGGCATTACGGGGTCGGGACGGTGTCTCTCGCCGCCGTTCAAGAGCCCGCTGACGACGTGCAATTGCTTAAACGGAGAGTGCGCCTCGGATGGCACGTGTGCGTGTAACCCGGGGTGGGCAACCGCCTCCAACGGCACAGCTTGCGCGAAGTGTGCGCCTGGGTTTTTCGCCACGTCTAATGGGGACTGTAAAGGTGTGTGGCGGATTTTTCCGGACTCTTTTGTTGGGGGAACTAACAAATCATCTCAGTCTGCCAGCTGGGATGCACAACTTGTGCCGATGGAACCGGGAACTGCATCACCTGTGGATCAAAGTACACCCAAGACCAGAACGACGCGACGAAGTGTACGACGCTCCCGAGCACCGCCAACGGCGTCACCTGCCCCGACGGCAGTTTCGGGAACGGGGCAACCTGCTCCGCCTGTTCCGCCTCTTGCGCGACTTGCACCGGCCCTACATCCAACGATTGCACGACCTGTACCTCTTCGCATTACTTGACGAACAACGGCAGCTGCGTGACAGCTAGCAACACTGGAGTCTGCGAGGGCTCTAATCTCATTGCGGATAATAACAAGGGCGAATGTGACAGTAAGTTGTGCGGCGCCATCGTTGATGAATGAGTCACTGATCGTTTGTGATAGCTTGCGGTGCCAAATGCACGACCTGCGAGATCAGCACTTTCAATGTCGCTTCCACGGTCAATCAGCTCAAATGCACTGGCTGTCTGACGGGCAGTGTGCTTTCCAATGGCCAATGCATCGATTCATGCCCATCCGCAACCTTCCTTTCACCGCGGGACAATGTCACTTGTACAGGTGCGACAGCTTTTTATCGCTGGATTTCATCTTGCTAATTTATCTGTCAAGCCTGTGATTCGAGCTGTTCTACTTGCGCTGGCTCGCCTACGACCTGTTTGACATGCGCCAACAACCAACTGGCAGTTAACGGCAAATGTGTCTCGACCTGTCCCTCCAACACTTTCTCGTCCTCCGGCGTCTGTCTCGATTGCCATCCTGATTGCGCCACTTGCAGTGGAGGCTCGTTCTCTCAATGTCTGTCTTGTCCCTCAGATCGACCCGTGCTGAGCAACGGCCGATGCCTTCCCACGTGCAACAAGAACCAGTTCTTCGAAACGTCTTCGAGTTCGTGTCAGTCCTGCGACGCAAGCTGCTCGAGTTGCTCGGGATCCGGCGCGAGCCAGTGTTTGGCTTGTGCTAGCTCAAGCCAAGTGTTGCGGGCCGGGACATGTGTGTCTGCTGCTTGCACGAACTCGACGAGCGTCATCCCTGGGCTCGGCTTGTGTTTGTCTGATTTGGTGGTTGTGACCGAAGTTGCTGCCAAAAACACAACGATCTCTCAACCAACCAAGCCGACAACACCTACCCCACCTCCCGCCAATACGACGACGGTTGTCAAACGGCCGCTTGCTTGGTGGGAGATCCTGCTGATGGCCTTGGGGTGTGCGTTCATCTTCGTGCTCGTGATGATGTGCTTCCGCCGCCGGGCCCGCAACCGCCGTGCGAAGCGGACGGCCGCCTTTGCGACCTCCAAGAAGCTGAATCCCGCCACGAACTGGCGATGGCGCCTGCTACGGTTTGGCGAAAAGCTGTTTGGGCACCGAGCCAGTCGGCGGGCGGTAGTTCCTCAGGCGGTGGCGCCGGAGTTCGAGAGCGAGGCCATCAAGCTGATGAAGATTCGCAATGCCGAGGAGGCGAGGCACCACATGGAGATGGAGAAGCTGGAGCTGTTCGGCGCATACGAATATTCTCGCGCTGGATCGTTGCACTCGCGGGCTGGATCTATTCATTCGCGGTCGAGCACCACACCGTCTGTTCTCCCCCCGTTGAACGGTGGCAAGCGGATCGCTCCGGACAACATGACCCGTTCCTCGATCTACTCGCAAGTGACCGGTATCCCCCGAAACGCTCCGGAGCCGAGACAGCCCATAAACAAGCTGGACCGGTATCCCAGCAGTGCTGGATCGTACATGTTCCGCTCGGAGGACGCGCGATTGGTCGATGTCGATCCGCCTTCCGGACGGCTTACGCCCGCTCAGGCCTACGCCGACAACTTTCGCCGGCCATCGCCCCCGCCGAGTAGTCGGGGCGGATACTGGCTCGAGCCAGTCAAGACGGGGACGTCCTCGAACAATAACCCGTTCAGACGCTGATATGCGCACCTGTATTTAAATCAACTCTATCCTAGACGGACCTTTTACATTAGTGAACATTTTACGCATAGCATACATACATCTTTTGTATTTTTCCATTATAGCCCATTGTATTTCGAGTCTCGTTGCACTGCACGAAAACTGACAGTCTCAGCGCTATTGATGACATGTAAACATTCGATCTGTAAGCTTGGGGAGTCTGCGATGTCTTTTCCAAACTGTGAAAAGAATACCTCATAAGAGACGTGGACCTGATATCCTAGGAAAGCTTCGAGAATCTGGCAGTAAATAAGCTAGCGCCCGATAGCCGGATAACGATTAAAAGTACCATGTCAGAGCCATGGAGTTAAAATGTGGCGACGACGAAATTGAAGTAGGTGATGTCACCTTCCCCAAAGAGCACGTGAGGGAGTCAGTGGCATAATTAAATCCGAGTCATCCCAATCGACACACGCAATCTCCATCACATCTACGACCATGCCACCGAAGGGAGGAAACGCTAAGAAGGAAGGCGGTCGCGCCAAAAAAGCTGAGAATGAGGCGAAGAAGAGTGAAGCGGCAGCTGCTGAGAAAGTGCGTGCGCTCAGCCCGATGATCTCACCCGCGTCTGATCTGTTCCCAATCTAAATCTGATCAGGAGCGCAAAGAGGCTGCAGCCTGGACAGACGATAATGTTAAAGGAGGAAAGGCTGCAAAAGATGCGAAGGAGGAAAAACGTCGCGCCGATCTCGCACGCAAGGCCGAATCGGCGCGTCTCCTGGCCGAGGAAGAGTCATCGGCGCCAGCCAAAGCCAAGGCCGCTCCCAAGGCCGGCCAGAAGAAGTCTGCCCCCGCACCTCGGCCTGCTGGACCAGGTGTGATTGCGGCTGGTGGTGGTTTGGGCGAGGCATCCGACAAGGGTGCTGCGCCGCCCGTCGAGCCAGAGAGCTTCTCTGCTACTGGTCTCGATGCAGCGTTGGATCTGCTCGATGTAGTGACCGCCAAGATGGATAAAGCTAGCGTTGGACAACAAGCAGCTGATATTGAGCGTCATCCCGAGGTGCGTGGCGTTCCATCCATCCATGTCTTTGTCTATTAATCACCGGAGTAGCGTCGATTCAAGGCATTTTCGTTCCTATACGGATTGCCGGACCTTATTCACGTTTTCACAGGGTGCCTTTGAAGCCTATCTGGAACGGGAGCTGCCCATAATCCGCAAAGATGTAGGCGTATTCCATACTCGATGTGACTACGCTGATGCCGCGCGTAGCAACCGGGGCTTCGTCTGCAGCAGTACAGAGTTTGTTGTGACTTTTCGTGTCGAATCCCGACTCATAATTTGGCCAACAGGATCGTTTGTTCGAGCAGTTCAAGAAGTCGTCCGAGAATCCGTAAGTGTATCGCTTCACCAATGACGCTCTTAGCATTGATATCTCCGTCAGTTTCAATCAAACTACGGTTAACTACGATGCATCAAAGGAAGAGAAGATCAAAGCACTCAACGCCAAGCGGGCGCAGGTTGAAGCAAGCATGCGGAGTTGAGACCGAGGCGATGGTTCTTTGTGTACGATATGGCATGTCTGCCCACCAGCCAGATGCACACTCTTTGTACGTGTCCGAGGTCTCTATGCTCGTGTTGACTTACCTTCTTGCTCAGCGATTGTTGCGCGCTGTCTGGTGCTCACCGCCCTCCAAGTTCAGATTGATTGAATTACTTGTGTTGTAACAGATAGCGTTTTTGTTTGACCCACGAATGAGTACATGATGACCGTAAAGTCAGATGGAGTCTCCCTTGTGTCTCCCGTTTCCTATCGAGTCCGAGGCAATGCTCTCACTGCCTGCCATCAGATGATCTTGCAATCATCATGTCGTACACACGATAGCACAAATCCTGTCCTTCTTGTTCTCCAACTTCGCGGTTTTGCATCTCTACTTATTCGTGTCTGGATCTTCCCCTAGGGTGTTTCTCTCATGTCTGACGCAGCAGTGAGCAAATGGGCAGCTGGCGCTTTCTGTACGTCGTCTCCATACTACCTAACACCCACAGAAGTGCTGACGTCGGAAGCCAGATGGCCCCGTCCTCTCTCAAACCGATCTGTACCTCCTGAACACCGAACTCGAGCTGCATCCTATTATGGCGAACCAGGATGCCTCATTCCATCTGAATTTCAACATCTTGAGTGGTGATTCGACCTCCCATGCGTGCAACACGAGTCACTTGCTCACGATGGCTGTCGCTTTCCAGGGCAGACGGGCGGCTTTAACGCCGCCTCGCGGGATCGGGACCTGCAATTCACCGCCAAAGACGAGCCGGCGACGCTCCCCCGCGTGAGGGAGCTCATCATCATCACGGAGATGACTCCGTGGTGCACGATCGTGAAGAACGCCCAGGGTGTGACGATGAACGATATCTGCTCTGCTATATGGAAGGAGTGCGTCCGGGAAGCATTTCGTGCACGAGCAGCTGCTGATTCCACTCAAGTTACACTGAACACTACTGCACCGAGGCGGAATTCGGCGCGCTGCCGCCGCGGTTGCAGGAACACGTGAAACGCGTGTCGGCTACTAACGCTGGTGGCGGACAGCAGCCATGGGCGGGTGGTGCATATTACACCCCCGCACCAGCGGTTCAACGGTACAAGCGAGTCGGTGCGTAGCGTCCGTCTGTTGCATCGCCATACCTGACCCGCGATAGACTGGCTGCGGGACCGCATCTACTTCGATGGTTTGCGCAAAAACGACACGTATGCGCAGAGCCGGCTGGGCTACAAAGCCCCTAATATTTTCGTCATGACTTTGACTTCTTAACGGTGCATCTCTGGTCAATTGCTGTAGCTGTATTTGTTTCTCTCTGTACCAATCGAGCTGTGCACATGTATGGGTTCGAGTTCAGCGTGCCTCCGATCGTCGATGTTTTGCATCCGCGGAGGCCGCTTTTGGGTTCCCGCAGACCGGGAGATGGCAGCAGCAACACGACCACACAAGTGCGGCCGCTGTGCCTTGTTCCACCTGCGTGCGTCTTTGCGGCGCTTACTGCCTGTGCACATCTCTTTTTACCCTCTTCACGACTTCACGCCGGCACACTATCCATTCCGCCGATCGGAATCTGGGTATCGTCTCAATCGGGTTTTTTCTCGGAATTTAAGGATCAGACGGTTCAGACTGTCGCTTCGCTGTATACCGGATCGAGAGGGAACTGGAAGATTCTCAGCAAGGGCCGATATCTCTATTTTCTGATCTGCACAGTGGAAATACCCAGCATTCGCAGTGCGGCAGCCTTCGTTCCTGGATTGCGTGTTGCTGATCAGTGATACCGAACATCCGCACAGCACGCGCTCATTACCTCACCCACTACTGAACGCGTTGCCCTTAGTACTCGCAACTGCGATTTAAAGCTCTTTCATCATGGACGCGTCCCCACCAGAACATCGTCCGAACGTCACTCCCTTCATTCCGCCTCTGCAGTCACCGCATCCGACACCTCCGACGGCACCTCCAATCCCGGTACCTCCACCAGCCGGTCCCAACACGCAGTACCCTTCGTGGGCTGTGAACCCGCAAGGCGCGGCGTTCTACCCTGGCTACCCCAACTCCCCGTACACGGCACAGCCAGGGTCCACACCATACATCCCATTCAACGCCGGAGCACATACGGGCGGTGCCCTTGCGGGGGGCTATTTCCCCCCGACGCCCGGCACAGGGATGGGCATGGGCATGGGAGGTGGCCTCCCTGGTGGTGGTGGATTCGCAATGTCGTGGGGCAGTGGCGTCGGTGGGCCCGGTGGAACGCCCTGGCCCGCGGTTCAACCCGGATTAGCGTCGCCCTATCCGCCCGCTGGTGCTTTCATTCCTCCCGGTCCTTATGGGGGCGGTGTTGTGCCTCCGCCTCCGGCACCCCAGTCGTGGGCGAACACGCCTCCCGCTCCACCCGCCGCTCCACCGTGGGCGGGGCCGCCACCAGGGATGAATCCCTGGGGAGCTCACATGCCCATGTGGAACGGCGTTCCTGCGACGATGCATCCAGGTATGTTTTCCGGGATGGGCCCTCCCATGGCTGGGCTGCCGGGAGGGTATCCGATGGCGGGTCCTGGAGCGCCTGGTCTGGGTTTTTCACCAGGTGAATCGCATCCTTATTCGCGGGGCATGGAACCGCAAGGTGGAGATCAGATCGATCACTTCATGGAAGGGCCGCATTGTGTGTCAACAGTACCTAAATGATCCTGGCTCATACTCATGGAATCCTCAGATGGACCCGTGCTGGAGCCATTCCTCGTCCGTGCTGTTAAAGCACATCCCGTCGTGAATCCGCTGCTTCAGCCGCCACAAGAGAGCACGGACCGAGTTTACCTGAAATGGAACATGCTCTTTGCCTCGGGCCAATGCCAGCGCTCGGACGATCCGCCCCACATGTCATGGGCCAAAGACCGAGGCCAGCCAGCGACGTTTCCTCGAGTGACATCTCTGCGTCTCATCTCGGAGACTTTCCCCTGGCCTATCAACATTAGTGCGCGCAATCGTGAGATCGGCGTCACCTGCGGGGACGTCATCGACCAGATGGCTCGGGACATGTCTTCCATGATCCCGCAGGCCGAGTACGAAAAAGCAGCATCAAGAGCGAAGCAGACGCAAATCAATAACGCGTATCGGCACAACCGGTCTCGCGCCATCGGAGTTCCCGGGGGACAGCTGAATCAGGGCCTGCTGCACCTGGATTGGCTGTGCGAGTTCACGATGTACGGGGGGATACGCGACAACGAGCGCCTGGTGAAGCAAATCTGCGGGGAAGTGATGCCCTGCACTTTTGAGCTTGTCTGTGTCCGGCGGTACCAGATGACGGCCGAGGAGCACAGAAACCAAGAGGCGCTCCAGCGGACACTGGACGAGCAGCAGCGCACATCGAGAAGGACCTCGCATCGGCCTACCGTCCATTCGGTCCGCGACGAAGACAGCGACACCCTCACTAGCAGTGAATCGGAATCGGAAGAGGATGAATCTGATCACAGAAGTCGAAGTCGGCGGGGGCACTCTCGGCCTGGCACGGCTGCCTGATTTTGTATTCGGGGGAATCATCTGTTGTAGATCTAAGTAACATTTATTGTATTACTATCTACATCTTGTATGTACTGGTAAGTAATATGTACATGACAGCATGCACAGAATGTGACGCTGTGAATCGCGGCCGTCGTCTCATTTGACCTTCAGTCTCATTTGCAGACCAGAAATACTCGATCTTCCCCTCCATGACTCTGAGTTTTGCTCCATCTCGAAGCGAGTTGAAATCAGGAGCAGCCTTGACAGAGGCTCGCGTGCGCGACGTTGATGGGTGCATTCTGAATCTGAGTAGGTCGCCCTGATGATGAAATCGCTGCTCCGAGCTCTAGTCTGATTGCGACTCCATCGTCTATGTCCGCTCTGCAGAATCTCGAATTCGCATCCATCGATCAGTGTCACCATCTATTTCCCCACCGACTGCGATTGGCTCTCTCATAAGCTTCCTGGCTGTAATCACCCCAACTCGACGTGATCCTATCCGCCGGGCCGACCCACCGGCCGTCAAACTCCAAACTGTCCCCACACGCGGGAACCGAGTTTATCTGGCCCTTCAAGTGATCACCCGTGAACTTGATATACCCGCTGCGGCTGGGATTCGGCGGACTGATTTCCCCATCGTATCCTTCTCCCGTTTCCCCGGCCCAGAACAACGCGACATACGCACCATTCGCGCCCCGTGGCTCGACGCGGTCAGATCGAATCAGCCCGCGGATGACGCCCAAGTCGAATTCGCCAAGCAACGACGCGCCGGTTTGCACGATGTTGGCTGAGAGATCGTCATGGCCCCAGCTCTCGGTGATGAACGGGCAGCGGATGGACCAGCGACCTGACACACTGTCCGCGCGCGGCTGGCGCTTGGTGTTGCGCGACCGGGATGGATGCAGCGCAGGAGGACGACCGCCGGTCGACTTCCGCGCCGTCTGCTTCGTTTGCTGGACCACTGGCTCGACGTCCACGTCCATGGGTTCGAACCCTTCAATATCGTACGCTGACGTTGAATTCGCAGCCGTTTGCTTTGGCGCAGGTTTGGACGAAGACGGGGCAGGAACGACGTCCATCGTCGACTTCTTTGCCGTCTGTTTGGTACGTGGTTTTGTCTTAGGAACCGGGACAGCTTCTGCCTTCTGTAAGCGAGGTTTCTTCTGAGAAGCTGCTGACTTGGTCGTCTTTTCCGTGGCGCCAGATTCATCTGTGGTCGCCCTCTTCCGCTTTCCGCCTGCACCTGCGCCAGCACCCGCACTCATGCCCGCCTTGTCTCGCACCTGGGCATTCAGCTCGCGAAACTCTTTGTTGGACTGGTACTCCAGATCGAGGAGGCTCTGCGGGACATGTAGCGCATTTCTCTTGTCGCGCAATGCGTCCTCCAGCTGCGCCCGGAGTTGAGCGATCGTCATCGTCTTCGTGTATTTCATTCCGTAGAACAAGGTCTGTGCACCCCACCAAGCTTTAGGCCTCATCATTTTGATATAAATTCGTGATATCACATTTGGAGATGCTCAATGAAACTCACCTATCCCGGTCACCTATACCGTTCCTTCCGGCACTCGGGAGCAGCAGGGAACGAAGACTGTCAGCGGAGACACGTTCCTGCTCCTCGAAGCGGAGTCCCGAGCCCGAGCACGTGAAGTGCTTCTCCACCACCATGGGAGGGATGACGATGGGCTCTAGCGTGTCCGCCATGCCGAGGCGACGCCACACGGGGAGAGAAAGGGACAGGAGAAAGTTGTCGCTTGTTTGGAGTCTATCACGAACTCGCTGCGCATCATCTGCATCTCGTGACTCTCACATGACCGTGGCCAGTCCTAAGACTCTTTTTGTCAGGGAATAGCTTTGATTCGCTCTGATGCTCTTGAAAAGATGCGTCAAAGCCGGCGCGTCGGTTCAGCAAGAGGCAAGAAGCTCCATTGCTGCAGAAGTCTTCTTCGTGTTGTCCGACTCTCGTGAATTGATTCAAACTTATCACCACCCCAGGGACCTCCAATTATTACGTAAAATGGCTTCGAGGCCCCCTCCGGAGGCCATCAAACCACCCCCTACCCCCCCTGATCGGAGGCCATCCTGGAGGCGCCTTCCTAATTGGGACGCTGCCTGGCCATTTGTCCACCGCTTGCATGGTATGCTAGGGATCGGCCTGAGTGCTGATATATGCTGTAGTAGTCATCATAAAGCCTCAGACAATGTCTGACCTCTCAAAAGCATGTATTTCTTGCTTGCAAATGGCAGACCACTGGGTGCACAAAATTTGGGATCTGAGTATGTGAGCACTCCTCAGAACAGTATATGTATTAATTCAAGATTGAGCATGAGGTAGCTGTGCCCACACGCAAAAAATGAGATGTTGCTGAAGGGATGGTTTATGGCCTCCACGACCTCCCAGGTGCAGAAAAAAAGGTGTTGGGTAGCCCACAGGCCCTTGAATTCCGCTTCAATAGAACAATTTGATGCTTATGCTTTGTCAAAACAACAGCTCAGCATATAAATTGGATGTTGGAGCAGTGGCAGAACAAGCCTCCACCGCCTCCAGGGCTGGGGATCAAAAGCGGTTACTGTAGATTCAGCCACACAAACTGTGTTCATGACATTATTTATCTTCATTGAGATGCACAGGATCCTTTAGAGTGATAGCTCAACATGTGAATTGGATGCTAGAGCAGATTACAGAAAAGCTCTCCACAGCCTCCACAGCCGGGGACTAAAAGCAGTTTCTTTGGATTTAGCAGCAGAAACTATGTGTTCAATGTCAGGTGTCTTATTTGAATGCCAAGGGTCCTCTATGGAGACAGCTCAGCATATGAATCAGATGCTGGAGCAAATGGCAGAACTGGCCTCCACCGCCTCCACAGGTTATTACTTGAAGAGTTGGGATGAGATGACAATGTAACAGACAGATATTCTCCTGGCTGACCACATTCTGTCATTTCCACCTCTAAATGCGAGTTGAATTGCTGCAGAATGTTAAAATGAGAGAATGGGGGACCCTGGAGGCGCTGGAGGCACATGCAAGATCCAATCAATATCATCAATATCATCAATGCCATCAATAGCATCAACAGCATCACCAATCATTGGTAGATTGATCAGCCAATCAGATGATGAATAAACATCGAACATCTAGTATATTCATTCCTGAGAGACACAGACTATATGTATGCTCATACTGAAAGTGGATTAGTGGTCCCAGGACATGCCCCAATGACATATTACATCCTTGTCTCAAGAACATATCATTGAAATTCGGAGTTTGCAAATGAACTGAAAGTCAACTGAAGATGAGTGGTACAGTGGAGTACTTTCAGCTAAACAAAGTCTGAGAGTGCACAGAGATGAAAGTCAACTAGAGATGAGATGCAAAGTTGACTTTCAGCTCATTTGCAAACTCCGAATTTAAATCATATGTCCTTGAGACAAGAGTGTAATATGTTGCTGGGACATGCTCTGGGACCAATAATCCAGTTTCACTATGAGCCTACATGTAGTCTGTGCCTCTCAAGAATTAAAATACTCAATGTTAGGTGGTTATACATCATTTGATTGGCTGATCAATCTACCAATGATCCATGATGATATTGATGATATTGATGGCCTTGATGATAATGATGATATTGATGTAACGATGATATTGATGATATTGATTGGATCTTACATGCGCCTCCAGCACCTCCAAGGAGGCTGTGGAGGCCACCTCTGCTACTTTCCATCCACTGTTGCCAGCATAAATTGGCCCAAATCCCGGCATTGTTGAGACTTCCTATCAACTTGTAAATGCATCAGAAAGCAACCGATCAAAACAAAGGCCTGCAGTCATGGAACTGAGAGGCTTTGGAGGCCACCTATGCTTTCTGCTAAAATTCACCTGCAGCCCCACAGAGAGTGTCCCACACGTAAGAAAAGGCCTGATTGAGCATCTGAAAATGTTGGGAAGTGGGCAAAATAAATCCCTGTGCAGCTGAATCAAAATACCGCTCTTTGTCTTGCACCCTGGAGGCGGTGGAGGCATGTCATGTTAGGTGCTCCAGTATATGTTTTTTTAAGCTCAAGTGTCTGACAAACAAAGTCTGAGAGTGCACAGAGATGTTTCAGTATTATCCAAGATGGTCTGGCCTCATTATCACCTATTTTCACTGTTCTTGGAGGCCATGGAGGCTGCAGACTGCTTTTTCTGCTAAATTACATTGTGGTGCTTATACATGAGCTACTTGTGTGTTACACCATTCAAATACATGAGCTTGCCTCTCCATACACAGGTGGAGTGCTCTGCTGCACAAACCACAGATTTTATGCAGTGATGATACACCAACCAGAAGCAATATATACAATATATACAGGGTTTTGTGAGCTAAAACACTGTCTAGGCCTAAATAATAACTACCAGAGCACATCACAACCCCCTAAGGCCATGCCCAGTGCACCATGCATGCAGTAGACAAATGGCCTGCTGGGTACCAATGAGGAAGGCGCCTCCAGTGATGGCCTCCGGAGGGGGCCTGGAAGCACTTTTACATAATGAATTGGAGCTCCCTGGGGTGCTGACAAGACACTGACCATGACTGACCAGGCCTGAGCAATCTGACCAGTGACCGACCGCTGCCTGATCACAACTTATCGCGCCTTGTCAGACCCTGATCAGTTTGTCAGGCCCGATAACAAATCAATTATTTTTGCGACAGAGTGCAGCTAGGTGCAGCTCGGGAGAACATGGCGTGTCTGATGACAGATATGTGGGGCATCACTCCGGACTCCGGAGATAAATAGGACGACGACTAATCATGATCCTGTTAGAGGCTACGGATCGCTTTTGCTGAATTTGCGACACGGTATCAGAGGGATTCACACGAGAAAGGCGATGAAGACAGCAATGCAGCTGACGCGCTCTCATCACTTGATTGTCATGTTTGCATCATCTGATGTGACGTGTCAGGTCATCGGAAATTGATTCGAATGACTGATCATGATGCGATGCATGGACCTCTTCCAGACCTCTTCTGCGATAACCCTGGAATCCTGCAGTCTTTAAACCGTGGCATGGCATCGAGTGTTTGGACCTGAATATGTCTCCGCTTTCCCGGTACCTGAAACTTCCATGCAAGAATTCTACCGGAGAGTGCTTGCAGTACCACGGCATGCTGTGTACCAGTGGTACGTGCGCGAAAATGCACGGCGGAATGATCAGCTTTGCGGGGACCATTCAACTCGTTTTCGACACTGGGGAGCTTTGCTTTGAGAACCTCTGGGCAGAACCTTTCCACCTACCATGGCCTGCATACTGTCGGCTTGAATGGCCACTTCGAGTCTGGATGCCACACCGGACCCTTTGTTTCAGTGACTCAGGCCACACATGACTGCAGTAGTTGGCTGGTGGGTTCAGTCCAGGCCTGACACGGATCAAATGTAGTGGATGGACTGATGCGCAGGGACGCGCGATTTCTCGTGATATGAAACGATGGTCACACAAAAAATCGCTTTCGTGGGCTTACTGGTCAGCTGGCTACATCCGAGAATGACAGGATCATGCCATCCATCAGGTTGGGGCATTGCATTGGCCCTAGCAAGGTGTCTTTGCTTTTCGGGAGCCCATTCCTTCCCTGTCCTGTCTGCCCCTAATCTAGATCTGACATGAACGGCGGAGAGTCCTCTTTGCCGGCATATGCGCCAGCGCTGGGATCTCTGACGCGTATAAAAGCCAGAGCGCATGTGTCTGAATGCATCGAACCACTCGAACAACATGCGCGCCAACGTCTTCTGCCTTCTCTCTGCTCTCGTCGCCTGCGCTGCAGGCATGGCCGCCCCCAATGCGGCGGTGGTGACGACCGCTGTGGGCATCCACCCCGGCAACAACTACGGCGCGCCGATCCCGCCCTGGGAGACCGGCTGCCAGCCCGGGTGGTACTACGGCCAGCCCAGTAACGCGCCCGCCGAAGTCGCGTCGCTCGTGTACTCCGTCGGCAGTCTGTTTGGCACGGTCCGTTTCTTCGATCTCCTCATCGTGCATGCGCTCAATGCTGTCGGTTCAGCTGCTGTGCGATCTTCTGCGCCTGCTGCTGGGATGCGCGTTCTGTCCGTCCGGGCCGCCCCCGCCGACGATGCTTCCTGGAAGCGGCGCGCCACCGTACAGCAAACCGCCTCCCCCGCCACCTGCTCCCTACGGCTACAGCTATGGATTCCAGAATCTCACGTGCGCGGTCCAGATCTGGGTGCCGGCGAATGCGTATGAGACGTTCGGTCTCGTCGACTCTCCGCAGGGTAAATCAACGCGTCTCACAAACCAACTTGCTTCTGACCACCGTTTCAGCCTGTGCCGACATGTGCACCGCAAACCAGGACTGCTGGAGTGCGAACTGTACGTGGCATGTGACCCAACCTGATCCTCCCGTACTAACCCTGCTCTCCAGACTACCACGACAACAACAGCATCGTGCGTCGATTTCTCTATCCCTTGCTTGATAGGGCAGCTTACCAAATCGTCGCTTACAGAAAAACTCGCCGCTCCTCACGTGCTCGCTGTTCCGCGTCGTGGCCACCCAGAAGGACGCGATCAACTGCGGCCAGCAGCAGCAGCTCGGCCCGCAGGGCCCTCAGAACTCGATCACCTCCAGCTATCTGCTGGTCAAGTCCGGCCATTAGGTCCATCCGCTCTTTTTCTTAGACAGAATTATTTACATATATCCTTCCCGTTAATGTTCTGCTTCAGAATTTATGGCGTTTACCCAGTTGTCCTCCGAGAAACGGACTTGAGACGGATTTTTGAGATGAGGGCTCGTCTCTTCCATAGAAATCCGAATGACCTGATCTAGATCAGAAGAACCTGGATGCTCTGGCACGAGTAGGTCCGCTCAAAGCTTAACTACCAAATGTTGCGCGTGCCCAGTCGGTTTTGAAATGGTCATTCGGCACACGTGGCACTTGGAAGATCACCATGCAAGCTTTCTGTCACTTCCGCAGGTCTTCTCGGCCAACGACTTCTCACTTGCCAGTCTCATACAAGCTTCGTCCAAAATGGAAGAAAGATGTAAATCATCACGTGATTGTGACAGACGGATATAACGCATCCGTCACGCTCACACGAGTTTTTTCTTCGCGCACTCAAGTCAAATTGCAGGCTGTCGCTCATTTCACGACCTGTCTGTGCCAAAGCAGTGCGCAAACCGACCGGATGTCTTAGTGCTTGACTCTGTCGCGCGCGCCTGCGCGTCTGTGGGGGCGCATGGCCGGTAGTTCGTACATTCCCCAGCTTGTCGTCCATCGTGCTGTCTACGTATGCAGTTGGTTTCTATGCTTATGCCGTTGATATCCAGCCGGTTTCTCTTTGTGTCCGTTTGCTGTCGTGCCGCCGTCATTCTCGACTTGACCAGACTGCCTGTGCTGAAGCGTCTGACCCATGATCTAAAAGCTTCCCGCTTCTCTCTATACTTTCTCGTTGCCATCGACCGTCCTGGTGCTGGTCTATTCGCATCGTAGCCTTCGACGAAGCAAGTGTGGATGTTTGAGAAGGCCCCCACACAGCACATAACCAAACAACCAAGCTCGCGCTTCCAGTCGCGCGCCGGACTGGACGGTCCTCGACTACCTATGTGCTGCCCAACGTTAAAACTCTGAAAGCTCCCGGTGTTTGCAGACAGTTCAGGGTAATGAGTTGGAGTTGTTTGTCCTGGAATCAAAATGTCCAAGGACCGACAATCCAACCCCAGTCTCCCCCAGGCAATGACTCCGATTCCGGGCACTAACTATCTCCGGCGATATCTTCCGCATCATACTCACTATCTGCGAAGCCCATTCTCGAGTCTCTTTCCATGAATCTCAGCACTAGAAAACCATTCCTTCAGGCATCACCGCCGCCCCGAGGCGGGCGCAGTGCACACCGTGCTCCACAACTTTACTGTAAATCATTGCAGGAAATATGCGGCCGCGCCGTCTCGATGAGCTGGTCGCTTCCACACGCGCGAGAGGCTCGTTGGGGAGTTTGATCTCGGCTCGGGAATACATACTCCTCCCAGACTCGACCAACTCTGCACTTGGCAGAAAGACTGAGAAAGCCGTGTAGAATTCCCGAAAGGGTTGGTGTCAATCGATTGCTGACGGTCGCGACTGAGGGAATTGTAGACTGCCGATGATCTTTTGACGCATCTTCTGTATAGGCACCTGTAGACTTGCTTGTACGATACTGGTACTGCTCCGGTTAGCAGCTCCGACCGTGGGCCTCCGACTAGTCGTGAGATGTACCGCCTGAGGCCTGATGAGATGGGTCGGTCACCTCACAGCCACATTCGCAGCTTGAGCCTCATCTGCTTCAGATTGAGCCCCGGCAGTGTCTCGGCGACTCATGTCGCAGTTGCCGGCTGAGCTGCAGCGCGAGATATTCGAAACTGCCGCACGAAACGACCGGTCTACTATCCCGACTCTCCTCCTCGTTGCACGCCACGTTCACGCATGGTGATTTTTTTTTTCGTGCTCGGGCGGTCACCACTGAGGCGCGGCTTCGATGAACAGGATAGAACCGCTCCTCTTCCATGTCGTGATTAACATGAACGTTGGTCAACGTACAGCCCTTCGCTCTCTGATGCAGACCAGGCCCCCTGACTTCTTTCGTCGTGGGGTCCGTCATCTCTGGCTGGACGAGAGCGCAGAGTGGTCGTCCACAGAGACCCTTGCTCTTCTCAGCCTCTGTCCGTTGATCAGGTCCTTCGCCTTTCGCCTCGGTTTGTCCCCGGAAGGTGTACTTCCAATCCTAGACACATTTCAGCACCTGCGATATCTGGATGGGTTTCTCGAGCTCATCTTCGGGTCTCGTCAAGGCATCGACCTGGGGCGACCCTTCTTTCAGCGCTTGACGCATCTGAGCCTGTTCGATGTAATCGACAAGACGCTCTGCTCCGGGCTCGCAACGCTGCCTGCTCTGACACATCTCGCCCTCCAAACCACGACCTCTTTTCGGTTCACCTCGCGTCTCTTGAGCACTTGTACGAGCTTGCGCGTCCTTGTGAAAACCGCCAAGGACTTTGAGAACGCCGAAATAGAATTGAAGGTTATTCACCGCTTCGGTTTGGAGGATCCGCGATTAGTCCTAATAGTCGTGCGGAATCTCTTTGACAAGTATTGGTCAGACCGGGAAGTCGGTGCATTGGGCGGCAAGAACATGTGGGTCATTGCCGACGACTTCGTCGCCCGCAAGGGATCTGGAGAGATGGAAAGTCAGTCATTGTCACATGAACACAGCCGTTTTGTTTTCATGATTGACCCCCCATTAGAGTCGCACTACATCGTGGAACAACCCTTGTGGGATCAGTACGATGTAGACTGGGAGCCCTTTGATATAGCCTGGGGGCTCTTTGATATAGCCTGGTAGAGTGCGCTAACATGACCTCGATCGCTGGTTGTCTACTCAAGCTGGGGCTACAAGACGAGCTATGCTGAGACACACGCTACCCTGCACGCAGAGGCAATTTCAAGAATAAGATGATCCATCCTACAATACACAAACATACGAACGTCGGTCGAACAGAATATGCCACAACGATCAATTCTTGAATTGCGCAATCAGCACAAACGAAGAAAGATGCAAGATGAGCAACAAACCTCCGGTATCCTGACAATGGTGATCTCCTTCAAGGACCGGACACGAAATGAGGCGACATTCACAAACGAATAAATCGAAGGGGTGCGTTACCTGTTGTTTGAAGTACCTCCGGTTCTCCTCGTCGATGAGCACCAAATTCAGATAATACCGGACGCTGAACTTCTTGTTAATGTCCCGGAACGTCGGTGTCAGGTCAAAACCCCCAAGGAAAAGTCGGATTGGGATGGTTTCGCCTGGTGGGACTGAATGAAAAAGCGGCACAACACAGCAGAGATCGGTTCCTACCTCGCACAGGCGCGCCATCCATGATCTCGAATTTGGTGATGGTCTCGCTCTCATTGTATTGGTTTGGAGGCGAGCCCGTCGTCTCTCGCCGTATAATGGAGAGCTCCATGTGCTTGATCTTGATACGAACGAGCAGGAAGTAGATCTTGCCCACAATAACATCTTTGAGGTGGTACCTGCACAAAACCGTGTCAGCAGACCGGCGATAACGATGCTAGCGACGTACTTGGATTTGTTGTACTCGAACTCGATATGCAAGCAATCCTCGATCCCGACCTCCATCTTAATCGTCGCATTTGTGTCTGCAGGTGGTCGGAAGGAGTGCACCCATAGATCTCTCTCCTTGGAAACGTCTGCCATGCGCCGCGAAAGAGACACGCGTATGAAATATCTCGAAGCTTTTGAGCAAATGACGCATGGCCGGGGGTTCATGATCTCACCTTAACTTCACGTTGATACCGTGATAGCTCTCGAACTGTTTCTCTACATTCTTGAAGTTGAAGTCGAACGTCTGTGCTTGTCGCATCTCGCCTGGTGCCGCAAGTTCCTGAGATAGCGATAGGAATTCGTGATGATGACCACGGTCATAGAATAGTTCTACACGGGCGTTAGTTTCACGCGCCTACGCCGCGCTCTACGGCTTCCGCACCAATACTGCCGACGAACTCGACCTTGATCCCGTCGTGCTGCATCTTCTTCCCATCCCGCACTCGTATGGAGACCTGTGGGGACATCACCAATGAGGTCTCGACAGCACAGACGAAGTGTTCCCGCACCTGCCCGCTGACCGACTCTCCGTCGTAGTATACCGGACAAGATACCGTCTTCTCCTTCTCGCTCTTCGTCTCTACCTGTTTCCGTTGGTCCTCGCCTTCGAGTTTGATGTCCACGTCAACTGGGGAGGCGAAGAAGTAGGCGGCCATGGTCGGAGTTCGGGGAGTAGGATGCGCGCGGGAGTGTGATTGGGTCCGCTGACAGAGAAGCAACCAAGTGCAAGCAAGGTGAGGGAGAGAGTTGGAGCTGCGCAAATTGCGGACTGGGCTTGTGGCTGTTCGGCCGCATCAAGTGATGGGAAGCGGCCGACCCTCTGTCGACGACTACCTCGATGTTCACCGCGCTCAATTGACCATATTGAAGCCCGAATATTCATTCACAAGGGAAATTGTCGCTGTCCATTTCTGTGTCTCGACTGAAGCATATGCGGCCGAAAGTGCTAACTCCATCAACTGCAACTCAGATATGGCGGAATGGATGACAGCTCGCCCGCGTGCCTGAGAGGTTGAGGTCCAGTCTACGTCCTCCATCTTGTAGTTCAACTTTAACATGTATTTGAACGTCCCATCTGCTCATGCCCCCTCCCAGACTATGCCCGGCTAAACTGATGTCAGCCTCGTTTTTCCCAGATCCCATCCTGGAGTTGCTTTCGAACGATATACCCCTAACGTGTCGCATCCTTCGCCAAAGAAAGCGTGCCGTCACGGCATCATTCCTCGACTCACCGCACTTCAACGCCGAGACTAACGGTGCCATGCGCAAGAATATCGACGACAATCTCGAGCGTATCACTACAGGAGATGTTTCTCATGGCTCAGTCCGTCTGCCGTGACTATATGCGATACTGTCGCGGTAGAGTTGGAAGAGGATCCCTATGCACTGGGCAGTGTGGATTGGGGCTGCAGTTTATGACGGTGATCACGAGTGCGCTATGATGCTGCGCAGAGCCCTTGCATTTGCGCTTGAGCAGGGCGTTTGTGCATGTGCTCTGAAGGTGAGAAGGTAGGACAGGCAATATCCAAAGCTAAAGAATTCAAGGAACCTGGTGCTGCATGAGATGGATCCAGCACAATCTGAACTGGCAACTGCAGTTCGGACACTTCAGAAGAAAAGGGTGCGGCAAACGGCGATATAGTGTGAGAATCCGCTCCGATGAGACCGCAAGGATGAAGCAGCGACGTCAACTCAGAGAAGGGCTTGCAAGCGAGGATTTTGACAAATAGGCCAGATTTTCGGTGCAGACATGTTCTAGCCAGTAGAGTAGCGGATAGCCATGTCGAAACACGCTGTTTCAGGGAACATTCGTACTGAGAGCATAGACGGACGATGGGACAGCCGCGGGCTAAGGGATCGGGGGTGGCGATGCTGTGATAAGCGAGTGCGATGGCGGCGGAGAACAACGATGCTGCCTAACTACGGAACAAACGGGATGTGTATAGATCCGATCAACACAGCCACCGATCACCCTTTCTCTCCCACCGACACAACGCTGCCGCAGTAGTCACTGCCCACCTCCGTCCGGGCGTCGAGCGACCCGACACCAAACGAGTGCAGATTCCAGAGAGTGCATCTCTAAAGTTTTAACCAAGTCCGCCGCGCTGCACTTACTCTAACTTGCGACTCCCCACACGCCGTAGCTCTAGTTGCCCGCATCGAAGTTGAAGTGTAGTTCTTCTACGTCTGAGAAGAGCGTAATGGGTGTCCTGCAGCAGCCACATCGTTGAGTTGTACGAAAGAGAAGTTGCACTGCTGCGGCTTTGACCATCAGGCAACATAGACGGGAGGAGGTGGTCTGGTGCGCTTATCTTGTTCAAGCGTAGTCGAATAATAATGCGGACAAGTTGGTCAACTTCCAAGACAGTCTTGGATTTTGCCGAAAGCGGAGACTTTGCACGTGACAGCAAGATTCTATCACTGCCACTGCCGCTCAGTTCTCGGAGTGAACGTATGTTAAAAGCAGCAACCTCTCGTCTTAGCGAGCAGCTGCACACCTGCACTTCAGTCGGCTGGTCTCACATGAGCAATGTAGGCGGCGCCAAGCTAGCTCTGTCAGAATTCATCCTGTCAAGAACGGACCTGCCACTGTCATAAAAGCATAAAAGCGTGTTTGAGCGCGAGCAGCTGCTGGAGTCGTCTTATCTCTTGTTTTCAATTGACATCTCCTCCTTCTCACACGATGGATACAGAAAAGACTGGGCTCGAGGACGAAATCAACACTGCACCGTCCTTCGATGAGAGTTTGACGGAGCCGGGCAAGCTGTTGGATGTTACAGTCTGGCGCAAGATCGATATGTGTCTACTGCCCATCGTCACGACCCTCTTCCTACTCTCATTTCTCGTGATTGCTTCACCCGGTGCATGTTCCCGCGCGAGCTGACGGAAAAGTACAGGACCGGACGAACATCGGAAACGCCCGTGTTGCAGGGCTGCTCGTCGATCTCGACATGTCTCCCAGACAGTATTCGATAGCACTGACAGTCACTTACGTGCCTTACATCCTGACTGAGCTTCCATCGAATCTTTTGCTGAAGAGGATCGGCCCGAACGTGATGCTCCCCACCATGTTGACCCTCTGGGGGGTGGTCGCGACATGCCAAGGTCGGTGCACAATTACTTTCATCTAGAAGTACGTCATCTCAATTCTCCGCCCAAGGTCTTGTGAAATCATACCGAGGCCTGCTGGCTTGCCGGTTTCTCCTCGGCCTGTTCGAGGGCGGCCTGCTTCCTGGGCTCGTCTTGTACACTTCTCTGTTCTACCCGAAGAACCGACTGCAAATACGGTGCGCTGTGATCCTTGCTCATTCTGAATTAGAGCATGACGATACTGCAGTGTCGCGACCTTCATCTCTTGTACTTCCATCTCGGGAGCCTTCAGCGGCATCATGGCCTACGGTATCATCCGTTTGCACGGCCAAGGAGGACATGCGGGCTGGCAGTGGATCTTCATCATCGAGGTGCGCCCTGTGCACAATCTCTGCTGCCAACTGAAAAGATCACAGGGCTCAATCAGCGTCTTCGTCGGTCTCATCTCGTTCTTTTTGATCCCGCGCTCGCCAGGGCACGCCCGTTTCCTGAATTCAAAAGAGAAAGCGTACATTCAAGCCGTTTTGCGGCAAGACAGTGAAGCGGAAGATGAAACTCATTTCGAATGGAGCCAGGTCGGGCGGGCGTTTCTTTCGCCGCACATCCTCCTGGTCGGCCTCACCGCGTTTTGTGTCGGCGTCGTCCTGTTTTCGCAGGCGTATTTTACGCCAACGATCGTGCTGGCGCTCGGCTACACAGCTGCCAAAGCGCAGCTGATGAGCGTCCCTCCGTTCTCTTTCGCTGTCGTCTGTATGTTAAACACGCGCGCCCCTTCCAGCAGGCAGTCTCACTGATCTTTTCCGCAGTGGCGATGATTGCGGCCTACATCGCCGACAGGTATCGATGTCGCGGGATCGTCTCGCTGGTTGGGTCGATCTTCTGCATCGCAGGCTTCGCGTTGTTCCTGAAGTCGAGGAACCACCATATCCAATACGCATCACTATTCCTCTCGAACGCTGGAGTATCCATCCTCGGCCCCGCTCTGTCAACATGGACGGCGAACAACACCGCGCCGTATGTTCGAAGGGCGAGTGGGATTGCCATCTGGTGCCTCACGACCAACTCCGGCGGCATCCTCGCGACATGGCTCATGGGTTCACTCTCACCCGCACCGGACTTCACCCTCGCCACGAAAGTGCTCCTGAGCTTGTCGGTGCTGATGGCTGTTTTCGTCATCGCCAATGTCGTCTGGCTGACGCGCACGAATGCAGAGAAGGCGGAGCGGCGGAGGAATATTCCTAGGAGCGAGGAGGCGCCGGGGCTGGGTGATACAAGTGCCTGGTTCGTGTACAGCTTGTGATTTGCAAAAAATCATATCGTATCACGAGTTGCTGTTGCAGTCGTAGTGAGGAAGTGAGCTAGTACTTTGTGGTCTGGCGGTGCGCGTCCAAACAGCGGAAAACATCCTGTACGTAGGCGGAAAGGAGAAGGATGACTCACAGGGTGAAACTCGTGGCCCGAGAGCTGGAGAGAGTAAGGATTTGTCTCGTCTAATAGAGACCATAGCTGTCGGTATCGACTTCAAGCCCATATCATGGTGCCACTTGCTGAGTGCGGTTATTGTGATCCAAAAAAGGTCCATTAACTTGATATATTAGTAGTACACATTATAGCGTCGACCTCCTCTCCGCGTCAGCACACTTTTTCGCAGCACGCTCAATCTCGCTCATCCAGACCTGGCAGTCCCTGACCCCGGTCGCCCTGAGTGCGATGCCTTCAATCTGGAACGCAGACTCGTCGTTTCCGTAGTCCCCCACTCTGACGCCCCGCAGGGGGATCGGCAGCCGATAGAGCGTCTTCTCGCTCGACACCAGTACGAGAATATCCGAGCACAGATACCCGTGCAGCCTGCGCCCGCTCTTGCACTTCACCAGCGGGCCCTCCTTGATCAGCTGCCGTGCGCCCATGTGTCGCGTGGGCGCAGTGAGATCAAGCCGCCCCTGCCCGATCCACAGCGTCTGGGAGACCCGAGCGAGTGTCTCCCGGCCCTCGAGCTGCCGGATCGACTCGTTGATCCGCCGCAGGATGCGCTCAGCTGCGTTCAGCGACTGGTGCACCGCGCGGTGCTCGTCGCCCGCCTCTGTGAAGTGCAGGATTTGCTTGATGAGCAGTGGGTACCGTGTGATCCGTTGCATGGGGGTCAGCAGGTAGTGCTCCAGATCCAGGTTCCGCGTTGCGAGCTCGGCTTTCAGCCCACTCAGCACTTTCTCGACCTCCGGGTTCTGCGCACGCAGCGACTGCAGGACTTTCGCCGCTGTACTCTGGTTGACGCAGTATTCCATGTACACCATATCCATGTTCGAGTCGCAGATGTGTCCACTCAAGATGTCCCCGATCCGGTCCACGTATAGCCGGCACTCCTTTTGTCGCTCCTCGAGCGAGGACATCAAAGTTGTGTTTGTCAGCAGAATGTCCTCGATGTTGGCAAACACCACCGTGATGGCTTTTCGTTCCAGAATCGGCAGCATCCGAGCGTAGAATGTCTGAGAAAATGAGCACATATGTTCCAGCAGCTGAGGATGGGGACTGCACCTCAACGATCAGCTGCAGATCCCGCACATAGGTGATTTCTGTGGCAATCAGCTCAAATATCGCCTCCTGGCGCTTGCGCTCGTTGGTGGGGATACCCTCCAGCGCCGACTTGTCGACCAGACTCGCCCAGGACTGTCCAGGTCAGTCAGGGCTGTAATACAACCAGAGGCAACCAGCTCACACTGCCGAATGCAGGGCTGTTCGCCCTCGTCTCAGCCCCCTCCACCTGCTGCAAAATCGGACCAGAGATCATGGGCCTGATCTTGTCTTCCCCTCCAGAATTAGGCGTCTTCCGACCAAGGAAATGAAGAAAATGCGAATACCCTCTGCCTGTCGTCGTTCCCTCAGACGACACACTGGGAGTCATACTCATGGTCGGGGACGATGGGACTTCGATCGACGCGACACTCAGTCGATGACCTTCACTGCTCAGCCTCTGCTCGCGGAACGCCTCGTAGCGTTCAAACGCATCATCGAGCGGGATGGGAGGCAGCTCTTTCGTCGCCGCTCGAGAGGATATCGGCGCTGCTGGCGGCGGACGCCGTCTTTTCTTGGGCTCCGCATCATCTTTGGACGATCGTCTCCTAGTTGGAGGAGGAGGCGGGACAGCATCGTTCTTCAAGATCAGCCCAGCAGCTTCCAGAACCAACTGTCGCTCATGTTCTCTCGCTTCTCCATTTTCGTCGTCGCTGCCGTCCAGTGAGTGATAGTCAGACTCCTCGCCGTCTCCGTATTCGTCGTCGTCGTCTTCCTCGGAATCGGAATCGGACTCGGGAGCATCCTTCTCTAGGTTGGCAGGGGCGGTCGTAATAGCGGAATTGGGTACTATTAACGAAAAGTACATAGAGAGACATAAAAGAAAAACATTCAGCCTGCGGCAATAAGAAACACGAAAACGCTGGGGGATGGGAGACAGAAACTCACCCTCTACGAGTTCCAGATAGCCAGCCGGTGCGATCAGAATCTCTCCGCCCTTCTCCACTTTCCACCACTCATCTTCGGAATGATCGATGATCGTGAGCTGTTCTCCCTCGTCGAACGAAACCTCGTCGGGGTTCCCAGCTGCGTAAGCATACACTGCCTTGGCTTTCACTGCAAAAGCTCAGCACAGCAGAAAAGGGAGGAACAGTGAGTGAACGCACCAGCGTGGATCTCCTGCACGTAGGTCTTGGGGAACAAACCCTTGCTTCCATCTCGCAGGGACTTGCCAAACCACCAATCTCCTCCCGACTTCGATGGGTTCGCCAGCAGAATGATGTTATCAGAGAAAGCTGGAGAGCAAGTCATTCAGAGTCCCACGGCGGGCAGCATTGAAGCTTACACAGATCGTCGGGCCCGTCACCTTGATAAGCGTAGAGCGACCGGACCCGGAGTTCTGAGGGATAACTGAGTGAGAGGAAAGCAAAGAAAAAGAAAAGGCACACACCAACACTCTTGTCGATATCAGCCATCAGATCGCTCTCGCCGCTGGCCTCCGGCTCGTGCTCGACATGGATATCGGGCACCGTACCATACGGTTCGTCATATTCGCTCTCTTCCTTCATCGGGGGCAACACATCGATGACCGGCGGTGCGGCATCGGCAGCCAAGCCGGCATACCAATCGACACTCTGGCGATTGTCCTTGGACGACGGAGCCGCCTGAATTGGAGGAGGGCTCGGGGCCTGTAGTACAGCAGAGATATGGCTTGGAGGTGCAGAGTCGCCGATGACTTTGCCTGAGAGCCCGGGCCCACTCTTGTCAACTGTGACAGTCTTGCGCAGGCTGAGACCACCCTGAATTGACTTGAGCAAAGCGCTCATGTCGCCAGGTGCCGCAGCTGGGGCCGCGGAGGGTGGCGGCGGTGCCCTCGGAGCCGCGGGAGGAGGAGGAGGAGCTGCCGGTGCACTTGGCGGTGGAGGCGGTGCCGGTGCAGCAGGTGGCGAAGAGACAGCTGGGGTCTGGGGTGTCGCACTCCGCGGTCCGGCAGGTGGCAATATACCACCGAACAACTCCTCCGCTAGCTTCCGCCTCGTATTCCGATTCGGCTCATCGTCGCTATCCGAGTCGCTGCCTTCGTTTTCCACGACATCTTCCCAGTCATCCTCGCCCAATCCAGTAGGTGCTGTGTTGTACAGTGTTTTGACCGGAGCCGGGAAAGGGTTGTTTCGAACAGCAGGAGGACTCGCCGGCGATGCTACCGGGGGTGTCGCGATTGCGGATTCCCACGGATTAGTGCCACCGACTACAGGAGGGGAGGCGGGGGTTCCCCCGCCAGCTGCTCGGATCCTGTCGAAAGGATTGTTCGATTTGCCCGCGGTAGGTGGGCTCTCGACTATTGTAGCAGGGGGAGGGGTCGGAGTCGGGACGGCAACCAGGACAGGCGATGGCGAACGGGTGCTGAAGCTTGTCACGCTGGCCGAAAGATCACTGCTAGGTGCAGCAGGGCTCGCTGGCTGAGGCGCACTCGCCTGCTGACGAGCCAAAGTTCGAGCCCGAATCCTATCCTCTTCTTCCTTTGCAGCCTGTTCCTCTTCCAGCTCCAACTGCCGCAGTCGCGCAGCCCGAGCTTCCCTTTGCTTCCGGAGCTGCTCTTCCTTCTGCCGGTAAAGTTCTTCCTCCGGGTCGACTTCGGGAACAGCTGGCGCCGGAGGAGGGGCGGGAGCCCTGGGAGGGGCAGCTGGTGGTGGCGCTGCACGAGGTTTGGGAGGCGGTGGGGCGACTTTCGACCGCGGCGCTGGGGGCGGCGGCGCTGCCTTCGGCTTCGGAGGAGCAGCGGCTGGCCTTGACGGAGTAGGAACGGGCGTCGGGGCCGGTGGAGCCGCGCTAGTTGATGGCGTAGGAACAGGCGTCGGCTCTCTCAGCGCCTTCTCGCTCGCCAATCTCTCCTTGCGTGCTGCTTCTCTGGCTTCGGCCTCTTGGGCAGCAAGCAAGGCTTTCTGCTCCGCTTCCTTCTTTTCCTGGGCTAGACGCTCTTCAATGCTAGTATCGATCGCAGGAGCTGCTGACCCAGGCGACGGTGTCACGCCGAGGGCGGCCATCCGTGCTTCCACTCGTCGTTTGGCCTCCGCCCGAGCAAAGGCTTGGCGTTCCTCGGGGGTCATGTTCTTGGTGGCTGGAGCTGGCGATGGGGTTGCCGCTGGACGCGCTGCGGCTGGCGGTGGAGTTGGTGCAGCTTCTGGGGGCGCTGCACTTCGAGGTCGATCGTAATCGCGCTCTCGGCGGTCATCGCGTTCATACTCACGATCCCTCAGAGAAGGAGACGGCCGACGGTACTGACCGCGATCAAAGTCGCGGTCGTCCCGGTATCCTCCACCGCGAGAGTAGGGCCTGTCGCGCTCCTCATCGTCGTAACGTCGACGATCCCTGTCGTAGTCACGGTCGCGATCCCGGTCATCGTATCGTCCGAAACGTTCGTTTCTTCGATCACGCTCGCGGTTTTCCTCTCTTTTCTCCTTCTCCTTTCTCTCTTCCCTCTGCTTCAGACGACGTTCAACCTCGGGAACCTTCACGTGCATAAGCTCCATTAGTTCCCGTTCAAGCCTGCGGCGCTCATCATCCTTCGCGGCAGACGGGATTCCCCGGCGAGTGTAAGCCAGATCCTCGTTGATACGTTCCGCCCGGTACTTAAGATCTTCCAACTCCTGACTCAGAGCCTCGTCCTCCGCATTGCGAGACCGATCTGCCTCCGCAGCACGATCAAGCATGGAGGCAGTGTTCTTCAGCTGACGCTGAATGTCACTGAGGTCAGCCGATGGCGAATCCATTTCCGACGTCGAGCGCACGGCGTCCCTGTCGACATGTCGATTCCGCGGCTTGTAGGCTTCGCGCGTGTCATTGTGCTTGTAAATAGTTGCATCACGGCCAGCATCTCGACCAGAGTTGGTATTGGAATTGAGCGACCGGTTGGGCAAGTAGGAGGTGGGACCGTCCGACGGGGACTGGTTCTGGGATCGGGTCTCATTCTTGAGGATGTCACGCATGAAGTGGACAGAATCTTCGATGCCATGCGACGAAGGAGGGATGAGTTCGGGGGGTAACTGGTCTGGAATGTCATTGCCGTTGAGTCCTAGAAGCAGAAATCATCAGTTTCACAGAATCGGCTGGAGACAAACGAGACGCACTTCGGTAGATGATTCCCATCGCAACATGGAACTCAGCAATATTCAGCTTTCCCCGGTCATCGATATCAGCAAGGGTCCAGATCCGCGCCAAATCGTCCTTGGAAAGTCCGCTCTGCCCGAACACCTCCAAAGCTGTCTGTCCACTGATGAACCCTGTGTTCTGCGCATCCCAAGCCCGAAAGATAGCATCGTAGCTCTTCTTCTCTGCTTTCCCCAACGCCCACGAGATGCGCGGTTTCTGCGCCTGGATCTGCTGGAACGATTGCTGCAAATTGGCGTTCGCAGTCTGCAGTTGCGGGGCGCCACCGGCGGAATACGGCGAGCCGGTGTTCATAGGCATGAAGGAGTTCGACATGAGCGCCAAGCGGGGATCCACGAAGCCTGTCGGCTGCGCAACAAGCGGCCGCTGACCGGGAAAACCCGTGGCCTGAGAAACGAGGCCCATCGGCCCGGGCGACGTGCTCATGAAACGACTCGGCTGCTGGGCACCCAACAAAGCACTGCCCTGTCCGGCGAACTGGGGAGGGAGCGCTGGGACGGGCGGGGGCGGGGCAGGGCGGTGTTGCGTCTGGAAATTTCCACCACTGACGTAACCCGTGGGCTGCGACTGCAAAAAGCCGCCGCCTCCACCTGGGTAGCCCGTCGCCTGGGGCTGCATCGGCTGCTGCATCCCGACGGGTGGTACATATCCCGTCCGCTGAGGGACGAGACCCGGCTGCTGCTGCTGCTGCGGAGGGTTTTGCAAGAAAGAGAGGTTTCCTTGGGGAGGTTGCTGGAACTGAGCGGGCTGCTGCTGGTATTGTGGATTAGCACCAGGATACCCCGTTTGCATGGGGTATTGGTATCCCGGCTGCTGCCACCCAGACATGACGATTCGTAACGGACTGGGGGATGAGGAGTGATGATGGACGATGCCCTGCCGCGCCTGCGGCGGAGTGTGAATGCATCTGATGGTATGAGTAAGCCAGCATAGCCACTCGATCAGATACCAGATGAGGTCGGAACCTAGTGTTCAACTTGATTCTGCATACTAGAGGTTCTTATTAACTGCTCTCAGAGGACCTCGTAGCTGTTTACTGTTTTTATGTTCTAAATTATAGCTGTGCATTGTTTTCATGTTCTAAATTACAGCTATTTCACTCATTTTTCAATCCCCCTAGTATAGAAACCATCTGTCCAAAAGTTGTGAACATAAGAGCACATTATGTACGCCCGGCGCGTATATATCCAGCTGTTTAAGAGAAGAAAATAACGACGACACCGAGAGATCCTCTGTCGGCCATATTAAGCCACAATGCGCAAGTGAGTTGAAGCGGAGACGTACAAATTGCCCTCCGATCCTTCCAGCGGCAGTTCCTCCAGGGCTGATCTGAGTTCCAGATTGGCGCCGCCTAGCGCATTATTCACGACGTGAGTCGCAGGATTCTGCTCTACGGTAATAAACCGTTTGGGCACATTCCAGCGTCGGAACATGGTTGTATTGTCCTCCTTCAGAGTGACAGGCAGCTCTTCTGCGGGAATTTCGACGGCTTTGCCCTCCGGTGCGAAGGACGGGTCGATAGGATCGTACAGGTGAGTGTGTCTGTTCTTGTTCAGCCAGTCTCCCACAAGCCCGACGACCTCTTCGCTAGTCAGCGATTTCGACAGCCAGTTGGAGGAAAGGACAAGAAAATCTCCCGGCTTGATCTTGATGGCGGTAATATCCGGCTCTGCAGAAATGTAAGGCGGGGTCCGCACTTTGGGGTCGGGAGCGGAGCCGAGGTAGTCGGCATGTAGTCTTTGTTGGGTTCCGGTTGACCACTTGAGCTTGCCGTCGCCAATAGCACGAGTGTAGCTTCGGCCGAGGAACAAGTCGTCTTCGAAGAGATCCTCTTCACCTGGGTGAAATCCCGCTATCCGTTGTTTTTCCGATGGGTTTTGGGGGGAATGATCGACGGAGAGGACGTGCGCAGCATATTGTTGTGGCCCGTCGGTGGCTGCGTCTTCTATCGGTCGGCCGAGAAAAGCGCGCATGTTGCCCAGACTGGTGATGTGCAGCATCTGGACATCTGCTTCGTAGAAAGCGGAGACAAGACACGTAGAAGTCGTCGCGCGGATAGCGTCTGCCGCGTACTTCTTCGTCAAGGAACTGAATGTGCGTCCGAGAAAGTGGCCGAGAAGAAACTCGTCAGTGTATATGATCGCTGTCTTGATGACAGAATGGATCGCATCAGAGGATGGATGTGTCTCGTGGACCTGTTCAACTGGCTGAGAGACCGTGTTGTCAACTTGATACCATCGGAATAGCGCGGCGAGATTAAACCAAAGGTTCTCCGTTGTTAGATCAGCGATGTTGGCTCTGTTTAGGAAATCTCCATCGAAGAGATTAATCATCGTTTTTGAACCATAGCTCATGATCCGCAACCTCGCATCTGTCATTGGATGAGTACGGTGTAAAAATGAAATTGATCTACCCGGACTGACCGAATCTTGTAAGCCAGTATATCCTCGTGATTCCCTCGGACGACTGCGAGCCCAGATATCTAGCAGCTGGTAAGTGGGCAGCTTCGGTCGTCAGTCAACGATCGAGATATAACTCACCTGACAAAGTCCGTCCAGGCGTCCTTGTCGGCAGTGAAACCGGCTTCTAGAGGAGTCTCAGAAGGAGATATCTGAGTCTCCGTTGAGTCGTCGCTCTCGCTGTCTGCATGTACAGTCGTGCGATTTGCGGCAAAAAGACAAGCGCCTAGACCCAGGACCGTCACATGCACGGTCAGGCGACTCGGCGTGTACCGCAAGACTTTCGATGCAGGGATGCCACATCTCCTTAGCGAAGATTTGAACATCGAGCGAAAAGCCATCAGGGGCGAGTGCCCACAACTGCAATGTCACAGAGTGGAAGCAGGGTGCCGCGTGGCAGAAATTGCCTCCTGACAGGCTGTACATGATTGGATCATTTCAAGGTTACATATCACGACTAAGTACTTAGTTGCTGGGGATCAGAGATCCCCAGTCTCGTTATCTTGGATTTGGCCCTGGGCATGACTGCCCTTACAGGGTCTTGAGGTTGTCTTGGCATCCACGGTGCACTTCACTGTACAAGAACGTTGGTCACACAACACTTTTACCAATAAGCACACAATTCAACACCTTTGAATTTATAGCCTTCAATTAAAATTTATGGACAAACGGAACAATATAATAATGGTACATTTAACATATAATATATCTCTAGTACTCTGCAATTTGAATGACCTTGCCTAGATGTAGCGTGAGGAGTGCAGTTGACAACTCAGAAGACAGGACAAACCAATGTTTGAATACGGAGACACCTTGCGCTGCCCAAGAAGCTTGACATCATTTGTATCGAAAAAGGAATAACCCGCTGGACAAGAATGAGCGAGATTCAGATCCGAATGAACACAAGACCCACATATGTCAATTTCCCCTGAGTCCTCGTCGTCCGAGTTGCCATTCAGAGCCCGCCCGGTCTTCGAATCCCGCAACACACCGCTGTGATCAACGAAGGGTGCCTGGCGCGCATTGGCGTTAGAGTAGAGCTGGATCAGAATACGCTGGACATCAAGTAGATAGCTCTTGAGAGTGTCTAGGAAGCGACGAGTCTGGAGGTGCTTCGACGAAGCACAACTGCGGCCGGAATTAGACCGAAAGTGGCTGACACGAGAAAGACTCACATCGAAAGTCCGTCCTCCTTGATGATATATCCGATACCATACCCGTCAGCTGCGACTGGGCCGAATCCAAACAGTCGCAGAGCCGGATTACCACAATTGGATGTAGACAAAATGGACGTGCTGATAAGCTTGATTCGATCCATTTAACAGGGAAATTGCATAGCGAAGCTAAAATCGACTCACGCTCCATCCAGGGTCAGTAAATATCGTGGGCATCGTCTTCGGACTCCCAGTCCATGGAGCAGGGTCGTCCGGAGATGAATCCAGCTCGCCGCTCATCTGACGCTGGAGCAGACAGTACAACGCGTACAGATGCCTTCAAGTCCAATGAGAATCTCAACATTACGCGAAAGGATAGACACAGCCTACCTGTCTTGACCCAACCCTTTGCTGCATTCCTTTGTAAGCGCAACATGGCCTTCACAAGCCTTTCGCAGGGCCGCAATCTTGTCGGAAGCCGAAGCATCCGAGTAAAAGGCCTACGTCGTTGAGTCTCCCAAGTGCCCAGCAGCAGAAGAGATCACACCACCTTTGTGAACGCCACACTCTGCGGCTGAATGGATCGGATAGCCTCCGTCCGTCCGTGTAAAAACGACTTGGTCATTGCAGGCTCATACACACATTCGATTCGGCCTTTCGTTCGATCATGTGAGGAACCGGAGATGCCACTGGTAGGGTAGCACTCACCATAAAGCCCAAAATAAGCTGCTTGGAATGCCATCTGGACAAAAGCGTCCGGACTGAATCCGTGACTTGTGATGAAATTCTTGCCGTAGCCGCTGAACTCTAACGCCTGGCAGTCATTCTGGCAGATCAGATCGCTCAGACGCGTCTCGGCAAAGCGGATCCCGACCCGCAGCTCCGATGACAACTGCCACTCCAATTTCTTGGGCGTGGTGTCGATCGTAGAGCGCACAGGTGAGACACCATTCACCTTGCCTTTGGGCGGCTTAAAGGACTTGGCGTGAGGGGAAAGAGGCGCATGGAATAGTGTCGGCGCGGAGGGATTGATTGAGCGCGCGAGAAGCATGAGCCCCTCGGTGAAGATGTCCGCGGCGAATCTGGGGCGAGTTACGGCGGAGTCAGAGAAGAACGATGACGAGTCAGCACACCTGAGAACAGTGTGTCCATCCACACCCGTATGCTCGAAATTGATCCCAGCAGCTCCATCGGCGCACACGATAATCTGCAACTTGTCATACCACCGGTTGGTGCAGGTTCCGATTTGGACGCCGCCGTCAAGCTGGTAGGTTCCACAGAGGAAGTTATCGCAGAGCTCCGCGAGATCTTTGGGCGCCGCATCGTCAAGACAAACGATGAACAATGCATTGTCTACAATCTCGAGACAGGAAGCGTTGTGACTGTCTGTCGAGAGAGTCGTCCGGAGCCGGGACCATTCTTTGCGATTCTCCGTCGACAACACACCAATCGCACCGCGGGCCACCTTGTCGAACGATCAATATTGGGCACCTTCTCCGGCTTCGAAAGGGCGAACCTCGGATATATGGGTCTTATCTGCATCTTCGACGATAGCTTGCAGATTGCGGATAACTTCTCGCTCCGTCAGCACAGGGAGGTTGTCCTCGTCAAGCACATCAAACCAGTCTGCCAACGAGTCAGAGTTGATCCGAGCCGGACCGGCAGGGCGGGAGAACTCACAGAACTGGCCCCGCCGAAGCACAACGATGTGTCTCGAACTCGGGTTGCTGTGCATCTTACATCCTCGCTGGACAGATAGGCATTAGAAGAGTCGCTTCAGTCTTGGCAGCAGCAAGAGTACCAGAGTGGGTATTCTACCGAACGATCAGGATGGGTGCCAAGCACCCTCGAACGGGAACACGCACCTCGCAGTGCCGAAGAGACGGCGGTACTGGTCCATGTCCAAGGGCACACCTCGCACATTGTCCGGTTCAAGAATCTCCGCACGTAGATCGTGAATGAAGCCGAGGGAGGAAACGATCAGCGAGGCCGCCCGGGGAAGCTGCAGCCCGCGATCTGGCGACGGGTCGTTCCTGCGTGAGCTGCTCAGACACGAATCCCGCTGTTGCAAAGATGATTCACGCACTCGAGGACGAAGAACGGATTCAACGCCAATACAACGGGATCCGAGTGGGACAGATAAGATTCATACCTACGGGGCGGGATTGATCAGCCTGAGCGACCATCTAGCCGAGACCGAGCGCCTCGCGGGGTTCTACACGCGCCCACAGCACACCAGGAAAGACAAGACAATGTTCTCACCAGAACTCTTCGATGTAGCTGTAAGCACCGCTATCAGCGCACAGGACCACCCCGGTGAGACAGTGATGCAGACCTGTCTTTACCCTCGGCCCACTTCAGCAGCACTTCCTGTATCCTCGGTCCATCCGTCTCTAGAAACTCCTTGACTGCAGCTGCCGAGAGCTCGTGTTCTTCGTCGCTTTGTAACGCTTTGAGAGCCGTCAGGTATCGGCGGCAGGTCTCCTCCAATGGCGGGATGGGAAGCTTGGGAAGTCTGCCTTGGCCTGCGAACGTGCGCTTGACGGCGGATCTGCCGTTGGGCTCGAACTTGGACATGGTCGTGCAGCGGGAGGAGGGAGAGCTCGGAACAAGCGCGATTACCCCACACTTGACTTGAGCTTGACTTTATTCGGAACTCGTTAGTGCGCGATCAAATCTGATGACGTCGATCGACCAATTACATTGCTTGGCCTCGAATCCGGCTAGCGCCCCGCAACGCTGTCCGTCCATATTCGGCAATGCTCGGCAGGGTGAGGTTAAGCGATAAGCCTTGGGCGCGCGTGTACATAGACGCGAAATGCCGAACAGTGCTGCGCTCAGACTCGTGATGGCCGTGTTCACGTCTCAACAATCTTCTCTTGTTCCTCGAAGCCACCGGTTGCAAACGTGCTTCATCTCTCGCGGATCAGCTATTCGGTAACATCCCGGCACCGCTTGTTCTTATGTCCCGCCGACTTTACTTTACGCATCCTATTACCATGTGGCTAGGAAGCCTCCAATTATCAAGAAGCTGGAATTCGTTACGCCTTGCTCACATCTAGAACCTCCGTGGAGCTGTGATTCGGTTTCGAGTAGCGGGAGCAGATAAAGAGCTCAAGTGAATTCACAGCATTCGAAGATAAGCAATAGCATTCAGTGCGGATCGACTGTTGTGTTTATCCGGACTCAAACGACTGCTCCTGGCGAGCCTGTTGGATGCGTATTTTGATAGACCCAGTTTCTTGTCCAGTAGCGTCTCCCTAGGGCAAGTCTGGTCGCGTGAGAGCACAAGTTCAACCCCACTCGCTACTTGTCGTCCCCGCTCATTGCCGCGCTCTGCGCCCCCTATCACTTCAGTGAAATGCGCTTTCGGATAGAATCTTTTGTGATTTGATCTAGCGTATTAATGTCTTTTAGCGCTCCGTTTCTGCTTGTCTCAATCACCCACATATCTCATCGGGATGAATGGCAGGTGATTGGTCAGCAATTTCTACAAAAATTGTTGACAAAGTGACATGGTCACATGCGGACCCAATCGCCAATCCTCACCACCCACAACGGCCGAAGAAACACGATTCTCCCTCAATTACATGCTGCCCTCAGGCACCGCATCTTAATAGATAGTTTACTTGCTGCGGAATGGATAGTCACATGAATAACCTCGTGAGCTGGGTGGTCACATGGTGTAGTTTCTGCGAAAATGCTGACAAAGCAACACGGTCACATGTCCTCACCGATGAGGAGGGGCAAAGATCCAAGGGCAAAGACAGCAACAGCAACTTCCGCGACGTCGCCGACAAAGTGTCGCGGTCACATGGCCCCACTAATCGCTGATGGACCTTCAAAGCTTCACCCTTGACGCGTAGGTTCCTTAACAAGTACTCAAACTCCCATCTGGATCATAGCTGCCTAACGATCGGGTGGGCGCGCTGTCTGGATGCACGCTGTATCGTACCTAGGGCCAGCCAACTAATTTGCTGATTCCCAGGTGGGGTATCCAGCTGTGGTCTATGGGGGCTCTTTGGCGGTGTAGCGCCATGGCAGTAGCTTAGAGATCAAGCATAAGTTGTACTACATACTATACACCGCAAGTCTATGGGAGGAAGGGAACTAAGTAAGTTACTTATGCTCAGTTTTGCATGACCAGAAGATCAACTGCATTGCACGACGAAAAGAGGTAGTTGGGATGATTGGTCACCGGCGAATGCACGAGATCAATTCGGCCATTGGCGTTGAGCGAGGTGTTGGTGCACAGCGACCACGAGTCGCTCTGTCCACCGAACGAAAGCAGCGGCGGAGAGGTCAAATTGATGGCGGATTGCTGCCAGGAAGATCAGCGATACGAAATCTCATTCCATTGGACATTACTCACCTGTGCACAGTACGCCTGAGTGCCCGGGAAAGGAGGGCTGGATGCGACGAACGCCGGCGACTCCCCGTCGGCAGCACCGATGGATGTCATCGACTGCACAGGATTCGAGAAGGAGTGTGGGTGAAAGACGGAGTTTTGAAGTGTGAACGTGGGCCAGTCCGAGCAGCACGTCGCACAAGCCTGCAGCATTCAGCGGAAGGCAGACTGCTTTGTGACTGGAGACTCACCGACAGAATCGTCCAAAAAGTGTTCGGGACCAACTCGACGAGCACAGCGCGGACATTGACTTGCTTCGGACCTCCCACCGGCGGATTCCGATACACAGCAAGAAGCGTAAAGTTGCTCACTGTGGTCTCGCACGTCTGCGGAGGTGGAGGCGGTGCGTCTGCTGAGGTGAAGCCGTACAACGCGAGCCGATTCGCGTTACCACAATATTCCGTGTGGTCCGCACTACAGACAGCCCGGCAGTCGTCGTCGGAGACGTGGGCAGCGATCCCGCCGACACTGCTTCCGCACCCTGATTAAGTGATCGTGGTCAGATAAGATAAGATCTGGGCGGGCTCGCGAGCGGACGCGGACGCACAGCATTCGTGCCCGTTCTCCAGACCGGACCAGACGTATTTGCCCGCCGACATACATGCCGCGGTGCATGTCTCAGCGGTGACACCGACGGGGACATTAATCGGAACGGGCAGAGTCCGATTGGCCGTATTGTCGCTAGCACGGACGTCAATCAGTCAACCGCAGGCAGCGACACCCGACATACGTGAAACACCCTTGGTAAGTCCATCCGGCTGCTGGGTTTGGCACGAGCACGGGACTCGGCGCGCCACTGGTGTAGACCGAGAGTCTGCCGGACGCGCCGCAGATCTCGCTGTGGTCGCCGGCGCAGGGCTCTGTACAGTCCGTGAGCGGGGCTTTCCCTCCGGGGATTTGGATCGTGGAGTCGCAATCTGATACGTGAATGCGCGTGAGCAGGAAACGGCGGAGGAGAAGGTCGTTGACGCACAACATTCACTACGGCGCGATGTGATGTGATCAGCGCGACGCGCAGCGGAGAAGGCAAGGCACTCACTCGCCGAATTCCACCCCAGCGAAGATGTATCCCTCCCCCGCGCAGAAGTTGATGCAGCTAGCAACTGTCATATTCGGGCCGGCGGCGGACGACGCGGCGAGGGTACGCGCGACCGAGACGTCCGTGAAACATCCGGCCAGGGACCAGTTCGCGGGGAGGTTGGCGGGATTGGTCTGTCTTGAGAGGACTCGAACGTCGGCACCATGAACCTGTTATTCGGTTGAGAGGGAGCGGAAAGAGAGCAGACAGAACACCTCACGAATGGAAGGAGAAGGAGCGGGGTCAGAGAAAGGACAGACGACATGATGGCAGTGTAGGACAGCGTCTGCCTCTCTCAACAGGCGCTTCTTATACACCAAGCCATCGAGAGAAGCGCCCTTGACCAAGATGCACATTTCCGTTTCGGTTTCTCTGCATGAAAATCTTGACAGGCAGGCCGGCACGGCTGTACTTACTTTGGACAGGACGAGTTATTGCCACCAATCCTCGTGTCCCTGAGCACATCCACCTCGTGGCGCGCTGCAGCATGACAGATGGCCCTCGAGAAGTCTGTTCCTTCTCGTTATAACATCTGCAACGGTGCTGCGCTAGCGAGGATGAACGACGAGATTGGTGGAGAGATATCTGATATCTGTCCGAGGTCAGGTACAAACGCCAAAGTCAATCTTGGAGAATGCGTGTCAGAGCCACTTCAGTTCCACCAATCGACACCGACATAAGATGTCACAGTCAGTTTGATCGTGAGAGCGTATTTAGCGTCCGTCGAAAAGAAATTTAGCCGCTTGGGCCACCACGCATATTCACGTTCGCAAAAGGCAAAGGACTCAAGTGACAGTGCGATCATGATGCAATTTGATCTGAGCTCCAACGCAGAGCTAACCTTGTCACAGAACCATGTCTCACTCTGCAGAGTTCCGCTCCCCCTGCATTCTGAGACCGTCGGAGGATAGGGATGAAGCAGCCACGGGCGTAGTCTATCCTCTTCCACTCTGTCTCATATCTGCCGCTTCATATAAAAGAAGGGATAGCCGCCCATGGCTCCACCACCATTATGTCTACCTTGCTCACACCGCAAATATCTATGCACTCGAATGAGTCTTACGAAACAGCAAGCCCGTCGGTTCCGCCTGGAGATCTGACCGCCAAAGCCGAGACGTCTTCAGTGACGTCCAGAGGAGGTCTCATCGCCGAAAACATGTCCGCCCTCTCGACCCAATCGTCCGACACGGCCTCCTCGTTCGGATTCCGGGGCAAGCGTATTATGCTCACGGGTCTGTCCGTCACGGCCGGCATCGCCCTCCTCACCATCGGCCTCTCTCTGTATGTCTTCGTGGTGAACGAGTTTGCGCTCCATGGCACGGAGATCGTCACCACTGCGCGCTTGGGTCCAGTCCTCGCCGTCACGTACGCCCTTGCCTTCTTCCTCGTCGCATCTGTGCCTTTCGTTGTTCGGATGCTGTCGTGCCGTCTCGCGTGGTCGTGGCTGAAGTCTTCCGTGGACGCGAACGGACTTGATCGGCCTACCCCTTTTCAGTGCGTATGAATCGAGCCCTGCATGAAGCAGCGATCTCATGTCACCCCAACAAGGCTCGGCATTATCATGGACGTCCTACGCTCCGGCGACATTGCGGCTCTTTTCGCGGGCCTGCGCTACATGTCGTCGGACAAGCGTTCCTCCTATCGTCCCGCGATCTTCCGCTATGCCCTGGGTGTTCTAGGTCTGACCCTGGGCCTGGCGTATACCTTCGTGGTCGTGCTCATAATCTTTGGCGGGGTTTCTCACGCCCTCTCCTTTTCTCAGGTGGGCGCATATAGCGGCTCGTGGCCCAAGTTCTCGAGACAAATCAACGCGACTGCTTGTGCTACCACAGCCGGAGCTGTTGTTGCTGGGATCAATTTCTGCGGGCTCTACGCTACTGGGTTTGTGCTTCCCAATGCTACCGACGATTGTCTCATATTCGAGCAGCACAAACCCATTCGGCGCCTCGCTCCCTGAAGGCTTACGGACTCTGACGAACACTTCCCTGACCAATGCCGTTGGGATTGCAAACGATGGGACCGCGTTGATCATTCCTGCATCTCTACCTGTCAACTTGGCTTTCTACGCTTCCACATACGGTATTTCGACTTCGTGCCAAAGCGTTACCCAGCAGTGCGTCAGCTCAGCCAGCAACTCCTCCAACTTCTTGGCTCTGAGCTGCCCGCCCTCTGTGGCTTTCGACGCTGCGTACAACACAACGACTGGCTCGTATCCCTTCGGCATCATCGACCCTTCTGGAACAGTGTACTCTGCACCCTATCTCGTCGATTCAAAGTGGGCATTCCTCTCTTTCATCTCGTTCGTTCACTCAACCGTCACAGCTCCTTCCGCTTTGGTGCTGTCGTCCAGTCTCAGGCTTACGACGGCGATGCGAACTCATGTAAGCAGCCGTGCCGCTTCGTGCTGGATAGCGTCTGAGACTCTTGCAGTTGTCGACAACACTGGATTCTACACCTACGGCGCTGCGGGTGTCTCTTACAACGTTCTCACATGCACGGTCACCGTTCGTCAAGCGTCTTACAGCTACTTTGACGGTGCTATCATCATCGACCCGACCAATTCGACTACTGTGGCTGATCTTAACGTCGTTCGCTCCATCGCAGCGATGACGACTGCCGAATTCCTCTCTGAGCGAGTGCCCTTGGCCGTTGACGGGACTGGGGCCGACTACCCGGCGGCCTTCGCTAAAGAGCTCTCCCGCGAGATGATCGCTTTCTCGGCTGCTCTCTTTGCTGCAGATGCGGCCGCCGAGGTAAGATCTGTCCAGAGAGTCCTTGGATCGCAGCTCTCGCTGCCTGTGCTGTGTGTCATGCTCGCTCTCGTAGTCGCTTATTGGTCTGCCGCCGCCCTCGTTCCGCTAGTATGCGCTAATCGTCCAATAGTATCTTGACGATCGTCCTGGCCACCTCCTCCGTGCTCGCCGCTGGCGCATCGCCCTACACCATGCTCGCCTCTAAACGCCTCTCGGAACCTACCTGCGCCGTCAATGCTGCCTACGGACGTTCTGAGATCCATCGCACGTGGGAGCAGACCAACGAGCGGATGTTCAGCGTCGAAACCGGGTTGGATCGCTTGATTGTGGGTCCTATGAGTTTCGCGGCGGGAGGTCTGGCGTTTGGTGTCGCACGCGGTGTCCAAACAGCGTCTCGTTGAACAAACGAATGACGGTCGCTCACCAATGTCTGTTACTTGGACTTATTACGATTTTGTATCAGTAGAGCCTCACATCTTCGTCCTCGTCAACTTGTATTCTAGTAGCCAATCAGAGTCCGGTTCCTCCTTCGTATTCCAAGTTGCCTGCCTGCTTTCCTGGTACACTGCCAGAGCGTCCCCAGGCAGACCACAGCTGGATGTCCCACCCGGGACTAAACAATTTGATTGGCTGGTCCGAGGCTGAATACAGATGTTATCCGGTGAGTGATTTTCATTCTGAGCGCAGGGTCAATCCCGCATCTGCCGTAAGGCAACTTGCCCCGCAGTCAGCGTAGACTGCTCTAGCCCAGCCCTGCCTGGTGTTCGCAGTCGCGTCCAACCACTGTCACACCATCACCATTTCGTAGCTGCGTGCCCGACTGTCGTCACACCATCTCGCAATAGCGTCTGACGGCCGTCACACCGTCATCTCACGGCTGCATTTGAGCTAGACCAGCACAGTACAGTTTACCGAGTCCCAGGGTCGGGACTGGAGGCACCTGGCGGCTTATGTGCTGGCCCTTGGGGGGGGGGGGGGGGGGTCTTGATGGTATGAGGGATCGCAACAAAAAATCTCTGTCCTTGTTGTTGATTTCGAGTGAGCACGTGAGCGCTGGCCATGTTGCTGCAGATCCAAACCTTGAGTCTCATTGGAGTCACATGAAGTGGCTTCCGCCACTCAAGCAGTGCAGTCACGTGTATCACCGCACCACCATCATCTCGCAGCTGCGTCCGACCGCCGGAGTTTGATGAGATTGCACAGGTACTGGGTGGTTGCATGGCGTAGCTAGGCCAGGTCTTGTGCATTACTGACATCAAGGTATTGAGGGAAAGCACACATGAGAGTATCATTTGCATGCACACTCAAAACTGGCTCATTTTGACACGGACAAAACCCTACGTTACTTGAAAACTAGCATTCGGTACAGGTTTCTTTCTGCAATAGATGCTACCACAGTTCATTTCATGGCTTGAGATCTCTCAAGGATAGACTACTGTGAACATCATGGTCTCTAGCCCTATAATATAATAGTTGTTGAGCAGGAACACTTGTCTGAGTAATGTGACTTGGATCAAGTCCTATTTCATAAGTATTTGATTGGTTTTGGCACAACCGCACCTCAGTAGGGCTGCTCAATTCTAAGGTCGTTCATCCGTTCATCCGTTCATATCGTTCATCAGCTTATATAAACACTAATTGATCCCCATTTTGAGTGATGATCAAAAGGCCAGCAAAAGTCGAATATCGAGAACAGACTCAGTCCACTGTGATTATGAGCTGACTGAAAGCACATCGAAAATCCAAGTCGACAGATACCCAAAGATTCACTGTTCCCGCAGCCTCATGCTTCTTCAGACGCGTATGACTGCTCAAGCTCAAAGCTGCCAAGGAGGAAAATCAGTGACCATCAGGAATTCTATAAGCTGATGAACGGATGAACTGATGAACGGATGAACACCCCAGGGACCTCCAATTATTACGTAAAATGGCTTCGAGGCCCCCTCCGGAGGCCATCAAACCACCCCCTACCCCCCCTGATCGGAGGCCATCCTGGAGGCGCCTTCCTAATTGGGACGCTGCCTGGCCATTTGTCCACCGCTTGCATGGTATGCTAGGGATTGGCCTGAGTGCTGATATATGCTGTAGTAGTCATTATAAAGCCTCAGACAATGTCTGACCTCTCAAAAGCATGTATTTCTTGCTTGCAAATGGCAGACCACTGGGTGCACAAAATTTGGGATCTGAGTATGTGAGCACTCCTCAGGTGCATAGAGCAACAGTATATGTATTAATTCAAGATTGAGCATGAGGTAGCTGTGCCCACACGCAAAAAATGAGATGTTGCTGAAGGGATGGTTTATGGCCTCCACGACCTCCCAGGTGCAGAAAAAAAGGTGTTGGGTAGCCCACAGGCCCTTGAATTCCGCTTCAATAGAACAATTTGATGCTTATGCTTTGTCAAAACAACAGCTCAGCATATAAATTGGATGTTGGAGCAGTGGCAGAACAAGCCTCCACCACCTCCAGGGCTGGGGATCAAAAGCGGTTACTGTAGATTTAGCCACACAAACTGTGTTCATGACATTATTTATCTTCATTGAGATGCACAGGATCCTTTAGAGTGATAGCTCAACATGTGAATTGGATGCTAGAGCAGATTACAGAAAGGCTCTCCACAGCCTCCACAGCCGGGGACTAAAAGCAGTTTCTTTGGATTTAGCAGCAGAAACTATGTGTTCAATGTCAGGTGTCTTATTTGAATGCCAAGGGTCCTCTATGGAGACAGCTCAGCATATGAATCAGATGCTGGAGCAAATGGCAGAACTGGCCTCCACCGCCTCCACAGGTTATTACTTGAAGAGTTGGGATGAGATGACAATGTAACAGACAGATATTCTCCTGGCTGACCACATTCTGTCATTTCCACCTCTAAATGCGAGTTGAATTGCTGCAGAATGTTAAAATGAGAGAATGGGGGACACTGGAGGCGCTGGAGGCACATGCAAGATCCAATCAATATCATCAATATCATCAATGCCATCAATAGCATCAATAGCATCACCAATCATTGGTAGATTGATCAGCCAATCAGATGATGAATAAACATCGAACATCTAGTATATTCATTCCTGAGAGACACAGACTATATGTATGCTCATACTGAAAGTGGATTAGTGGTCCCAGGACATGCCCCAATGACATATTACATCCTTGTCTCAAGAACATATCATTGAAATTCGGAGTTTGCAAATGAACTGAAAGTCAACTGAAGATGAGTGGTACAGTGGAGTACTTTCAGCTCATTTGCCAAATCCAAATTTCAATGATATGTTCTTGAGACAAGGATGTAATATGTCATTGGGGCATGTCCTGGGACCACTAATCCACTTTCAGTATGAGCATACATATAGTCTGTGTCTCTCAGGAATGAATATACTAGATGTTCGATGTTTATTCATCATCTGATTGGCTGATCAATCTACCAATGATTGGTGATGCTGTTGATGCTATTGATGGCATTGATGATATTGATTGGATCTTGCATGTGCCTCCAGCGCCTCCAGGGTCCCCCATTCTCTCATTTTAACATTCTGCAGCAATTCAACTCGCATTTAGAGGTGGAAATGACAGAATGTGGTCAGCCAGGAGAATATCTGTCTGTTACATTGTCATCTCATCCCAACTCTTCAAGTAATAACCTGTGGAGGCGGTGGAGGCCAGTTCTGCCATTTGCTCCAGCATCTGATTCATATGCTGAGCTGTCTCCATAGAGGACCCTTGGCATTCAAATAAGACACCTGACATTGAACACATAGTTTCTGCTGCTAAATCCAAAGAAACTGCTTTTAGTCCCCGGCTGTGGAGGCTGTGGAGAGCTTTTCTGTAATCTGCTCTAGCATCCAATTCACATGTTGAGCTATCACTCTAAAGGATCCTGTGCATCTCAATGAAGATAAATAATGTCATGAACACAGTTTGTGTGGCTGAATCTACAGTAACCGCTTTTGATCCCCAGCCCTGGAGGCGGTGGAGGCTTGTTCTGCCACTGCTCCAACATCCAATTTATATGCTGAGCTGTTGTTTTGACAAAGCATAAGCATCAAATTGTTCTATTGAAGCGGAATTCAAGGGCCTGTGGGCTACCCAACACCTTTTTTTCTGCACCTGGGAGGTCGTGGAGGCCATAAACCATCCCTTCAGCAACATCTCATTTTTTGCGTGTGGGCACAGCTACCTCATGCTCAATCTTGAATTAATACATATACTGTTGCTCTATGCACCTGAGGAGTGCTCACATACTCAGATCCCAAATTTTGTGCACCCAGTGGTCTGCCATTTGCAAGCAAGAAATACATGCTTTTGAGAGGTCAGACATTGTCTGAGGCTTTATAATGACTACTACAGCATATATCAGCACTCAGGCCAATCCCTAGCATACCATGCAAGCGGTGGACAAATGGCCAGGCAGCGTCCCAATTAGGAAGGCGCCTCCAGGATGGCCTCCGATCAGGGGGGGTAGGGGGTGGTTTGATGGCCTCCGGAGGGGGCCTCGAAGCCATTTTACGTAATAATTGGAGGTCCCTGGGGTGCGGATGAACGACCTAAGAATTGAGCAGCCCTAGTTGTCTCACCGTCCATGTTTAACTGAGGTGCATTTCATTCCGAGCTTCCGTTCCTTCCAAAGTATTACCAGTACCTACAGAATTACTTGCTTGTCTCTGTCTACAGGTACTTGAATGCAGTCGTCTTACCATCTGTATACAACTGAGAATTACTTACTTGTCTCTGTCTACAACATTCGCTAACATATTACATTTATGACGGGTTTGCAGCTTACCAGAGGCCCCCGGCCGCTGAGTTGTAATACCTAACACCAGTACGTACTAGCCAAGCCCTCGATAGGGGCCTAGCCCTCCAAACGTGCAAAATTTACGCGTTGTGACAGTCTGTGTACACTTGTTTCTCCGTGCCGAAATTTTGTGCTGATCACACTTCCGCCGTTGGTCTACCCACACCAGGCTCTAGCTTCTCTCCCGCTTCCACCCTAGCCCTTCCTCCTTCTACCCTCTCTTTCTTCGCTGAAATGTCTCCTCCCATGTCTGGTAAAGGAAAAGAGTCTGGAACGGCTCGTGTCCTGGGGTCCGCGGCGTCAGGTCTGCATTGCGAAATACGAGAGAAACTGCGCTCAGCTGACGCGTTGCACTGTCAGGGTTTGCTGAGCTTGCCATCTTCCATCCCGTCGACACCGTCGCAAAGCGCCTGATGAGCAACAAGGCCCAGGTACGCCGCGGAAGCAATGCCTCACCATGCCCATGACCGACGACGGGACAGCTCACCATGGCCTCTGCGAACCCCATCATCTTCCGCGAGCACGCGACCGCGTCCGTGCCGCGGAAGCTCATGTCGCTGTTCCCGGGTCTCGGGTACGCCGCGGGGTACAAGGTCGCTCAGCGAGTGTACAAGTTCGGTGGCCAGCCGTGGTTCAACGACTTGATCAACAAGCACTACAAGCAGGAGTTCAACAACACGTTTGGAGAGCGCAAGGCGAAGCTTATGATGCAGGCGACCGCTGGCAGGTGTGTACTGCTGTCTTTCCGTGTGCTGGCCTTGGAGACTGATTCCGCGCGTCTAGTTTGACCGGAATTGGTGAAGTTGTGCGTATCTCCGCCACGGCGCTACACAACAATGTCTGAAAAGCATCACGAATACAGGTGCTTCTCCCCTTGGACGCCCTCAAAATCAAGCGCCAAGTCAACCCCGAAGCGTTCCGGGGCCGTGGCGTCGTGCGTATCTTCCTCGAGGAGGGAACGACGCTGTACCGTGGTTGGGGCTGGACGATGGCCCGCAACGCACCTGGTAGTTTCGCGCTGTTCGGTGCCTCCGCCGTCACGAAAGACTACGTCCTCGGCGTCTCGGACTACTCGAAAGCGACGTGGACACAGAATTTCATTGCGTCCATCGCCGGTGCCGTCGCGTCCATCACCGTCGCAGCGCCATTAGACGTTGTGAAGACACGGATCCAGAACGCCAACTTTGAGCAGAAGGTGCCCGGTGTCACCGTCGTGCGGGAGTTGCTGAGGAACGAGGGCCCGACAGCTTTCTTCAAAGGTCTCACTCCCAAGGTGCGTCACTCTGACTGGTCTCTCTCTGCGTGCAGCGCGCTCACAGCGGTTTAGATCTTGGTTGTCGGGCCCAAGCTGGTGTTCAGCTATACCCTTGCGCAATCCTTGATTCCCTTCTTTGCTCAATACGTCTGAGCACCAAATTTATGACCTCCACCTGGAATCACCCTCATTTAAGCACCACCACTCCATGCCACTACTGAATCCCTATTAGAATCTAAAAGTACTTTCCATCATCATGTAGCTTTACCATCTAGAGATTGCTTCATTTCAATAATGACCTGTAAATCGCGAAGTGACAAACGATGTGCCCCAATTGGGGTAGTAGAAGATAATCGATCATGACTCGCAAGGTCATGTTGGGCATACAGTAGATGAGATCGGTTCCAACCTCCATTTAAGAATACAAATCATTTGAGCCTCGCCCGCCATCGGTTCCCGTCCCCGTCAACGACATTCAAGCCGTGCTTAGCGAGACTCTCTGCCGACTTGGCCCAGAAACACTTCTTGATGTCTCGCCTATTGAACACGGTCACGTTTCATCTCTCGGAGGAAGCAAAGTCTAGCACGTACTCCTGTGTCGGCCAATGAAAAAACGTCAACTCAAGGTCTCTCAGACTAGGGAACCAATGGGGTTCCAGAGCGTTGAGGAAATCTGGCCACCCGTTTTCCTCATACTCCTTCGGCTTGAAGCTGTTGACCGTTCGTTCAGTTTGAGCCAAATTCAACGTAGAGAGCCGTGCGTACTCATGTTGGCCGGGGCGAATGACGATCTTGGTCAGATGCGCGAAAGGTGTTTCGGAAACAAGATCTTCGAGCTCCGGAGGGCAAGGAGTGACTCTGTCATAGTTGAAGATGGTGTCTTTGGCCTGGAGGATCAGCACGCGAAGGTTAGGGCACATGGAACACAGAGCCATGGAAAAGGTGTCGAGAACTCGGAAGCAGACCGTGAGCTCCTGCAACTTGTGCCCGTGGATCCTGAGGAAGGTCTCATATTGAGCGTTGAGGCCAATCAGCGTGACTTTGCGCAGCGAATTTAATCTGTAACCCATTAGATTTCGACTCTGCTCTGCATCAAAGTAAGACTGACTGGAGTTGAGACAACAGGCTCAGGAATGACTCGTCGGATTCGATGATCGAGATCTCTTCCACTTTGACGAGCGCGTCGTTGTGCATTTCAGTCGAGAACGGAGCAAGACAACACCACACAAGGCGTCTGAGCTTCACCAGTCTCGCTAATGGCTTGAGCGTTGCGGCCTTGTCGCCATCGGATGGCGGCGCCAGCAGCAGCGCACACTCTTCCAGCGTCGAGCCTGAATGACGAGCAAGCACCTCAAGCACCGTCCAAGGCAGATCGAGGGATCCCATGTCCATCTCGAGCAGACCATGGTACTGGATCAGGAATTCGGGTGTGTCAACACGCACGAGCCCTGACAGCTTCGAGAAGGTGCTGGCAACACATTGTTTGGATTGATCCAGATCATCATAGGTGTGGATGTTCATCAAGATCGAACGCACGGATCTGGTGATCTCCGGGTGGTTCATCAGAACCTGGTTGAATTTCGGAAGCGCTTGAACGACATCAAGCTGGAGGCTGGAGTAGTAGAATGGAAGACCCAGCCTCTGCGGTGAGTCTAAGAGCGCGACTGGTGTCATTGGCACGGTCTTGCTCACATAGAATATCTTTGAGACAAGAAGAAATGGAAGTCGAGGCGAGCCGTCTCCGATTGCGAAGTAAAGCACCCTGGACCATACAGCTTCCTGGGCCTCTGCTGCCGCAGTCGACATTGGCGTGAAGGACTGCACGGGAGCTTCCGTTAGATCTGCTGCCGGAACAGGCTTCCGAGACTTCTTCCTGTATCAAGCTCAGTATCTCGCGCGGTTGCTCGGGGAATTCGGACAAACATTGTGAACTTTGTCAAGGCCTTAATCTCAGCAGGCAGATTCTCGATCCCATTGAGTTCCCACCCATCTAACGGTTTTGAGATGACGACAGACTTCAACGGACACCCCTGGAAACCATCGCAGAGTCTGACCAAGTCATGCGAACTCGGCACGACCCAGGTGCTGAGCCTTTGTGCCTTGACAAAGGCAGGTGCCAGCATTTGCGCAGCGCAAGACGCTGCGATCGAATGGCCTGTGGGACCACAGCAATGATATCGCGTCTGGCATGCAATGTCACTGCGGTGAGTCGCTTCCAAAGGCAGACGCACAACGCACCAGCCGTTTCCAATGGGGTATGATCTCCTCCAGCGCCCACAGCAGCTTCGTAAACATCTTGTTCGTCAGCTTCTTGTTAGTTTCCTGCAGGATAAGTCGCTCGGGGTTAATGCTCGCGAGTGCCTGACACAGGCTGTCCGTATTGTCCGTCGTGTAGATATCGAGCGAAAGAAAGAGGTCGGATATGTTTGGCGCGGCTTGTATGATAGGACGCATATATGTCCCGTACCCGCTTTCGATCCTCAGCCTCTTGATGAACCGCCCAAGCTCCGGAACTTGCACGAGTGTGCGTGCTAGCGCTTTGGATTGTGCTTTCGAGCGCAAGACGACGGTGTGATAGAGCAGTGGTGTGGAGACGCGCAGCCACGCTTTGCATACGACGAGATATGCTCGCGGAGACTCCGTGTATATCACGAAAGGGGAGGCGTCCGTGCCGATATAACAGAAATTCTGCTCGGACACTTCGAGCGCCGGCGCCAATATCTCGGAGATGATTTCGTCTGGGAGCGGAGGTGCAGTATACATCGAGTTTGGAAGAGTCGGAGCCATCGTTCTCGCAACACACGATATGTGAAAGCGCCCTTTGATCGAACTGGGCCGTTCAGATTTTGAGAAAAGGGTTTCGTTATGGCGCAAACGCACGATGGCTCGTGACTGTGTTTATCCTATGACGGTGACGACGGACTCCTTATCAATTACCTAGCCCCCAAGGAAGATGTTTTCGAAAAGCGGAGAGTTTTCACGTGACAAACCGATAGTTGTGACATTGAGTTACTAGACACTGATGTCGATAGGATCTGAAGCTGGATTGGAAGAGGTTCCTTAATGGGGCAACACACGGACTGGTGCGTACTGCTAATCTATATTGTGAAACCAACAAATATATTGGGATTGTCGGTTGAATATAGCGTTTCATTATGTAAAAGCAGAATGTAGATGACGAAATTATAGGACGATCTTACGCTAAGGGCTAGAAGAAACGTAAAACGCTCAAAATGTGCTGGGGATCAACTGGAGCGGATAATCCAAAGCCAAGATAGGCACCCAATTGAATCTGCCGTAGTAGTTGACCGCCACGATGCGCAAATCCTCGAGCTGGACCTCGCGTGGTTGAGACCCTGGACCAGAAACGACGTATCGTCTGGTCCTGCCGCGGAGGAACACCTCGATCGCGTCTGTGATCTCCCGTATGAGGATCCTGCGCGTGAGCCCATTGCCAATCCGGATGTCTTTCCCCTTCTCTGCTGCCCCAGGCCACTGCGCACAAGTCGGTATTAGGTCGCGCCTGAGACTCGTTTGCTGTCGGCACATACCTCGAGCACCCATCGGAACCGGCTCCACTGGTTCGCGAGCCCGCACTCTCGCATCACGTCCCCATCCTCGCGGTCGAGGCAGACACGCCCGTGTCGGATGTCGGAGAGGTACGGGGCTGGTTGACCGTGTGCCGTGAACGCGATACTGTAGGAGGGGCGACCACAGATGAGGGGATTGCGGGGGATACACTGGACAAATATTCGACCAGCCTGGTACTGGCCGTTGAGGATTGTAGTGGGGTTGAGAGGTTGTGAGGGGAGCTCGAGGTATGTTTCGGGCGAGAAGATGAACGCGTCCAGTGGGTCGGACTGAGAATAAGCCAGGCACCATCAACTTGAAGAGAGGGTACACGCACCATTGGCTCTCGATACCGAGGATATGCAGCAGCCGTGGAGAACTGTCGCAGCTCTAAAATCGTGGGAGGCAAGCCAGCCATGGCAATGGTCTTGCAGAACGAGAGAAGCCGACGAAACTTATAGCTGGGAGAACCATTCATGGCAACAATGATCCATGCTTGGTGGTCCTGCCGGGCTTTACAAGTCGGAAACAGTCGCAGAGCGTGACATTCATAGCGGGGAAGTACAAAGGCTAGAGTCTTGCGCGTTTGACGTTACGGGTTTGCTCGGTTGCTATTTATTACCAGGAGTTATCAGCCGATTCTCAAGGACATCGGCCACCTGCAGGGATGAGATCGCGTCTGGGACGCGGGAGATGAGAATTGGGAACAAGGGCAGGATGATCTGACCACGCCACCATGGGTCCGTCGTCATTCATCAAGTGATGTACTGTATGTGAGGGTCTAGTTGGCCACCTAAGAGACTTTAGCTCTGTAACACACAATATGATACCCTAAGACCATATCCAATGGGTCAGAAACATGACCTACCCTGTTGAGAACGACGTGCGAGTCGCCGCTTGTGCTTATTAGTCGTGGTTCCTGATCAATGAATATTTTCCCGCGACGACTGCCAAACCGGGTCAACCGGGCTAGTTGGCCGGGCGTGGGAATCTGCCATCTCACACATTGCTGTCCATCTTTCTCATCGTATACCAGAGTACCGCTGCTACTGTTGCTATTCCAACACTCAGTACACCATCTATCCACAAAATATCATGCATTTGACGAGCCGTTCGTCACCAATGCCCGACAAGAATCAGGGTCATATGGTATGACAAAGGCAGCACAGGCAGGGAAAGATCGCGGCGTGGAGAGCGGATGTGTTTGAGTATGTGGTCAAATTGTCCTCTGAAAAGGCCTTTACTCCTGCCTATCGAATGTGCACCCAACAGGGGCGGATGGTACAGAGGTGATTGTGTGGGAGCGCAATCGGTTAAGAAATCGGCCCGCCCAGGCCCACCCAAATAAGGAATCTGCTCGGTGCCTCCCGATCACGATGACCAATCAATCCTGACGGATCACCATCACATCCCAGTGACCTCAGATTTGCGTCACACCGGCATTAGACATCCCTCTTTCATCCTACATACACGAAATGCCTGGAAAATCAAGGGTTCATGTTAAATAATCGAAGTGGCCAACTAGACCCTCACATACAGTATGATGGCTGATGAGAGTTCTCACGCTCATCAATTGTTTCCAAACTTTCCAGTCAGACGACATCAAGGTTCCCACCATTCAGTTTGGTTCGACATCTTGAAGGAATAAAATCGAAGTTGTCAATAAACGTCCATAAATTCGTTTACACAAATGGCTATGCCCCAGGATATTCCAGAATAGAACTCCAGGGTTTTTGTTGTCCGCATCTTTCCAGTGACTCTGGATCTAGGCTATTTAAAGCAGAATTCAACGGATCAGGCGATTTCATCGGAATTCTTGTTCCTTCGCTTTGCTTATTCACAAATTTTGTGATGTTCAGCCTTTAATGTTTTGTATAAGATTGAAATTGCTTGCCACACCAGATTACAGTGCTTTTCGTGGTGGTTCGAAACCGGTATTGAGGACGCGTGAGTGAAATCGACACTCTGTGGCAGTAGATCCCTCTATCAATTTGCCCAATCAGGTGATAAAGTCGGCAAAAACATGAACAGGTGCATCGAGCAATCAAAGAACGCCAATTTATGGAACTGCACTGAAACGATATCAAACATCAAAATGGCTTTGACCGCAATCAAACAAAGTACGTATCACAGAGTCCGTTGAGAAAATTTCCAAGAGTCATGGTCTGATGGCATAGGATTTGTCCAGCAACCGAGTGATACAGTGTCGGAAACATACATCCATATTTAGGTCTATCGTGACGATATCGGATTGATAATTTCATCTGGCTGCGAAGATGGACCCGGCTTGATATGGTGCCAGTCTGATGGAAAACCACTTGATCATTTTTACCAAAGTAAAAGAGGATAGAAACGGTTTTCACTCTTTCAGTTCCTTGAAATAGATAGTCTCAATTCGAACCTGTTGTGAGTATCGCTTAAATGTATATAAATGTACGAGAGGTGGTAGATGTCCACATCTTGGTGCTCAGCCTTCAAACGGTTAGGCAAATGGTGACAGCTTTCATTCGTTCGAATTGTATGTTTACGGTGGGCCTTCGGGTATAGATTATCATTATGAGTGACCTATCGCTCGAGATTTCTCTGGAAATGTCGGGCAAATCTCGATATCTGACCTGCAAATCTTACCCATTCATCTCAAGAGGTCTACCGTGCTCAGCTCTTGAACTGATGATATTTCAAGGTGTTTTGACCGGGGGATTGACATGTACGCGATGCTTATTTGACTGTGTGCGGGTCGTGCAACGGTAACCCCATCACCGATAAGTATCGACGGAGGACAATGTTTACCGGGAAGCTGCATGGCCGGAGTGTTCCACTTCGCGCCGACTTACGCTTCTAAATAGCCGAGATTGTCATCGCACTGAGGATCCTCTTGGTCTCCCTGAGTTTTCTCAATCCAGCACCACTCTGTGGGCTATCTCTTGCGTGCTTCGTTGCATCAACTTCTTTTGTTTCACGGAGGGCGTCGATTGGTGAGCAACACCGCACGCTCAGAAGGTGTGCCGACTTCATCAGTGGTCGACGTGGCGAGCGCTGCGGTCATCTTGTGGAATGACGCACAGCGTGAAGAAAAGGGTGGAAATCCGGAGGAGGCTACATAGCCGTTAGCGAGAGAAACATTCACGTGTCAGAACCTGACTAAACTATATTTGAAAGACCACTCAGTTGACGTCTATTTACACAAGGTTGATGACCATATTCATCAGAAGGACGTGGGGCTACTGACACTAGCGTTCTCAGCCACATTTCAAAATCTGGTTCCCACACAGATCCAACAGTGGATTTAGATGTTGCAGACGCACACAGTAATGTTATTCCGGCCGACAGGTCGCGCTCAGGTTCTTTCTCACACCTATTGCTGCGATTATGCTTGCTGGAGTTAAGCATCTTACCTCAGTGTGATGACAGCCTGATGAGTCGAAAGTGCCGCAGTTGAGGGTAGATATGCCGTGGGAACAATTTCTGGATCTGGAGATCTAACAGCTCTCGTATACAAAAATATTCATGCCATACTTATGCGCGGGCCCTTTATATCTTACATAACACGACTTACACATGGCCACGAAAATTGACAAACTCCACAGAGTGCGGATATCTGCGGCGTTAAGGTCGTTGTTAGCCAGACTGGAACGGACCCAGGCAGTGCCGACCGCATCTTATGGCCGCATCTCACATTTTCTGGTCACACAATCCAAAACGTGCGTTGTAAATGTGGTACATCTTTGGGAACGGAATGGGAGGTGGCGTGAACGATCGGGGTGCTCGGAAGGCTGGATATGGAGAAATGGTCTGGGTCGGTTACAAACCAGCGCTCGTGCACATCAGCTTGGCGCAGGGACGGTACAAAAGGGAGGTGGCCCTGGACGCTCGACAGATGTGTTCCCGTGAGTGGAGGAGGGAAGAGACATGAGAACAGGCTCGGTGTCTTCCTCTGGTTCGCCTTCGCCATCGATGTCGTCCTCTGCCGACGCAGGTAGCCCATCGACAGCACCGACGATATCATACGATTCCTCAGAATCGCAGTCGGACATCCGCTCAGCATGGTCCGCCACGAGCGATCCCTCCTGAGCCTTGGACGACTCCGGCACATCCACTGCCTGAGTTTCCGGCGGTAGGCCCGCAAACGTGTGCACGAATCTGTGCGTTTGAGTGGGGATCGCCTTCTGCCGTGGGGTGTATCCATGCTTGCGTTTCCGATGCCGGTGTAATGAGGATGGGTCTGCCGTGCTGAAGTCGCATTTCTGCCCGTCCGGGAAGGTCTCGGGACACTTGTGAGGCTTTGCACGCGTGCTAGAGTCGGAATATCCTTTGATCAGTGAGGTGTTTGCTGTGCGAAAGCTCCACGAACTGTGTCCGGATGTGAGTCGCGAGATTTGATTTCTGTAATGTCGAATGACCACAGCCTTCAACGGGGCATCGGAACATCCTAGAGCCAGCGCGTCTGAGTCCTAGACGTATTAGAGCGCGAGTTCAACGTACAGGGACTCCTTATCCTTCGAGTGTAGAAGCATGTGTCGCGGCAGGTCCGTCGTACGCCGGAGGTAAACGTTGCAGATTTCGCATGTCGCACCTAAATCTTCTCCCTTGAGCTACAAGATCACATCTAATCGTGGGTATCGGGATATCTCAGAGAGTGATAAACGCACGGGAAGGCGAGAGGGAGGTGCAGCACTCAGATGGGGAACCTCGACTGTGGATGGGGACCCAGAGGAAGATGCCATGTTTACACAAGGAGGATCAGGACGGTTAAATGGTTGGAGTCCGGGGACAGGACTCAGAAGGTTGACCCGACGCGTGCTGCACGACCTAGACCACGAGGTGTGGAAAAGAGCAGGTCGGCGTGAATTATTTGCGATCAAGGGCGCCACGCTCACGTGACAGTCTCAAGTGGACACACGCGTCCACTGCTTCCAGAGCTCTTCGATTTTGGGTCGGTCCAAGTCAATGCAGGTCTCATTACGTGTGATTCATAAAAATCTCCAAGAAAACCATCGCGAAATTCATCTTCTTTCCAATCTTTGCCTGAAACCTTGACACAGAAAGTATCAGTCTCGACGCTTTCTTCGTATCAGGGTGATGGGTTCGTTTACATAACTCTCTTCTTACGATTGTTGGCATTTGATTTTCAGTCACTGTCTATCACCTCTCCATATTTCTGCGACAGGCTGGATCGCATGTGGTGGAACCACTCCCCACAAGAGATGTGGACTCGAGCTCAGAGGAATATATAACCTTCTGATAGCGGAGTAATTTTCCGCACATATGCTCTTCCTAAAACGCCTTCTTTCTCGCCGGGAGCGCGAATCGGAAATTCGGAGTGGTTATTTCGGCATTCTAAATGAGAATTCACTGATCCGATCAACAAATTATTCGCCAGATCTTTTGGGCTGTGCCAAACATCGACAACGGACACATCTCCCTCGACCAACCCTCGAAGCATTAGCTTGCTTCACCTCCACCCTCCTCTGCTCCCATCACGTCCTCCTCCACAATGGCATCCCAACCCTCTCAGCAATTCGCATGTTAGTATCTCTCTACATAGCGCAGCTGCACGCGATCGCCGTTTTTCTCCATCCGCCTTCGTGTCGATTTTCCGGATGTGGATCGGATTGGATGCGTCGGACTTGGTGGGATGGATGAGCTGATGACAGAGGAATAGATGCACATCGAGGGAGTGCTTCTCTGTAGACCGTGTTTGACGGAACAGGGGGACACATTTTCGCCTGGTGAAGCCGTGGCGGAGGGATCGTCCGGCGCCGAGGGTCGTGTACATCATTCTCGCGTTTTATACGTGCTTTTGGTTGCTGTTTCGCTGGCTCAGTGCGACGTCAGACATGCGCGGCTGTCCCTATGTACCGTCGTCGGGCATGCCCGTTCCAGCATGTTCTGATCGCATCGACGGGAGACTCTTTGTGCCGTCGCTGGCTCATTAGCTCCAGCCACATCCCGATTCGTTCTAATGACCTTTCCTCCATCTTTTCTCGATGTTCATTTCGACGTATGCTCTGTGATCTGACGACGTTTCCAGTCCGTGCTCAAAAATCCCTCGGCCTCGTTGGTGGCTCGCCCGAGTATCTCCCCATCTCCAACTTTCAAGGCCCAGATGTTCCCGCGCGGATGTATCACTACAGTGCTGATGGACGGCTGTACGCTTATGCCTTGCCTGACGTGTGAGTCCCTCGTCGCATGTTCCCGATCCTCGCTAGAGCTTTTCAGGGTGCGGATATTCCAGGCAGAGGGCGCGCAGCTTCTCCAGGAGCTTCCTATCTCACAAATTCTGGACCTCAAGTTCTCGCCCCGCGGGACTTATCTCTCCACATGGGAACGCCCTGTCAAGCTTGAAGACGGCGCGCAGCACAAAAACCTTCGCGTGTTCTCTTGCTCAACTGGAGAAGAGCTGGTTTCCTTTAGTCAAAAGGGCCAAGAAGGCTGGGATCTGCAATACACGATCTCTGAATCGCATGCCATTCGGCTCGTCGGGCAGGAGATCCAGGTCTTCCGACCTGCCGAATGGTCCAGGGGAGTCGTGGACAAGCTGAAGGTTGAAGGAGCGAGCAGTGTCTCCTTGAGCCCGGGCTTGAATCCTTCCGTCGCAGTGTTCATTGCTGAGAAGAAGGTGCGTTCGTGGATCGTGTCACATCGACTGTCTCCACTCATGTGACCGACTACTCAGGGTCAACCAGCTAGCATCAAAATATACGGATTGCTCACGCTCAACAGCCCGCCTACATGCCAGAAAACATTCTTCAAGGCTGACCGCGGCACGATCAAATGGAACGATTTGGGGACACAGGTGCTATTGTTGACCCAGACGGAGGTGGATAACTCGAACAAGAGTTACTACGGAGAAACGGGGTTGTATCTGCTGAGCGCGGCTGGAAACTTCGATTGCCGCGTGACGCTGGATAAGCAGGGGCCCATCCACGACTTTGTGTGGAATCCGACCTCGAAAGAGTTCGGTGTCGTCTATGGATGTGAGTCTCGATCTTGGTCGTCTGGCGATTCGCTGACGTGCGCGCAGTTATGCCGGCCAAGACCATGCTCTTCGATCAACGAGTCCGGTCCATACATGACTTCGGGACCTCGCCCACCAACTTTATATCCTTCAATCAGCAAGGGCGTCTAATCGCGCTGGCGGGTTTCGGTAACCTGGCGGGCAAGATGGACATCTGGGACCGGCGCACGCTGACCAAAGTGTGCACCATCGATGCCCCCAACACTTCGTATTGCGACTGGTCGCCCGACGGCCGTTTCCTCATGACGGCCACCCTATCGCCCCGGCTTCGTGTCGACAACGGAATCAAGATCTACCACTGCACGGGACCTCTGATGCACGTGCAGCTCGTGGAGGAGCTCTACCAGGCGTCCTGGCGGCCGACCCCCGTCGACAAGGTCGCAGCGTTCCCAATGAACCTGCCGCCAGCGCCGGCTGCCAGCGCCAGTGTGCAGCAGCACGCGGCCATCGCCAAGCCGACGCCGACACGGCCGGCCGGGGCCTACCGGCCACCCGGTGCGCGTGGTCTGGCGACGCCGGCGATCTTCAAGCGCGAAGACGAAGGCGGCGCGGCTCGGGTGCCGACGAACGGGACCAACTCGCCTTCACGCTCGTTCAACCGCAGCCCCGCTCCACCGGGCAACGGATTCCAGAACGGGTCGTACAACTCGCCCGGCCAAAACGGCGCGGCGCGGCGCCACGTCCCGGGCGCAGCCTCGCCGCAGCATTCGCCGAGCCCAGGTCCGGAGGGGGAGACGAAGAAGAACAGGAAGCGTAAAGGCAAGAAGGAGGCTGTGGACGACCAGCAGCATCAGCAGCAGCAGCAGCAGCCAGCGGCCGGCACTGCAGCTGGGCATGGCAGCAACGGGAACCAGAAACGGAAGGGCAAGGCTGCGGAGGAGGCGCCGCTTGCTGAGGTCGAGGCGAACGGGAAGCCCAATGGCAACGGCAACGGATCGCTGTTCATCCCGCCGCCGGGGCTCGTCGTCGACGCTGACGTGCCACCGACACCAGGACTCGACAGTGCCTTGGATCCCATTGCCAAGAAGGCCCGCAATCTGAACAAGAAGGTACGGTTTCTGTGTGGTTACTTGGCTCCTTCGCTGATGTGTTACGCACTGCAGCTCAAGGCGATTGATGAGCTGAAGGAAAAGTCGAAGCGCGGCGAGCGGCTGGAGGCCACGCAGCTCAAGAAGATCGAGGGCGAAGCAGAGATACGGAAAGAGCTCGCTGCTCTCGGGTTATAACCGGGGTAACCAGCAGCCTGTCGGTCACGTAGCTTTGTTTTCTGCTCTTTGTTGTCTTATATTCACTCGTCCCGATTCATGGCATTATTTAGAGAACACGCTAGCATTGGCGTGCGAGACTGCTGGGTGATGATGATGGACGTGCGGGCACGCGTCGCGTTAGAGCACTAGTCTTCAGCAGACGCCAGGACAGGCTACGGCCACTGAAATCTGGAAGCCACCCAGGTCCCACAGTGATCATCGACTCGAGCCAGCAACGCATCGCACTGCCAAGCAACATGCCCAGTTCGACATTGCTCATAGAAACCTCTGAGACGAACTTTTGCCACATTCGCAGGCCATTTCTTCCTCGGTCCGAAACCGTTCATGTGACACTAGCTCCCAAGACGGGATTCCGACCAACCGTGGTTGGCCTCTGATATTCAGGAATGAGATTACCGCTTGGCTTGGCCGGACTCAAAACAGGTCCCTTTTAATAATCCTGCAGAGCAGAGAATAACCGAGGGTCAAATACGTATGATAATCTAAGCACCCCAGATCGCACATCGGCCGGCCCTTCACAGCTTCACCTGCGCCGCGGCCTTCGTGCGGGTATACCTCCCTCCGCCATCGACGATGATCTGCGCGCCGGTCACATGCACGGCGGCGGGCGACGCGAGGAACAGCGCGACGCCGGCCATGTCTTGCGTCTTCCCGAGACGGCCTGGTCACATACAGTAGATGTGGATTGGTAAGTAGTCAGTCAGGAAACGGTGGATGGACGCAGAGGGAGGCGCGTCCGTGTTGGCACGCACCGGTGGGTTGGCCCAGCGAAAGCAGCTCCTCGCCGGCCGCTTTGAGACCGAATGCTGTCATTTTGCTTGGGAAGAAACTTATTGGACGCATTAGTAGGTCAACTCAGAATAGACTGATCTGACTGACCCAGGGAGGATGGCATTCACGCTGGATATCTCTAGTGTCAATGTCCATGGTTCCTGGTTATGACTGCAACGCACGTGACTTGCTGGGGCCCTAATTTCACCGCGAGCGAGGTTGTCAAGTGATTGACTAGGGGATGGATTCATAAGACGATTCCGTTTGTTAGATGAGGGGAGACGAACCGGCTGCTTTGCTCGGCTGATCTGCACACTGATTCAGACGACGCGCTTTCTGAGAGAGAGAGGAGGAAGAAAACGTACAGCTCCACGTCCCGCTCCCGTCCCCGCTCAGCAGATTCTCGCTCCAGGGGACGACCGAGTCCGTCGAAGATATGTTGATCACACGGCCCGGCGAGTCGGCCGTCGCGTCTTTCGTCAGATAGTCCGTCAACCTAGCGGTCCATTCGGTCAGAACTGCTCTCGCGCGCGGGCCCAGGTGGGCCGTTGAAGTTGGTACTACTCACCCTGCAGTCATGTAGAAGATGCTCTTGACGTTCACGGCGAAAACGTTGTCCCAGCCCTTCTCCTCCGGCACGTTCTCGTACGGGGCACCCCAGGAGACGCCCGAGTTGTTCACCAGCACGTGGAGCCTGCTTTCGCGCTGCTTGAACTCGGCGATGAGCGCGTCGCAGCCTGCTTTCGACTGCCGGGCGCGTCAGCCACGGCGCGGCGGAAACCGCGGCACGGGGGCACGCACCCCGACGTTGGCGACGATGTAGTCGACCTGCCCGTTCCCTAGCTTCTTCAGGTCGCGCACCGCCTGCCGTTGGGATCAGATTTACGTTGCATGGCATATAGTGTAGTAGCGAGACTACTGCACCTCTTGCAACTGCTGTTCCTTGCGCGCCGCGATATACACCTTGGCCCCATTCTCAACAAAGCCCGCAGCGATCATCTTCCCGATGCCGCTCCCTCCTCCGGTCACGAGCACTGCCGTCCGCTCGCTGTGAGCCAAGGTCCTGCCGCCGTCGCGAGCGGGGTCGGCGCACCTATTTTGCCTTGCACATCGAATAGAGAGGAGGTAGCTGGAGCGGTCAGTGAGTCTGGGTCTTCGGGAGAGAGGGGAGACTGGGCTGACAGAGGGTCGACATCAGTGGTTAGAGCAAGGCGCGCTTTGGTCGCGTCGGATCCGGTATCCGGAGGTGGCTGGGCCGGATGATCGGTGTCACTGGTCATCGGCCCGCTGATAGCGAGAATATCACGAGACGCGTCGGCTTTTTCAAGAGAGGTCCATTGCATTCTTCGGTGCTCAGAGGCGGGACATCGGCGCCCTCCTGCGACGGAAGCTCGAGAGAGGACTATTGCGTGTAGTTTCGGTTAGTGCTGGCACTTTGAGCGTCAGAACTCAGGCCTCATCAGCAGGCTCACAGACGGAACTACGATATGCTAGACCGACATGAATCTATGTTCAATACTCTGAAATTTGCGGCAAAATATACAAGGGCCGTCTCTCAAGAGGGGTAAATAACTAATCAGAATACCGTCCGCTTGGACCAGTGGTCGCTCCGACATGGCTGTCCTTGGCCGACAAGCGCATCTGCGTCTCCTTCAACTTGACCGGCACATACGCCGTACTTCTGGCTGTCGATCCGACGGCACGGCCATGTCCGCATGACTGTGACGTTGTGCGCCTTCAACTGACCCACGCTCGTCGGTCGGTGCGTGGCTCGATGAGCGGTAAGCTTGTGCGTGGGGCAGTGTGTCACTTTGTACGTCGCTGTTCTTGTGCGCTTCGCTGTTCTTGCGTGTGGAATCGCCCTTGTGTGAGACGGGAGGCCTGTCGAGAAGCTGGATAACATCGGCAGCCACCAGTTCAGGTGGCTCATTCTCCATCATCTGAGCGAGGACAGTGTGAAAATCCGCCACCGCTTCGTCACGATTGACGTCTGAAAGAAGTTGGACGCCCGGGCCAGCGGTTTCGTTTCCGAACGAGACGCTGCGGGGCCAGCGTTAGACGCGCATGAGAGACTTCCCTCGCCTTGTCGCCTTGCTCTCCGATACTCTTCAGCTCAGTGGAAGAGCGAATGGCCGGCGCGTGCATACAACACCGCTTTTATCGCCAGCGCCGTCGCACCATCATTCTGCAGCAGCGAGGCAATGCCGCTGGTGTTAGCCGCACGAAACAAGACACCCCCCACGTCCGGCGGTTTCCTTTCTCGCAATCGTTGTCCAGTCGCGATGAGACTCTGCTGTTCGTGCTTGTGTGAGATCGGCGCGCGCACGGCGGTGATATGTACATGCGCAGTAAAGCAAAGCAGGCGGCGGGTAGACAGCGAGCTGCCGCGGACGCTTTGTGAGGCCCTTGGTGTCGAAAGTTGAAACCCCAAGCCTAAGCGATTGAGCGCCCGTGTAATCGATCAAACAAGATGAAGATGGGGCGCCCTGCGTTCAATCTGAATCCGAATCCTTCTCATCGTCCACGCCGTGGTAAGTAAGTGATCAGTGGAGACGGGAGGATGGTGAATCAGTCGGTTGGCACATGTCGGATAGATTCTTTTGCAGACTTCTCTGCCCACGAAAAGCGATCTAATTTGCAGGTCGCACCAGCAATTGCCGTTGCAAGATGACCGTCGTGTCCAAGTCGTGTCAATGCTATAGAAAGCTGCTCAGTCTGCCCGATGACAGTTATCTTTATAACACGTGACCGGAGTGGACGATATAACACCTATCTTATCACGCAGGACCCTGCCGGACGGAGGAATGTCTCAATTTTATCATCACGGTATCCCATCAGATCAGCGGGCTGTAGCGGGTTACCGTTCATATTTCCTCTTTATGCGAGTGCGGGTTGAATTGGCCGTGTGGAAACCTGTCCATGAGTGCCGAGAAGAACTTGACTGCAACTCAAATGCAGCCGGATTGCCGACGAATCTCAAGCGTTACAGCTCGTCTGGACTCGTCCAGTCGGGAAAATTGCATGCCCATTACCCACGCAGTTATTGCCTCCTGCCACAGCTCGGTTTGAGATCTCTTATTGCTGTAATCTTATCTGAGCGGAACGGATTTATCGGACTAAGAGTATCAATATACAAATAAACGTCAACAACACCGTCTGCCGAACTGCCGACTGCTTCACGACATCCATGCCACACGATCTTCTCTTCACTACTTATCTGTGTAGAGGATCGGAACCAATTGCTGCGTGCAAGCCCACAGACCTGCTCCCCAGCCGGGTTTCTCTTGCGCGAAACACAACCCCAGCAACCCCAGCGAGGGATGCCGACAGTCCTCTCCTAAACCTTTACTTCACCTGCTTTGCCGAGGCTGTGATGCAGCAGGGAAGGATACCACGCGCGTAAATGACGCGAGCACCTGCAGTGATTTGCGATTCGTGATTCGGCGTCCGTTCGTCCACGAGATCGACGCGCTCCAGACGTACTGGCCAGAGGCTCGACCGCGTAGTACGAGTCGTTCTCACCTCTACAACCCCCAGGATGTCTCAACATCCGTGAACTTTCTGCAGCTTCAAGTACGCACGTAGCGCAACCGTCGCGCGCGCGCGACCAGGCGAGGTTGACTAATGTGACTTACACTGCTCCCACTTAATAGCTTCTGCAACGCTCCTTCTATGATCCGCGCACACACTTATCTGCTTCGACAGTTCCTGGTCAGAAGGCCGTCGTGTAGTTCGTCTCCACGCGGTGGAACCACCGGACGCTGACGACATGGACCTGGGGCCGGGGAAATATGGCCTTCCAGGACACGCATATAAGGCCCGGCAAGCTAGCCTCCACGGCCCGCGCCAGACGGTCCGACCGACCCACTATGCTCTGTCTCGCATTCCTCACCGCAGCTCTGACGCTCGCAGCGGCGACGCCCGCGTCCGACAGCCTCGTCGTGCACGAGACCAGGGCAGCTGCCCCGCAAGGATTCGTTGCCGGTGGCGCTGCGCCTGCGGGGAAGACGCTCACTCTGAAGCTCAACCTGGCGCAGAACGACCTCGCGGGGTTGGAGTCCCGCTTGCTCGCTGCTGCCACCCCTGGAAGCCCGGCCTATGGGCAGTGGCTGTCGAAGGAGGAGGTGGGTATCTGACGATCTGTCTCTGGATAGGATATTCATTCGTATCGACCCAGGTGGAATCCTTCTCCTCCCCGACCGCCGAAACGACGGCGGCTGTCTCCGCGTGGCTCTCGTCGAACGGGTTGGAGTCGAATCAGGTCTCGGCAGCCGGCGACTGGATCTCGATCGACGTGCCGGTGTCCAAGGCCAACGAGCTGCTCGGCGCGGACTACCAGGTGTTCACTCACAGCGCCAGCGGGCAGCAGACGATCCGGACGCTGTCGTACTCGATCCCTGCCTCGCTGAAGAGCCACCTGAAAGTTGTCACTCCGACGACCAGCTTCAGCACCCCTCAACATCGGATGCTCGCTGAAGTGAAAGATGCGGGCGCAGAGGTCGAGGCCCGCGCGGTGTCTTCCGACCACATCACGAACCCCGACAACCCCCTTTCGTGCGAGACGCTGATGACACCCCGTTGCCTGATGGCCATGTACAACATCCCGAAAACCCCGGCGAAGAACAAGACGGGCTCGATCGCAGTCACCGCATTCGGCTTGGAGTACGCCAACGACCTCGACCTGTTCAACTTCTTGAAGGAACGGCGTCCGGACATGAATCCCAACACGACATTCGGCTTCATTTCAGTCGATGGAGGGCTTGATGATCAGACCAACGACGTGGCCGGCGTCGAAGGCAGTGAGTCGGAGGAGTGGGGGGTCTTGTTTCGCGCGATGCTGACTCAGCGTGTCAGACCTGGACATCCAGTACACCGTCGGCATCGCCACGGACGTCCCCATCAACTTCGTGTCTGTGGGGACGACCACCGCGGACGGCGTCTACGAGGGCTTCCTCGACGTCATCAACTCCCAGCTCAACCTTACGGCGCCGTCGCAGGTAATGACGACTAGCTACGGCTTCCCTGCGGAGGAATTCATGTCCTTCCCTCTCACCTCGTAAGCAGCTAGTGTTATGGAATGTCAGCATGGATGACTCATGATCGGCAAGGGCCCTTTGTGATTCGTACTTGCAGCTCACAGCGCGTGGAGTGTCTCTGCTGTTCGCCAGCGGCGATGGTGGCGTCGCCGCCTCGCCTGCTCTCCTCTGCAATCCTGGAGATCCGTTCGAAGTGTCTTTCCCCACCTGCCCATAGTATGTGACAATGTTGTGTCATTCTCACGCCGTTGACTGACCACAACAGCGTTACGATGGTGGGCGGGACGAGCGGATATCCCGAGGTCGCAGCCAACCTCTCTGCTGGCGGTTTTTCCAACTACTTCCCCCGTCAACCCTGGCGTACGCACCCCGCGACTTTCCCCAGCCGATCTCAGCACTAACCCTCCACAGAGGAATCCGCCGTCAGCTCGTACCTCAGCGCGCTCGGCAGCGAGTACGCCGGGCTCTACAACGCCTCGGGCCGCGCGTTCCCCGACATCGCCGCGGGCTCGGTGAACATGACGATGATCACCGACAGCATCCACTTCCCCGACTCGGGCACGTCCTTCTCGTCCCCGATCGTCGCCTCCGTCATCGCGCTCATCAACGACCGCCTCCTCGCGGCGGGCAGGCCCGTGCTCGGGTTCCTCAACCCGTGGCTGTACGCGAATCCGCAGATGTTTCACGACATAAAGACGGGGAGCAACCCCGGGTGCGGCACGGATGGGTTCCCGGCGACGGCCGGGTGGGACCCTGTGACGGGGCTCGGCACGCCTGATTTCCCCGCGATGCTGAAGGCGGCTGGGCTCAAGCACTAGGCCCTCGTAGTAGGTATAGGCATCAGATTCAGGTGCCCGGATAAAAGGCGTTACGAGTAACTACATGCGGGATGTCTTCTTTCTGTGATGGACTGGCAATTTGACGAGCAGATATCATTCTCACGATCTACACATGGACACCGTTGGTTTTTTTTCGGCGGAGGGAGCGCGCGAGATGCGTGAGATCGTGCGAAAGGTTTCTCGTACAAGCAACTGTGTGCCAAAAGGCGGTCCAGCCGTGACGGGAAACCCTGGTGCACCGAAAATCAGACCAGACGCAATGCGAATTACCGCAGCGGTCCCTGTCGTGATCGTACTGGGGAAGCAGGGGCAGTCAATCCAGATCTAAAAACCGGAATTACACACAAGCAGGTGACGGGCCAGAACCAAGGCAACCCTGAGTGCAATGGGGCAGCTTCCCGGCATCTACCGATGGCTCGCTCAGGACAGACAACCCATGATGCGCAGAACAAATCCCACAGCTTCCGCAAGATAGATCTCGCATGACACTCGTCGTGTTGTATTATTTGGCTCCGGATGCACACGAAGCATCTCCCAGCTCGCGCAAAAATCAATCTCGCTTCACATTGCAAATTCAGGCGTGTATTATTAGTTTCAATGGGGGATCTTTTACGGGGTGCAGTCGATATGGAACGCAAACGCTTCAGAGGCCGACGGTGCTGTTGTACTTGACGACGAACAGCCCCCGCTCGAGCGTGTTGACGAGGATGTATCCGCTCGTGAAGTACGGGTACGCGGACCACGCGCCGCCGAATTGCGCGGATCCGTTGGTCTCGTCGTCCTCGGGGTGCACTGAGAGCAAGCAGTCAGTCAGCACGGCGCGATGCGGGTCCGAATGTGGCCTGGCTCACCGTCGAAGAACGCAGCCTCGGAGAAGCCAGCGCCGGTCGGGTCCTGCTTGACGCTCGACACATCGACGATGCGCAAGCCGCTGTTGTAGTTGCTCTCGTAGACCAGCCCGTTCTGCCGGCGAGACGGAAACGCGCATGTCAGTCTCTGCCGACAGACGGAACATAACAAAGACGACTTACGACGACGTACAGGTTGTGGTCGATAGCGACTGCAGGAGACTTGTAGTGCCCGGTCAGAACAGGGCGCTCGAGATCGATGATCTCCCAGATGTATGTCGTGGTGCGCTGGTCGACGGCCCAGCCGCGCTGGTAGACCTCGTCGAGCTCGTCATTGAGCAGCAGGTGGGTCTGGTCCTTTTCATCGACGACCCAGCCCTGGTGCGAGTACGCAACTCCGTAGTAATACGTCGCGGAGATGATCACTGGGCTGCGATCGGTCATTCATCAGGGATGGAAAACAAAGCGGGAGATGGATCACCCACTCGGCAGGGTTCGTGATATCGTAGATGGTGAACGTGTTTTCGTTGAATGAATAGCATACATCCGACCCATTGTACCGGGCATCAGGGCCGATGTAAGTCAAGCACTGCGCGCTGAGAATAGCGCGTAAGCACGTGCGGGAGATGGTCGTTTTTGCGGGCGCTTACTCATGCACGTAGCCATCGTCCCCGGCGCAGCCTACCGTCGTCGGCTTGGAGGGATCCGATACGTCGATGAAGATCAGTCCTGCACCGCAGGCGCTAGAAGCTGGTCAGCCATCGATCGCAGGAGGCGTGCACACGAGTAAGAACACACTCCGTGCGGGGCATGGCGCCAACGGCGACGATGAGATTCTTGTCTTCGTGAGAAACGACGTTGTGCGATGAGCCCAGCGGGAGCCCATCATAGTGCGCAGTCAGGTCTGTTTTGATGCTGAAGACCTTGGGAGAAGCGAGCAAAGACTTGTCCAAGAGCTGTCCGTACACGGGCGTGAGAACCCGTTTCTATTGTTGGAGGTAAAGCCCACCTTGTGCAAGTCGAATACTTGGATGCCGTGTCCGAGGGCCTCGCTTCCGATATAAGCATAGTGTCCAATGACTTTGATATCCCGCCAAATATCGTTCACGGTCTGCGTCGCCAGGCGACCCAGGTACGCGATCTGCCCGTCCGACAAGACCTCAACGAACGCCGTGCCATCCATCTGCCCCACCAGCCCAAACTCGCGCGTCGTCGCACCCTGCACATCGGTGTGCGCCCAGCCCCAGATATCGTTCCCGACCTTCGCGTCGCTGCCCAGGTCGCCGTGCGGCGTGAACGAGTACAGATCGAGGTTGCGGCACGCGTACGTGTTGTTCTCCTGCGTCCCGGCGTACCCGCCAACGCAGGGCGTGTACTCCTTGATCGCGTCGATGCCGAGCAGCGGGTCGAAGATCCCCGCGCCGCGCACGCCGTCCTGGCGGATCGTCGACACGTACTGCGTCATGCCGTCCATGAGCTGCTTGTGCACCCGGCCCGACGCGTAGTCCGTCTCCGTCGCGAGCGGGACGTGCACGAAGGGCGCCTCGTCGCCCCGCCGGACCGCCACCTGCGCGAAGGCGCGGGAAGCGGTGAGAGCGGCGGCTGCAAGGAACAGGGGGGTTGCTTTTACCATGGATGGGGGGTTTCACTGCACGCCGTGGGCGAACGCCACCTGCTATCCTCTATCACATATATACACCACTGATAAGGCCCGCAGCATGGGAACACGTGTCGCGGCACAGAGGCGTAAGGATCGTTGCGAGCATTGCGGAGGTGCCTGGGGAGCGCGCGCATGCGTCGAGGAGAAGTAGAAACATCGTTTTCACGCGACCGACGTCGAACGTAGACTGGGTGTTGGTATTCCAGCGAGCGTCGGTGTGGCACCGCTTTCGTTTCGTTTGTTGTTGCTGCCGCGGCGAAAGCAGAGTGCCATCAGTGGCACACCGCGGTCCACGGTCATGTGACGTCTGAGTTACGTCATGGTCAGACCCGGACAGACTATGTACAATTGGGAGCTTGTTCAGGTATCACGTAACCTGCTGGGGCAGGATTGAAGTCCAGAAGGCAAATCATCAATGCACTGCCCAGGATCTCTGCAAGCATATTAGCGCACGCGCTGCTGAGTCTTGTGAGGTGTCTGATTCATATCAATAGATGCTAAACTCGATGTCAGTCGCAAGATATGTAGCGTTCATGGTCCGAATATGAGTTTACGAACGAGGACAGTGGAGCTCCAAAATCTAAACTGCCACTGGAACGACACGCCCTTCATAACATCAGGATGTGACAGCATCTTCTCGCAGTCCAACATGCCGAAACATGTACCATTTGTATCATGTAGTTCTTCTCAAATCGCAGATCATCATGTTCGAAATTGCCATGTGGAGTTTGTTTCAGTAGCACGTCTGTTGCAAGATCAACCCCGCTCAAACATCACGTGTTCTGGTCATGTGTACGATGCTCCCAGGGGAGGCCTAGGCTGGGCAGACTGCAGATGATCTGGCATAGTACGCGCATGAAAGTTGATATATAGTGGAGTCGTCGGCACGTGACCGCGTCACCATAAGGGACACACATGTACATAACATAAGGATCGGAGAGACTTGACGCAGGCAGCATCATCGGCCACTCCAGTAGTTTACTCTCTCTGATAGATCCCAGGTTTCCGAGTGCGCATTGTCTTTTACGATCCACACCAGTGGCTTCCACACATGTAGAAAGCAAGATGCGCGATGTAACAACAGAGGGAATCAGGTAAAACGGGAGGGTTCTCGGTCCACATCTGAAGTGTATCGCCGATATATGATGTATAATGGATGACTCGCATGCGATATGGGCTATACACATGTGCGCTAGCACTTCTTCGATGGGGGGACATCTTTCATTCAGCCAAGAAAGAGCGCAAACAACACAAACTTAAAGTGCACTTCACAGTCCGCCGGTGTTGTTATACTTGACAACGAACAAGCCCCGCTCGAGTGTGTTGACGAGGATATATCCGCTGTCAAAGTACGGGTACGAGGACCACGCGCCGCCAATCTCCGCGGACCCATTGGTCTCGTCGTCCTCGGGGTGCACTGGCCACACAAACAGTCAGCACGACAACGCGATACGGCTCCCACGGGAGCAGGAGCAGCGCGGCTCACCGTCGAAGAACGCAGCCTCGAAGAACCCAGCGCCGGTCGGGTCCTGCTTGACGCTCGACACATCCACGACGCGCAATCCGCTGTTGTAGTTGGTCTCATACGCGAGCCCGTTCTGGAGAACGGCCCCAGAGCCGTCTCAGCCGCCGCGCGGGTGCGAGATGGGGGAGGAACGACTTACGCGGACGTACAGATTGTGGTCGATAGCGACCGCCGGGGACTTGTAGTGCCCGGTCAGGACGGGGCGCTCGAGGTCGGTGATGTCCCAGATGTACGTCGTCGTGCGCTGGTCGGCGGCCCAGCCGCTCTGGGAGAGCTCGTCGAGCTCGTCGTTGAGCAGCAGGTGGGTCTGGTTCTTCTCGTCGATGACCCAGCCCTAGTGCGAGTACGCCACACCGTAGTAGTACGTGACAGACAGGGTCACCGGACTGCGACCGCTCGTTCAGAAACACGAAGCGGAGAGAGACGATGGATGGCACCCACTCGGCGGGGTTGGTGATGTCGTAGAAGGTGAACGTGTCCTCGTTGAAGGCATAGCATATATCCGAGCCGTTGTACCGGGCATCGGGACCGATGTAAGTCAAGCACTGCGCGCTGGGAAACGGTACCATGAAAAATCGGCCGGAATCGGTATCGGGAGCTCTTACTCGTGCACATAGCCATCGTCCCCGGCGCAACCTACACCAGTCGGCTTCGAAGAATCCGATACGTCGATGAAAATCAAGCCTGCACCACAGATGCTGGGAACTGATCAGGCTTCGGTCGCGGCAGATGTGTACGTGAGGACACACTCTGTGCGGGGAAGAGCACCGACGGCGATGATGAGGTTCTTGTCTTCATGCGAGACAACATTGTGTGAGGAGCCGAGCGGGAGGCCATCATAGAGGGCAGACAGGTCTGTTTCGATGCTGAACACCTTGGGAGACGCAAGCAACGACTTGTCCAGGAGCTGTCCGCACATGCTTGTGAGAGCCCGTTCAGTTCATTGGAAAGAAATCCTACTTTGTGCAAGTCGAACACCTGGATGCCGTGTCCGAGAGCCTCGCTTCCGATGTAAGCATAGTGTCCGATGACCTTGATATCCCGCCAGATTTCGCTTGTGGTCTGCGTCGCCAGGTGGCCCAGGTACGCGATCTGCCCGTCCGACAAGACCTCAACGAACGCCGTGCCATCCATCTGCCCCACCAGCCCAAACTCGCGCGTCGTCGCACCGCGCGCATCCGTGTGCGCCCAGCCCCAGATATCGTTCCCGACCTTCACAGCGCTCCCGAGCTCGCCGTGCGGCGTGAACGCGTACAGATCGAGGTTGCGGCACGCGTACGTGTTGTTTTCCTGCGTCCCGGCGTGCCCGCCGACGCACGGCGTGTACTCCCTGATCGCGGCGATGCCGAGCAGCGGGTCGACGGCGTCTGCGGCGCGCACGCCGTCCTGGCGGATCGTCGACACGTACTGCACCATGCCCGCCATGAGCTGCTTGTGCACCCGGCCCGACGCGTAGTCCGTCGCCGTCGCGAGGGGGACGTGCATGAAGGGCGCCTCGTCGCCGCGCCGGATGGCGGCTTGCGCGGAGGTGCGGGACGCTGCGAGGGCGGCTGCGAGAAATAGGAGGGACACGAGTGCCATGGGTGGATGATTTTCGCCGCCGTTGGCGAACGCACGTTATATAGAATGTGCCCGACCGATAAGCGCCGCAGCAGCAACATGCGTCTCCGCACTGCGCGTCAGGCTCGTTGAGTCCATGGCGCGAGTGCTTGCGCAGCGTGTATGGGTTCAGGAGACGCGGAAAGCCATTTTTACGCTACAGATGTCGAATAAAGACCGGGCATTGCAGCTCGAGTTGCTCAGTGATCTCGTTTGTCCTTGTTGCCGCGGCAAAGCGGCACTGCCATCGTCATTCCATCCCGGCGTTGGACGGTGTTCGCGTCAGGTGACTCACTGTGACTCATCAACTACAGGGGCCAGATCACGCTCAAGCTGCTTCAAGCTGCTGGGGGGGAAGTGGAGTACTAGGGGCACGGGACCGCATGACCGTAGAGACCTGCATATACAGACACCACGATAGCATCCACTCGGGCCACTGCAGCAGGTTTGAAGCCCAGCATGAAGATCATCAAATTCAATGCACACTACCCAGGGATAGTGCTCCAATTCCTCTGCAGGCATAGTAGAGTCACGCGCTGCTGAGTCTTGTGAGGTGTCTGATTCATATCAATGGGCGTTAAACTCGATGTACAGTCGCAAGATAGCGTTCATGGTCCGGAATCTGAGTCTACGAGCGAGATAGTGGAGCTCCATAGTCCAAACTGCCATTGGAACCGAGACGCTCTTCTTCATCGCATCAAGACGTGATGGTGATTTCGTGCAGTCCAACTGTTCGGAACGCGTTCCAGGGGACGATCCGAACCAGCTCTTTTCAAAATGCGGATTTCTGTGTTGGATGTGGATGGTGCTCTACTTTGTCTTTGTGAGAACTGGCGCGTCACTCCTCCGAGTCCGACGGCCCATGATGATCAACAGGTGATTAGATTAGCGATTCGATGTGATTGACATCTTCCTTCTTTTCGCACGATCTGCATGTGAGTGGGCGTGCTACGTTCCTCGCTTGCAGGCATCCGTCGTTTGTCCTTGTCCCTTGATGACTGACGGATGAAAGCAGCGCCATGCTGCGCTAAACTGAAATTCGGGGCCGTGGCCCCGGTCTGCGATTCCCACTCTGCGGGTCGGCCCTCGAACGCAGGCCTCGCTCCAGGATCGCGATTGGGTGGGTGGGTGGAAATGATCTCCCTCTGCGTCCATTTCGCCGAAACTGCAACAAAATATCAGCGCACTTCCCCGGATGTGCTTCGCGTTCTGATTTTCCATCGCGTGCGTTAGTTACCAGCGTCCCGCAACCCGGGTTGCTTGCTTGCGGAACCCGATTACGCACTTCTCATTTGACAAACGAGAGCCTCCCCAGGGCCGGACGCTTCACCCCGTCTTCAGCGTGGAAACGCCATCTCGTTCGGGGGGGGGGGGGGGATGCCGACATGGCCAGACATCGAGAACATTCCAGTTGTGTCGTTGGAGGCCTGCCCGGGTGACGCGTGATGCTGATCCACCGGGCTTCGCGAGCTCCGTCCTCTCACAGCGCGCGGTATTCTGCTCCCGTTCGCCGGCCACGGAGAATGTGTATGTCATGGGCATGGTTGTCCTCCGTTCAGTCCGGGCGAACGTTCCCCGTTGGCCCTACAGTCTCCGCTCCCGTCTGTGCGCTGTGGGATGCAGCTCGTGCGCACACGAGTCGGCTGATTTGGCCATCGGTGCGATCTACATATCTATCTATGTATCTATCTGCGCATCTACGCATCTATCTATCACTTCGGCTGAGGGCTCTGACGCTCTTCTAGTTTTCATTCAATCCCCACCTATCAGTGTGACATCTGGAGATCCCAGACCCATCACATGGCGCGCATTGCGGCTCGCGAATCATGCAACATTAATCACCGAGGCGGGGGAGACATAATGCATCATCACATCTAGTTTGTGGGAGGGCCGCGGTACCTCCGGCCGCACGAGCCGTTAAGGAAGCCTAAATGCGGTTGACATCGATCTCTGCGCAACCGCCGACATGTGGCAGAGGCTGAAGTGGCAGTCAAGCTGGACTGAGTGTGGGACCAGGAGAAGAAGCCTCTGTCACCTTTCGCCCGCTCTCAGCATGCAGTTTGGGGCCTTATACATAAGCCTGTTTCCGTGTTAATTGATCTGCAAGCCTCTCCCCCTCGCGTCCCCCACCCCTCGCGCCCCTCCTTCCTGAAGATGGCGGTCGTCGATGTTCACCTGCTGTGCGTGCCGGCGGCTCGCTTCTGCCTCGGGCACTGCTGACCCGGAGCTCGCGTGTGCCAGGTTTGGGCCTATGCTGATCGGTGTTTTCTTCAACATGATCCTGTATGGGGTGCGCAGCGTCAGTGGCGCATCGCACATCTGTTGCTGATCCCGGCTCCGTTTGTAGGTCCTCGTAGGCCAGGTCCGCTCCCGTCCCCCTCCCACACCACGGAGAGGACCCATATAGCTGATACATCCATGGCAGATGCTCACCTACTACCAACTCTATCGGAGGTGCGAGGATCCATCCGATTCTATGTTATCTTCCCGCGTGTTGACTTGTGCCCAGGGACTCTTGGAGCATGAAGGCTCTTGTAAGGTGTTTCTGCTAGATCACTCGCTGGAAACTTACCCGGGCAGGTATATTTTCTGTTTTTTGTGGAGACTGTCAATACGGGATTCGACATGGCATTCATGTACCAGCCGCTCATTGCACAATACGGTGCGCCGAGCTGTGCTCTTGTGTCTCTGCGCCCGAGCCTCCCAGCTGACTCCATGCCCCAGGGGAGCCACCCCTCAAGTTCCCCACATGTGAGCAGCTCCATCCCCTTCTTCGGTTCGAGCGCCTGCTGACCCACGCCCAGTCTTTGTAACCGGTCCGCGCTCCTCGCCGTCGCCCGAAGATCCTTACTCACTCGATTTCTCTCGGGTCGTCCAGAACCGCTGTGCATCGTGCGTGCCCACTTCATATCAGCTCAGCAGCAGCCCGTGAGCTCATACGGATCCCGCGTGCAGGTCGCTGTCTCCACCCCGATCCAGCTGTTCTTCGCGTACCGGATCCAGCGGCTGCAAAAGTCGTGGTGGATACCGCTCGCGATCGCCCTGCTCGCGTTCTCGTCCATGGCCGGGGGGATCTGGACTGCCGGTGCGTGCATCGGGGGTGTTCCATCGCCATCCCCAGGGTTGGGGGAAGCGTGACTCACTGACTCACTGCACCCGCTCCACAGTTGGCATCCGAGTTTTCGCCACATTCAAGAACAAGCCTAAGCTGCACAACTCGGCTCTCGTCTGGTTCCTGTCGTCCTGCGTCGCCGATGTCCTCATCACGGTCTCGCTGGTGTTCAGTCTCGCGCGGCGCAAGACCGGCTTCTCCGGTACCGACACTGTAATCGATAAGATTATCAGGAGTGCGTCTGTCCGCGGTGGTTCGGTTCCCGGCGGACGCTGACTCGACTTCGTTTACCAGTGACCATCCAAACGGGCATGATAACGTGAGCCGCTGTGCATTCTCAACCTTCGACCCGGCCAGCGGTATTTATCGGATCCGGACAGCGCTCTGTTCAGTATCCTCGATGTTGTCAGCTTCATGGTTCTCCCCGTATGTGCCCTGTTTCGCCTGGTATACACCCCAGAGACTAAATCGAATCGTAATGATACAGCACGCCGCCGTGTAAGCTCGTCGCCGCATAACCCCATCCCCACTAACACCGGTAATTAAAGCAACTTCATCTGGGATCTCGCGCTGTCCAAGTTGTGTGCGTCGAGGCGCTCTATCCCCCCGTTTATTGCACACACTCAATGGTTTCGGTCGTGCAGATACCAACTGCTTGATGTCGACGCTGAACTCCCGTGCCTCGCTGAACGACATGTCCGGGACCCGGAACACCTCCGAGCCCCGGATCCGCCCGAACTACGCCGGGCAGAGCTCGCCCGTGTCGCGGCGCCAGGTGAGCGCCGGCTGCAGTCCAGTCCAGAGTGCCCTCGATCCGCGCTGACTGACGCGCGCCTCTCGCAGCACGATACGTTCAACGACATCCACACGGTGCGTGCGTCCGCGCGTGGTCGGCCCAATGCCGATGGCTCATCACGCACTCACTTACTCCGCTTACAGAGCAGCAACGGATTCGAGCTCGAGGTGGAAAAAATGAAACTACGACATGTCGGCGTCGTACGGCGGCGGCGCGAACGGCATCCAGGTGACCAAGGTAGGCATAGCCCGCGTATGTTTTGATGGACCGCTTCTCTGAGCAACCACTTTCTCCCTCGCCCCCATTAGGTCGTCGAGCACGTGAAAGACCCGATGCCTACCCACCCGCATCCCTACACCCAGTAATAAGTTATCCATTATCCCGGGTTCGCACCGGCAGCGGGACCAGTGGGCTCGGCGCCGTGCATGTTATTTATCGGTATCTCGGGCGATTGGTGGATTGTAGAGTGTAAAACAGATGGGATTGTATATTGCGTAATGGAATATATGGCTACTGTGGGAGCGCAATCGTACTGCAATATACATATAAAGATCATAGAGAAGACAACTAAGGATCTGCAGCGGCACCAATTTCATGGGATTCGATCTTTTTCGCGGCGCGTTATACAACTGCCCAAATGTCAGGCAGCTCCTGGCCGATAGGACAAGATGGCTTGCGTGTGCCTGAACAAGGGGTCTCAGATTGGTATAACGCACCGAAGCAATGAGTTGCCATCCGGTGACCGAACCTCGGCGAAGCTGGGAATTTGGCGCGTTTCCCTCGCACCCCCAAGCCTCGAAATATAGAGAGACTCTCGTCGCGAGGTGCAGCTCAAAGCAATAAAAGTTTGTTTACCTGCCTCAGATGCTGTCTATTCTGGGATTTTACCCGCGCGGCGAAGCCCGATGAAAATCCGAACATGCCTGTTTCTCACCATCAACCAAACAGACCACGACACCAAGCTTCTTCGCATCTGAATCAGATTCTTCCTGATGTTTCCCAACGCACTCGCTCCCTGGATCTGAAGGGAGACACCGCGAAACAGACGACGTAATCATGTGCTTGTGGACATCTGCAAAGGCCCATGTGCACCCCAAGCGTCTTTCTTGTTCGGATAATGGACGGGTCTCGCGCTGCGCAGTTCTAGCCGCCGGAGCTGGGCATCGGCCATCCAGCCTGGAGGGTTCCCGTGTTTTTTTCTTCTTTGCTGCTGGGATCAAGAAAATGCCAAGATGACGTTGGATGGGAGACTTGCACGGCGGTTCCTGGGGGGATGCAGGATCGAAGCCGCGCGTGGAATCTGGCCATGCAGGACCAGACGGCCCCTGTAAAGCCGAGGGCCATCTGCGACGCGTCTATGTTTGGACGAACATCGCCTATGGCCCACCGAGGCACACCCCCAATGTCTTCTAGACTTTCCGAGCTCCTGCCAGCTCCGCCTGTCACTCGCCTGACCTCTGACCACTGAGGTAGGTCAACTGCGCCGTGCGCCAAAAATAGGGCGGGTGGTGGTGGATCTTTCCGCCAGAGTCCAAATCTTCAGAGCTTAACGGTCGCAACGGGCGGCGAACGTCTCGCTCTAGTAAGATCCTCACCGATACTAGTGACTGGGAGCTGTCACACCCACCGGTGATCCGTCTTTTGCTTTGCAGAGCGAGTTTGGGTTTAATTGAGCGTGCAGATAAGCATAATCTCGACGAGACGTCGGTTACCAGGCCCAACGCAAGAGATAGCTTGTGGACAGAAATGACAACCGGTTCGCCACTTCCAGATTCGAGGGATTGACCGTAATCCCACCAGATCCCAACTGGTATCAAATATGTGGCATCAATACAGCGTGACAGAAGACACCGACGTGACAACCCAGCTCTTCGAGGCTGGACGTTTCGGAGCAAGGGGGTGCTTCGCCGGCTTACTTAGTGCTGGCTATGACTTAAAAACTCGGACGGTCCGAAACTAAGATCCCAGCGCTGTTGCTTGCTCCCCTCCTCGGTTTCGCGTCTGCTCCCCCGTGCTTGCCCCGATGTCCAGCGAACACCACGTCGAGAAGGCCCCCTCACGCACATCGACCGACCCTGAGAAGGTCGCCGATGCCTCCAGCAGCGTCCTCGAGAGCGAGCCCGTCTTCAATGACGCGCTTGACAAGGTCGTGTGGAGGAAAATGGACATGTGGATCATCCCCATCGTCGCCCTCTTCTACCTCCTCTCCTTCCTGGTACGCCCCCCGCCCTTTCCCCTCTCGCGCGCGCGCGTCGTTTCATGGGACTCAACCCCTCTCTTTCTCTCTTAGGATCGTACGAACGTCGGAAACGCCAAGGTCGCCGGTCTGATGACCCAGCTCAAGATGACGCCGACACAGTACTCGATCGCGCTTACTGTCACATACGTGCCGTACATCGTCGCGGAACTCCCCTCCAACCTGTTGCTCAAGGTTAGGCTCCTTCTCAGCATCTCGAAACCTGCCGACAGCTGACGTCCTGTCGTAAGATCGTCGGTCCGAACATCATGCTTCCGACGATGCTTACGCTTTGGGGAGTCGTGACCACTTGCCAAGGTCGGTTCTCTATCCGCCTTCTTGTGTGCCCCGCCGTGTGTCTCTCTTTCCTGACACTGTATGCAGGCGCCGTCAGGACATACCACCAGCTGCTCGTCTGCCGATTCTTCCTCGGGCTGCTCGAGGGTGGTGTCTTCCCTGGTCTTGTGCTCTATCTGTCATTCTTCTACCCCCGAGTCAAGCTGCAGACTCGGTACGTCGCTCCGATGCTCGTCGTTAGGTCATTGATTAAGCTATCTGAATAGCATTACGTCGTTCTTCTCTGCTGCTTCCATCTCCGGCGCCTTTGGTGGTATCATGGCCTACGGCATCATCCATCTGAACGGCAAGGCCGGGCACTCTGGCTGGCAGTGGATCTTCATCATCGAGGTGCGTCTGGACCCGAACAGTCCACACGTAAACCAGCGTCTGATGTGTTTCACAGGGTGTGATCACTGTGTTCGTCGGCCTCGTCTCGTATGCGTTCATGCCCAGCTCTCCGGACCACGCGCGCTTCCTTAATGCGGAGGAGAAAGCCTACGTCAAGGCTGTCCTGCGAGCGGATGGTTCTATCGGCGCGGACGAGAAAGCTGACTCCTTCAGCTGGGCAGAAGTCGGGAAGGCGTTCGCTTCGATGCAGGTCTTCCTCTGCGCGCTTGCCTTCTTCATGGGCGGCGTTACGCTTTACTCGCTGGCCTACTTTACGCCGTCGATTATCCAGTCTCTCGGCTACACCGCCGCGCGCGCGCAGCTCATGAGCGTGCCGCCGTTCTCGGTCGCCTTCGTGGTGTCCATGATCGGCGCGTACCTCGGCGACCGGTACCACTGCAGAGGGCTGGTGTCCCTGTTCGGGTCGCTCCTGTGCATCGCCGGATTCGCGGTGTTCCTCACGTCCGGGAACCACCACATTCAGTACGGCTCGCTCTTCCTTTCGATCCCGGGGACGTACACCGTCGCGCCGACGCTGTCGACGTGGAACGCGAACAACTCGGCGCCCCACGTGCGCCGCGCGGCCGCGATCGCGATCGGCTTCATCATGACCAACTCGGGCGGCATCCTCGCGACGTGGCTGCTCGGCGCGCTCTCCCCGCCGCCGCGCTACTTCCTCGGGACGAAGCTGCTGCTCGCGTTCTCCGTGCTCATGTTCTTCTTCTCCGCGTGCAACATCTGGTACCTCCGGGGCGAGAACCTGAAAAAGGCGGAGATCCGCAGGACGACGCCCCGCTCGGAGGAGGAGCCGGGGCGCGGCGACAAAAGCGCCTGGTTTATCTACAGTCTGTAAGCAAGTTGAGTGGGGCGTCGGTATCTTATGTAACTTACTGGGTCGGCGGTGTTGCAAAATATTGTAGAATTATTTCTTGTGGTATGTACACAATAATTGTATGGTGTGCGTTACTGGATGCTCTCTGCGTGTATGCGTTGTTTGGCCTCGTGAATAACATCCATTTCCGCAGCCAGTAGCCAGGACTGACGATAGGGCAGCGCTGAGCAGAAGTGCACTGTACCACAGAGGCGCAGACTGGCTGAGAGGGTACCCAGGTGCGGCAAGACACTCCTAGGCGCATCCGCAGCATCCCGATCATCTGTGAATGCCAATCTCTCTCTTCTCCCTCAGCTGCATCCATCTTCAACAGAGAATCCATCTGCTCAAGTCTCGCGCGATCCCAGCGGAGCGAGGTCCTCCAGTGATAACTCGAATACCCCCGAGCACAAATATCGGTCGGTGGGATCGTCACGGGTGAGCCCGCGGACCTCGAGGCGCCGTCCGACTGCAGAACTTCCCCGCGATGTATTATCTATCACCCGGGACAGCGAACTCTTCCGTTGCGTGCCTTCTTGCACGGCCTTTGCTGGTACCTTTCCGATCGGGATCTGTTCCGGCAGGAGCCCATATTGATCCAGCAGTTGCTTATCTGGCCGGTCCAGATCACTCTGCACCGCACAAATGGAGTGCCCAAGACCTTTTGCACTTAATTTCCCAGAAAGAGTGGGTACTGTGTCAATTCATCTACCGTATCGAGGCACCAAGCATTCATATCTTGCACAGGTGAGTATAAATAAATCGAAATCAGAGACCGGCTGCAGTCAGCATGGCAGGGAAGTTGGGCGAACCCATGCCCGTAACGGGGTCCCAGCCCGCCTTTGCAGAGAACCCTTTCGTGCCGCAACCGGGATTCGTGCCAGAGATAATGTCATTGAACATCTGCGGGTTCGCATACACCCACGGATTCAGGAATCCCAGCACGGGCTTTCCGGCAGCGAGCAGCCGGTCGTTGATCAGCCCGATCACGGACGCGAAGATGGGCGACGAGCAGGATGTTCCCTCGATTTTGACCCCGGATCCGTTGTAGATGACCTCGACGGCCTTTCCGATAGCGGAGACGTCGGGATACCCGCGGCCAGACGTATTGTAGAGGCCAGCGTATTGCGTGCCAATTGAACTGATGTAAGAGCTGACGGCGGATTTCTCTGAGGGAGCGCACGTCAAAATGCGGTGTCGGTGAAGCAAGCACGGAAGACGCACGCCATGACTGGACAGGGAAGTAGTTAGAGAATCCACCAGCAGAAAGTCTGGCACCGGTCTCAGGCGTCCCGGCTGTTGCACCCACGAGCGTAACGCTATTTGGAAGATTCGTAAGATGAAGGGCTGGAGCGGCAGTTCGTTTGGCTTGCTTACTAAGGGCAAGTCGGGAAAGTCGGGAGGAACGGCTGCCCGCTGCACGATTCGCCCGGGCTCGCGGCCACGCCTCCGTCACCGCTGGCAAACAGGATCGAAACACCGCGAGCAGTCAGCTGCATGTACGCGTTGCACATGGCGCTGTCACGCAAAGCAGAGTGTGAGCGTCGAACGGCGCCACAGCGAAAAGACAACCCACAATGTGAGCTGCTGGGACAAGTAAGTCTCGATCGGGAAGCCGTAGCTCGTCGTCAGCACTTGAGGCGGCGCCGATTCGGCGATGAGGGTCGTGATGATGTCGAGAAATCCGATGTCGTCGCCGTCTGGGTTGTTTGGACCAACAGAGATGAAGGTGACCGGAACATTGGTGGCTAGACCAACGGTATACTGGATGTCCAGGTCTGAAAACACTGGTAAGAACGGGAAAACTATGCGGAAACACTCTCGCACCAGCTTCGTCCCCGGCGTTTCCCGGGGTCTGGTCGTTGACGCCGCCGTCAAGGGTTGTCAACGCGAAGGAGGTCGAGGAGTTCATGTCCTTGCGCTGGGCCTTGAGGAACTTTGTCAAATCCGCTTTGCTGGCCCATTGGTCGGAGAAACCAGCCACGCCAATGGTTCCGGACTTGTTCGTCGCAGGCGTCGAAGGGATGCTGTACATCGCCTGCAAGCAGGTTGGGGTCATCGTCTTTTTGCACGAGGAGGGTACAGCATCGGGGGAGACCGCGACTTCAGCCTGATCCTGCGGCTCGCTCTTGATGGCTGTGAAGGGCAGCGCTTGGCGGGGACGGCTGAAGCTCGTGGTCGGCGTCACGACATTGATGTGGTTCTTCAACGACGCAGGTATCGAATACGAGAGCGTGCGGATCGACGTCTTGCCGCTGGCAGTGTGCGTGAAGACGTGGTAGTCGGCGCCGAGCAGCTCGTTCGCCTTTGAAACGGGGACGTTGACAGAGATCTAGTCGCCGGAAGGCGAGGATTTGGTGGACTCGACTCCGTGCGACGAAAGCCATGTAGAAACAGCTGCAGACGTTTCTGCAGATGGTGCAGAATATGTGTTGATCTGAAAGTGTCAATCTCTCTATCCAATGAGAATCAATGTGGCGCTCACCTCATCCGCAGACAGCCACTGTCCGTAGGTATCACCTCCCGGAGTGGCAGCGGCCAACAAGCGAGACTCCAATCCCGCGATATCATTCTGAGCCAAGTTGATTCTGAGCTCGAGATTCGTCTCCCCAGGTGCGACACCGGACACAACGAAACCTTGCGGGGCCGCATCTCGGGTCTCATACACGACATAGTTGTCCAACAGCGGTGTAGCGGACACCGAGGTCAGTGCAAGGGTGAGGAACGCGAGCGCGAGCATTTCCAAGAACGAGCGACTTGCGAGGCGTGCCGTTGTGCGCTATCGCGTCGCGTTTTGTACGTGGTCCTATCGCAAGACGGCACGCATGCCGCGTTGAGGCATATGGAGAGCGAGAAGCACGACGGTACCGGGTGCGCATCGAAGATGCTTTCGTTGCTCCATGCACAGAGTGCGATATCCCGAGTCGCAGTCGCCGGGTCGTCAGGGGAAGCGAGGGACTCGGAGGAGGTTGGAGCAGACTTCCATTCCCAGTATCAGTCGAGCTTTCTTCCTGCCGATACGAACGCGTCCGCCGGCGCCAAGCGACTTCCCGGGACGCCGCCGTACAACGTGAGTTCTGATTGTAGATCACACATCGACGAGTGGTGTCTTGTGGAATGGCTAGAAAGCCACATGATTTGGCCGGCAAGGCCCCGATTCTAGTAGCCTGGAAGTGCGTCGAGATGGCAGGAAAGATAGAGGATGATAGTGTTCCCGGGAGGCGAGGTTGAGGGAGGCCGAGGCGCAGGTATTTCGCACGTCACGCTTGACTCACACGAAGCCACCGGTTCGAATCGCGGGGAAGTTAGTATTATATTCTCCTGTACAAACAGGAATCTGCATCCAGTAGATACGGCAACATGAAGATGGACTAGAAGACTCGGAAAGTAGATGCATTGGACTAGAATCAGGAGTTTGCCTCGACTGTCCGTAGTTTGGGAACAATAGAGCAGATAATGGTATTCGATGGACCCAATTCCACCTGCGGAACATCTACCGCGGACGGTATCGCGACATCAGACGAATCTGGCCTGCTCAGCATCTCAGTGCAAGGTTCAGCCCAAGTTTTGTTCATTGCCCACAAGCGTCACTTCTGATCCCACGATCTCGGCTGGCGTGCTGCATTCCACCATACCCACCCCGATCGTTGGAAGATGGTATGATAGTCAATATTGTACGCAACGGTCCGTCTATCGAGAAAGTTGCAGTCGGAAACTGGCCGCCTTGCGCGTGGGGTCGTTGTCTGTGACGAGACGAACGGAGCAGGGTGACTCTGAGAGGTTGTGACAGTCGGACCAAGTTGGTACAAGTCGCGGAGTGTTGCCGATGAGAGGGTGAAGGACAGCTTCAAAAGAAGGGTGACCAGGAGACATGTTGGCGGCATCCTGGATGTTCCAGGCAAGTTTTACGGCTTTTGCTCCTCTCAGCGCTGATTCGCTCAAGAGGACGTGAGCATGTGATCCGGGGGCGATCGTCGGGCACCTTCATAGCTACTCATCCCAAGATAGAGAAAACAGAACCACAGGACTCGAGTGCTGACAGGGCTTGTATCCCAGGTCTAGATGATGATGGCTCATGCCCATGCCTGAAGGTGCCCGAAAAGTGCTATGCAGGAGTTCAAGTAGGCGTCGAAGGTCCCGGATTGATCGCTTCTGCTCAACAGCCTCATCCCGAATCGACCAGTCCAGGGATCGTCGTTCTTCGCTCTGGGACAGGTGCAGGGAACGACAGCTTCGTTGCTCAGCCTCTAAGATCCGAGCAACGAGAAACAGTATAAGCGCGGCGCTTCTGAGAGCGCTCGGAGATCCAGAGCGAGGCAGAGGGGATAACGGGAGGAGCAAGAAAGACGGGGGCAGAATGTGGATTCTATAATGAAGGCAAGGACGCGGAACCGGGCCGGCGGAGAAGCAGCAGCAAAATCATCAAACACGTGCATACGAGACACTCCTCAGTAGCAGCGGCCCGACCTGGAATCGCACTGGACAACACGGCGGCGGCCATATTCGTATCTGCACGAAGCTCGATTCCACATTGCTGATGCGGGGAAGGGAAGTCTGTTACAGCCTCCTCGATCCCCCTGGCAACCCAGCGTCTGCGACTCGGGATATCGCACTGTGCATGGGGCGACCAACGCATCTTCAATGCGCACCCGGAACTTGCTTCTCGCCCTACACATGTCTGAACGCTGCATGTGTACTGTCTCGAGATAGGACTGCGTACAAAAACGCGACGGGATAGCGTACAACGGCGAGCTTCCCACGTCGCTCGCCCCTAGAAATGCTCGCGCTCGTGTTCCTCGCTATCGCACCGACCTTGGTGTCCGCTACACCGCTGCTGGACAACTATGTTATGCATGAGAGCAGAGACGCCGCCCCGCAAGGTTTCGTTGTGTCCGGCGTCGCACCTGGGGAGATGAATCTCGAGCTTAGAATCAACTTGGCCCAGAATGACATCGCAGGATTAGAGTGTCGATACTCTGGCCGATACAATGCATCTGGCCGTGGCTATGCCAGTGTCTCCCCCATCGGCCAGGCCGTCGAGATCGTGTCCAATGGATCGGGCGACAAAGTCGACGGAACATCCTGCTCGTCGCCCATCTTCGCGTCTGTCATCGGGCTGATCAACTACCGGCTGCTGGCTGCCGGGAAGCCCGTGCTGGGATTCCTGAACCCCTGGGTGTATGCGAACCCGCAGATGTTCAATGACATCACGTCTGGCACGAATCCCGGCTGCGGCACGAAAGGGTTCTCTGCAAAGGCGGGCTGAGACCCCGTCACGGGGATGGGTTCACCCAACTTCCCTGCCGTGTTGACTGCTGCCGGTCTTTGATCTAGTTTTACATGTACTTACAGAATGCCCTTTGGTCGTGATTGTTTTAGTTGCCTCAGGTCAACCTATTTGGCTATACAAACCGACCTCCACACCAAAAACCCCCTCTACGATGGTCGCTTTACTCTCCGTCAATAACGAGCGGGACAAAGTCGGGAGGATGCTCTCGGGAACGATGAAGCCGGTCCTGAATCAGTGCGCGGATCGATTCGGCATTTCTTCGATGTGTTTCCTGCGCGTGGTCCGTCTGCACCTGAGACACAGCCGCGTCCAGGACCTTCAATGCATCCGAATCGTCGATATACCCAGAGTCCCCATTGACGGCCCAGTAGAGCACCAATTCGAGCGTATGGCTATCAGCAAGACTGTCCTGTGGATATCTGCCGAGGAATCCAGACACGGCGTCGGCGAATCGAAGTTGTATTTTGGCCGGGAGCACCCGGATCCGATAGATGGTGGTGACTGTCTGGACCGTTTTGAACGTCTCGAATTCAAGCCTGCGTTCAGTCTGATCCGGATTCCGGGCACACTGCTCGAAGAAGGCGGTCACAACACCCACGCAGGCACAGTCGTAGAACTGCTTCGCCGACGCCCACTCCCTCCGCTTATCGTTTTCGTGGCTGATCACTGCCCGGAACCACGCCTCGTCGTCGAACATGCGCATCAATTTCGTCGATTCCGACAGATCCCCCGAATTCGACAGATCCCGCCGGAAACACCGGAGCACAGCGCACTGCACGGTGGCAACCAAACGGTGCGTGCGGGCGTCTGCTGCCTGAACGTCGGCCCTCAGCAGCCTCCGGAGGACCCACAGATGGCTGTCGACGTCTCTCGCGGCCGCCGGGGTGTTGACCAGGTGATGGTAGATCAGCTGCAGGGCCTCGACGGATGCCTGGAGGTCGAGTTGATGCTCCGAGTTCTCGCGTCGGTACTTCAGGTTCTCGCAGAGACAGTAACACAGGTATCGGGTGTAATGGTACTTCGGACCGGGCTGTAGATCGAGCTCTGGCTTGTAGGCCGCGAGGGAAGGATACCGGACAAGGAACGGCGCGAGACCACGGAACCCCATCCCGAACAGATCCGGATACGTCGATGTCCGGGCAAATGCGCTGATCATCTGGCGCGCAGCGAAGACGAGATTGTCCGCGGCTGTCTCATCCGACCCCGACCGGGTCAGCTTTCTAAGAGCGTCTTGCAGAGTGCGGTAGCCATCCGCTTCCGTGAAGAGGATCTGTGACCGATGGAAGAGCGACACGGTCACCTCTCGCTGGAAGCTGGCAAGGTTTTTGGAGAGCGCAGTCAGATACTGCACGTACGTCCGTTGCTTCTCCGCTCGCCGTTGCTTCTCTGCCCGGGCGCGAATGTCACGGTCGGAGTTGCTCGTCTGCGAGGGAGGGCCACCGGGGGTCCGTTGCTGGCTCTTGGACTCGATAACGTTCAGGCGAATCAGAGCGGACACATCGGGGACCATGTTCTGCACTTCCTCCGAGTCAATAAAATTCGACCCCAGCAGTGCTTTGCCAGGATCGGCGTCTCCAATCGGACACTCCATAGGCGACCCCGTGTGGAGGGAGAAAGCGCAGACAACCCAGAGCGCCCGGAGCACTGACAGCTGTCGGCGGACGCGGACGTTGTGCTCGAGCAGATAGCTGTTGGAGCCGGCCATGAAGTCCCCGAGACGCTGGCCGAGACGGACCTGCGGATCGCGCAACAGCCTGAGGAAATGCGTCCGATACGCGCCACGCGGCTCGTTTTTCTCGAAGTCCCATAGCACCTGGGGGAGCGCCTCGACGAGGGGCTCAAGCTCGTCGTCGTCGGAGAGAGACCGCATGGTCCACGCGAGAGCCCGGGTCTCCGTCTCGACGGAAGGCTGCAAGGCTGCTGTCGTCATAGCCTCCACCATGCCCTGGCTCTGCGGACCAGTGTCTGCAGGTACAGAAGGTCTGGCATGGGCCTCGGGGTCTGTCACAGCGACTCTCTCTCGCATATAGGTCTTGCAAACAGCCCCTGCCCTTTGAACGTAAGCCCTCAGCACGCTTCCCAAGCTCTGATCCAGCGACCAAAGTATTCGCGTCAGTGGCGTCTGGAACGGGCTGTCGAAGAAGAACAGCGGGAGCGCTGTGAACGTTCCATAGACCAACACGAAGAGAAGCAGCAGCGCGGAGAAGATTCCCATGATGATGGTGTTGACGGGCGCAAGAAATGCGACTAGGCCCGCAAAGAACAGGACCAGAGACGCGTGCAGGAGAAGCGGGGAAACGCCGACAACGGCATGCATATTGAAGCGCTGCAGACCATAGTATAGATACATGTACACACGCGAGCGGACAGCGGGGGAGGAGAACATGGAGGTGCGGTGCTGGTAGTCCTGCGCCCACTGCTTGACCAGCGTCGCGACGAGCGCGCTCGACAAGCCGAGCGCGAGGCTGGTGAACCACAGCGCGTTGCACACGAGGGCGGAGATCGGGGGCGAGAAGGCAGCGGCGGGAGGGAGTGCGTCTGCCACCGCGGTGCCGTTGTTCAGGTTCGCGAGCTGGTGCGAGATCTGGCTGAGCAGCGCGAGGGTCTGGCTGCCCGGGTCGGGGCTCAACGTCTTGTAGCTTTCGATGATGAATGTCGTGACGACGCCGGAGAAGAGACCGGCCTGATGATTCAGATTCAGAATCAGAGAGAGAGAGAGACTGCGATCGAAAACGGACGGGGACGCACGAAGATGAGCAGGCCATCCATCTCACTGCGCCAGCCATCAATGAGGCCCCGATCGTAGCTCTGCGCCTCAGAGATGTAGGCGCTCCAGAGCTTGTTCCCGCTGGCCCTCTCGCGGTCGGAGAAAGCTTCACCGCTCTCTCGTTTCTCGGTGTATTGCCCGTCGGTGTGTGGCATGATCGAAGGCGGGAGGTGAAAACGCGTTGCCTTGTGTTTGACCAATATCTCTCGACACACGGCAAAGTTCACAGCCACCCAACGGAAGCAACGCGAGGTGTCAGACCACGTGAGACATTCGTCACGAGCTTTGAATCCGGCGTGATTCTCCAGATACTGCCGTTGTGGTATCATGATACGCCAAGGCAATCGACATGCTGGTGGGCACTCCACCACCGTTTTTTGGTGCGCCTCATACGCTGCAATGGCGAATATCCTGAATAGCTGGATCTCTGGGCTTTTTTTAATGTCTTGCGGCGGGATTCCGCTCAATGCGCTGAACTTCAGCACCTCAGCGCGGTGGCGTCGAAGCTAGAGCCAATCTTATAGGAAGACATTGTCGGCCACGGTATGGAACATGCATCAGGGCCAGAGAAGGCTCAGGCGGTCCAGGCATATGCGCCCAAGATATCCGGCATGGACAAGATGGAACGCCTCAAGTTTTGAGACAGTGTGCCCACTTCGTGCAGATTGCATCTGGATCTTCGATCAACAACCACACTATGCTAACATGATGTTCCTCGATGTCCAGTTTCGATGACTGTAGGCACCACAGCCCTGAATTGCTCCGCATCGTTGACTCTCGGAAACGGACCATCCAGGACGTCCTTCCCCAAGAACGCGCACAAGGGTGCCCAGCCCTCGGCGACGTGAAACTGCATAAATCTGTCTTTGGGGACGACCGTGCGCAGGTGCGCATAGTGCGCCTCATACGCTGCGATCCCGCGCTCCTTCGTGAAGCTCTCGGGCGTGGCGGCATCCGACGCCGAAAAACGCGCAGAACATGGCCACGCCGAGACGGCGGCGGCGGACGGCCGGCGAGTCCTGCACCGGATCGGATGCCGCGGGGACGAGCGTGACGGGGCTAAACATCGGCCGAATGGTATTGCAGAATGAGGCCCACCACGATTCAGCGTCGCGGTGGGTCACGGGAACCATCGCATCGGGGAAAGCGAGCAGCAGCTCCTCGACGAACAGGTAGTGGGGCATGTCCGTGACCGCCTGGACAATTTCAGAATCACATGAGTTCTCGGTTCATGCAGGCGGAGGACATACGGTACGTACTTGATACGGTCCCAGAAAAGCGCGCCATTCTTCGGTGCTGAGCGGCTCGCCGATTCCCCAAAATTTCGCCAGAATCGCGCGGGTCCAGAGGTCGACCACGGCTTCGGGCTCGAAGATATCGAATCCGTGGTTGGTGGGTTTGTATCCGAGCTCCTCCAGAGCCAGTCTCATTGCTGAAATGCTGTGAGTCCATTAAATCAACTCACAAGCAGTCCCCGTACGCGAGTGGCCAAAGGCGAGGACCTTGGGACCGAAGTTCGGATGTGAGATCTGGGGAGCGGCCATGTTGTTTCAGATCCATCTTACCGCACCTTGCGTTTTAAGCCCTTCTAGGGAGCCAGGCAGATAAATCAGCGCCTTCTTTGACGACTCTGTACGAAATGAGTGGAAACGGTCTCTGATTATCTCAATGATCCAAAAACACAACACATGGCGAAAAACCAAATATATATTACAGCCGATTCAGCACCGGCACTTCCCTTGGCCAGACAATCGGCGCGGCTGATTTGCAAGTCGTGTCCGATGATCGTTTCTGTGCTTTTGGATCGTCCATCTCGTCCTGGTGGTCAGCTCAATCTTACAACAGGTATGGTTAGGTGATTGTGGGATACCTGGTTGGCTTTTCGTGTTCGAGCGTTTCTGTGTAGCATCGGGACCTTCCGGACGGGCTCATGTTCAATTTTCTACTGGAACTATTGATGTTAACTATCTTAGATCTCATGCAACGTCTCTTCCGTTTCACGGAATCTCTGAGAACATGACCTCAAATTTCTCTGTGCCGCTGATTCGTGGAAAAAGCCATGATGGAAATCTCCTTGCTGACGAGCTCTCAACCGCTTTGACCGCACAACCGGGTCGTAGCCGACTGCACGACAGGTGGCAGTGCGGCATCAACTCGTCCACCCACACCTGAGCTCGACCGCATTCAAAAGGCCCAGGACGCGGACCGAGAGACCGAGACTTCTATCTCACCACCTTCGAACGATACGAGAACGATTCAAGAACGACATGGACGCTTTAATCAGCGGTCCGACGGTCCAGACAGGCCCAGAGGGATATAATCGGTCGTGGAGACCCCGCGTTGAGATCGACTGAGTTGTGATGATGTAACAAGAGCAATGATTTGTCCGATTTCCGATTTATCGGATGAGAATGGGGCGCTGCAAGGTTTCATACAAAGCACTGTTACATGATGCACTAACCCGTCCGAGGGATACCTGCCGCACGGTGTGGTGCATGGGACCGTATGAGCTGGGGACCTTGGATTGTCTGAAAGACGTCTGGATCCTCCACTGAGGAATGTGTTAAGCAATCGACATGGCTCTAGGTCCATGCACTTGAGCATCACAGAGACAGTGGGTACCGTGTCAATTCATCTATCGCTCTGAGGCACCAAGGATACACGTCTTTTACATGCGAGTACATATACTCTAAAACCAAATTAAAGACCAGCAGCAGTCAACATGGCGGGGAAGTTGGGCGACCCCATGCCCGTGACGGGGTCCCAGCCAGCCTTTGCAGAGAATCCTTTCGTGCCACAGCCGGGGTTTGTTCCAGACGTAATGTCATTGAACATCTGCGGATTAGCATACACCCAGGGGTTCAGGAATCCCAGCACGGGCTTCCCGGCAGCCAGCAACCGGTCGTTGATCAGCCCGATGACGGACGCGAAGATGGGCGACGAGCAGGACGTTCCGTCGACTTTGGCCCCCGATCCATTGTATATGATCTCAACAGCCTGGCCGATAGCGGAGACGTCGGGGAAGCCGCGGCCAGATGCGTTGTATCGGCCAGAGTATTGCGTGCCGATCGAGCTGATGTATGAACTGACGGCCGATTTCTCTGAGGAAGCGCATGTCAGAACAGTAACATCACTGAGACAAGCAAGCACGACGCACGCCAGGACTGGACGGGGAAATAGTTGGAGAATCCACCGGCAGACAGGCCTGCACCGGTTTCAGGTGTGCCGGCTGTCGCGCCCACAAGCGTGACGCTGTTTGGAAGATTGAGTGAGGGGTGATGAGCAATGGATTCGATTGGCTCACTAGGGGCAAGTCGGGAAGGTTGGGAAGAAAGGCTTGCCCGTGCACGATTCGCCTGGGCTTGCAGCCACGCCTCCGTCACCGCTGGCGAACAGGATCGACACACCGCGAGCAGTCAGCTGCATGTACGAGTTGCACATGGCACTATCAAGGAGAGCAGAGTCAGAGCGTGAGACGGCACAGCAAGATGGATGTGCATGACTTACACCGTGTGCGACTTGGACAGGTCTCCTTCGGTATTGAAGCCGTAGCTTGTCGTCAGCACTTGAGGCGGCGCAGATTCGGCAAGGAGAGACGTGATGATATCGAGGTACCCTCCGTCAGCGCCGTCCTTGTTGTTCCCACCAACCGAGACAAAGGTGACGGGAACGCCGGTGGCCAGTCCAACAGTATACTGGATGTCCAAGTCTGCAGAAGCTCGTAAAGGAGACGGGTGCGCCTAAGAGCCGACTTACCGGCCTCGTCACCCGCATCGCCCTGAGTTTGGTCATTGACGCCGCCGTCCACCGAAGTCAATCCGAACGATGTAGCGGAGCTCATGTCCTTGCGCTGGGCCTTGAGGAACTGAGTCAAATCCGCTTTGCTAGCCCATTGGTCGTCAAACCCGGCCACGCCAATCGACCCGGACTTGCTCGTCGCAGGGGTCGTCGGGATATTGTACATCGCCTGCAAGCAGGTTGGGGTCATCGTCTTTTTGCAGGAGGAGGGCACAGCGTCGGAGGAAATATTGGCCCGTTCCTGCGGCTCGCTCTTGATGGCTGTGACGGACAGCGCCTGGCGGGGACGGCTGAAGCTCGTGGTCGGCGTCACGACATTGATGTGGTCCTTCAGCGAGGCAGGGATCGAGTACGAGAGCGTGCGGATCGACGTCTTGCCGCTCGCAGTGTGGGTAAAGACATGGTAGTCGGCGCCCAGCAGCTCATTCGCCTTCGAAACGGGGACGTTGACGGAGATCCAGTCGCCGGAAGGTGAGGACTTGGTTGACTGGACACCGTGCGACGAAAGCCACGCAGAAACCGCCGCAGACGTCTCTGCAGATGGTGTGGAGAATGTGTTTACCTTCGAAGTGTCAGTTCATGCATCGAAAGAGCACGAGAACGGCTCTCACCTCGTCTGCAGAGAGCCACTGTCCGTAGGTATCACTCCCCGGGGTGGCAGCCGCCAGCAGACGAGACTCCAATCCCGCGATGTTGTTCTGGGCCAAGTTGATTCTGAGTTCGAGATTCGTCTCCCCAGGCGCGACGCTGGAAACGACAAAGCCTTGCGGAGCCGCTTCTCTGCTCTCATGCACGACGTAGTTGTCCAACAGCGGTGTTGCAGACACCAAGGTCAGTGCGACAGTGAGGAACGCGAGAGCGAGCATTTCCAGGGGCGAGCGTCTTGCGAAGCTTGCCGTCGTGTGCTCTTGCGTCGCATTCTTATAGGCGGACATATCTTGAGACAATTACACATGCTGCGTTGGGGCATGTGGAGAGTGAGAAGCACGACGGTCCCGGATGCGCATCGGAGATGCTTTCGTTGCTCCATGCACATAGTGCGATATCCCGAGTCGTTGTCGCTGCGTCGTCAGGGGGGCGAGGAAGCCGTGAGAGATCTTCCCCAGTATCAGTAACGACGGGTGCCGCTTGGTGCAGATATGTACGAAGTGGCTGTAGGCCAACGCCGAGCGGCTTCTCGCCTGGTGCGCATCGGGCCGCGGCTCTATGTGAGTGCTATTTTTGGATCACTTATCGACATGCATTGCATGATGTTGACTTGTGGCATGATTACTAAGCCGCATGATCTCGCCGGCGAAGACCGTTCGAGCCTGCAAGCAGTCGTGTGTTGAAACGGCATCGAAGAGCGGCGATGGTTCGTCGGCTTCGGTTCTCGACTGACTGTTGGAAAGACGGTGAACCAAACTTGATTCTCGAAGATCGACTCAGCAAAGAAAATATTGGACTTACAAGGGTCAACAGCATGCGAAAATTAGATCAGATTAGGCGAATTAGATGCAGACCAAGTATCCGAATGGCCGCTCAATAAAGTAATCACAAGTTCGCTCTTCCAGCTTTCTTGTTGACAGCACCATCGACCATCAGCTGCATCTGCGACCCAGTGGCCAGGCACACTTGTGCGCCCTGCCAGTCTTCATCTATCTTCCCCTCTCCAATGTTCGACGGCGCGGACCAGATTTCCACGATGCTGTTGTGTCTGTTTTGCGGATCGGCCAGGTATCCGCTCTTGACATAGACCCCGACGGTCCGTGAGGCGTATCCATCCGAGGGAGAGGGAATGGGCGTTTTGTATTCCAAGCTCATTGTCAACGTAGGTGACCAGCTGAGGCAGGGAATTCAGTGAGATTGACGTGTGCGCGCCGCTCGCCACTCACAGTCCTTTGGACAGATCGATACCCGTGACATACGACGGGTACAGCGTCGCCATGTTGTGTATGCAATCTGCGAAGAAGGCCAGCGAGGCCGGTGTCACCCGCTCGCTCTCTCCTTTCAGCTCGATCCAGGCGCCCCAAAGCGCGACCCCGCCGCCCGGTGTCCGCGCATGATTCGCCTCGTTCTGTTTCTTTAAGACTGAGTCCTCGGACCATTGCAGGTGCTTCGAGAATACGTAGGCGGAGGGCATGTGTGTCGGCTTGAGCAGCGAAGGGTGGTCGAGAAGCAGGGGCAGGCGGCGCGCATAGCCTGTTGAGGGTGCGATGATTGGGTGCGAGCGGACGGGGACCTTGCCGAAGATGATATGAGTCGTTACGCATGCGCGGCCCTGGCGAAGAGAGGGCTTGATGAGAGCTCGAAGCACGGAAAAAGCTCTGCTCACTGCTTGCACGAGGTCTGCCAAGATATTCACATAGTTCCGCCCCGCCTTGAGGACCCTCACTTGAATTTCGGTCGGCGTCTTTATCTTCGTGGGCTGCAGGAAGTGCGCGGAGATATGCAGAGGGTCCGGTTGGTCGGTACCGCTTTGGTGCTTGATGGACGCTTCGAGAACAAGCGTGAGGACGTATCCTGCGCCTCAGCATTAGTGACTTGACAAGCCAGCGCAAAGAGAACGTGCCTCCGTTTGGCAATCTACATTCCGAGTATGTATGTGTGAGAGTTATGTGTGATACATGTTGACAGCATAGACTCACGCGACGACGGTCCAGTCATCATCTGCGACCGTGGAATATGTCGAGGAAGCCTGACCCTCTTTAGCCGCTGGAGTGACACGTGAGGCAATTGAGAAGGGTGCCATTGATAGTGGTGGAAGCAGAGCGACAACGATCTGCGACGGGAACAGCGGCGTCCATAGCGCCGGAGACGACGGAGGTCAAATCGCGAAATTTCACGTGTCTGCAAGCCCATCAATCGATGGTCGCGGTCACGAGATCTGATCTCGCGAGCCTCATCCTCTGACGCGTGGTCACTAAAAGACCAGTGAAACAGAAGACAGCGCTGTATTAGCGGATAGGAATTTATCAAGCTCTCTAATTCACTGATGACATACAACTGTGTCGCTCAGTCCAACCGTCAGGACTGCGCTAATGACTTGTTTTCACTAATATGCATCTTGTGTCCTCAAGTATAGGGACAATTTCAGAAATGATCTGATCTTGAATTACACATCCTTGAATGCAAGTTCAGACACAAGAAACCACTGTGGATACCACACAATATGAGTGTAACAGCAGAGCCAAGCTTGCTCTTGATGCATGATGCCTACTGCACGGAAAAAGCTGGCTTCCCCAAGTTTTGAAAGAAAATGTGAGTTAGAATGAGACCGAAATCATGAGTCTTCTGGATCAACTGCTCGATTTCTCTTGCGATCACTATTACTTGTTCAGATCTTGAGAATCGAACTTGAATGGCACTGACTTGAGCCATAGGACGTGAAAAATGAAGCAGATTATAGTAAAGATATCAGGTCGTGGAGGGGAAGGCCTCGCTTCTTGGTCGTTCCCGTCTCACGCTGGAGAAAGTGCGAAATATCGAGCATATTTCACACCGCCATTTCATGGCTATATCGTAGTTTAGGTTGGTTGTATCTTACATAGAATCCAGAGTCTCAGAGCGATCTTTTTTTGTTCGAAAGTGCAGTGTTCAATTAGATTGAGATCAACTCGGGTAGGCTGGTTACTGTGGGTAAAGATTCTGACCAAGCCTCGTGTTATCACGTGAGCAACATCGAGAGCCCGTGACACCGCATTGTTTGAATCCGCATTTGTATTCCGCAACAAGTAAACTAACTACTAAGACGCGGTGCCCAAGGGCAGCAGGTATTGAAGGACGATCACGTCTTTTCGGCCGTTTCAATCGAGCATGTTTCGTCGCCTGATTTCGGTTGTATGGAGATGTCGTGGAGGAGTTTCGAGCGCAGCATAGAGCATAGAACATAACCATACGGGGAGGGGGGATTGGCTTGGCTAGGGCCGGTTGGATGTGACAATCAACCCAAAAACAAAGTCGAAAAGAGAAGTGAATTCGAAGACTGGAGAATACAAGAGAAGTGACCAAATGAGTAGGAGTGGGACCGACTCCCACTCCTATTCTGCGCTATGAATCCTACTCCCAGATCTCCGGTCCCATTGGAACGCAGTCCTACCATTCTTTGTGCCAGTCCCACTCTTGGCTGGTGATAGATCCCTGATTGACAGATTTTCAGGCACAACTTTCGGGAAAGCCGATCTGAATCGTTGACAGCATGGTGCTTCTGATATCGCCCACGATGCACCGCCGGAGGCCATGAAACAGCTATGCATGTTGTTACCGGTGGCGCATCACAGTGCAGTGCTGTGTATACCGCCTCCGGCTAGTGGGAATTTGCAATAGTTTTGTAGTTATAATAAAAAAAAATTCAAACTCAAGCTAAATCAGTATCATGTCGGCCTTTGAACAAACGTTAGAAGATCTGCCTCTAAAAACCATCCGTGCTTACCGGGACTATGTAGGCAACTCTTTTTTATCACGTTTTCAAGTCTTACTCAGGTTTTTGCCCCACAGATGTTCCCGGCCATGATTGCGACCTACGGTCATGACCCGTATTTCCCCATCGACTCTCCACATGTCTGGATGACTTTGCTCGGCTTCCAGATCTACCTCCAAGATGACAACTCGGAGCTGACACATGTGGATCCATCAGAAGCGCCGCGCCGGGATCTTGTTCGTTTCCGTGATGCAGTAAGTCTGACTTCACTTGTCCATTCACAATCTAATGAATCGGAAAACAGGTTCTACAAATGGACTATCGAACACATCATTTCTTCAGTCTGGAGAACGTCGACCTGTGGATCTTGCCCAAACCCTTTGGCACATTCTTGCGCACATTGGCCAACCCCCGGGCCGAGGGTCTGGACAACTCGGACCGCAATGAACATGATTGTGCTAGCGTCCTCAGTGAGATAGAACCCAACGAGTCGGAATATGGCTCCAGACCCTCCAGTTCAATGTCCGGGAGCATCTATCCTCCATCTGACAATGAGTCATACAACCCAGGTTTGTTTGTGCAGACATACCGCATCCGATAAATCTAATGTTGCTCAGGATCTCTGTCCGAAATCTCGCGACCGGCAAGTTCGCTATCAGTGCACTCCGAAATATCAAATATTACACATCGTTAGTTTTCCCGGGCTTAGTTTCACTTATTGGAAGTATTGATCTGAATTTTGGAACAGTTTCCGGTGTGTCCAGTTCAATTGGCATGCCTGACGCACCGCCCCGCTTGCCAGATGGTAAATTACACTCGGTTGTTCGATGCCACACACAATAAAATTTTGCTCACTTTCGAATAGATTCATCCCCTGCACACCGGCCAGCCATAAAACAGAGAAAGCGCCAACGTGAAAATCATGAAGGCATGGTTCAAATTACTCGCGAACTCTGGGTTCATGAGCTTTGCAACATCACCGAAGTCCCTGAGACTTGGGTAGTTTCCCGCCCAGACCATTTGGTTGCATGGTTGGTTGATATGTCGGAATCAGTCGATCTCCTTCGCGATGCCAGCGGTGATTTTCTGCCATTTCAAGCGTTTCTCCGGGCTGAGGTATGTCATGCAGACAAAATTCCGAACCATACTTATTTTATTTTGCTAGGATCAGGATTCCTGGGGAGGTAAAGGCTCTGCGGGACGCCCGGAAGGGGATGTCGATGTCTTAGCCCTCCTGCCCGGCAAAAAAATTCGAAGCCGTCGGGCCCAGTGGGGTTGCAGCGGCTTACGGAAATGCGAGTTTCTTGATCCATCCATCCTCGAAGACTGTGAGAGATATGACGTGGATCCTGCTGGCATGAAGCAGCTTTGGGATCTGGTGCTCGACGCCAATGAGCGCGAAGGTGAATCTGTCTGGAGTGTGATTGCACGGTGCGTTTTTACTTCTCATTTGGCATAATTCTCAATAATTTCTGTAGGTTCTATCGATTTGTAACCGAATTAAAGTGTAAAGGACGCTTGAGAGGGGAACTTTGTCCTGGGATCGCAAAAATGGTTGCATATTCGACGGTACGTTTGCATCGTGAGTGTATTTGTGGGAACTTAAATTGTTCAGGTTATTGAGGGTGGCAATACATACTTTATTGGCTGTAGTGAATGGTCTCCCCAGCAGACTGATCGGCGCGGACATATTTTTCACAAAATCCCTCCACATGTCGACGAAATCCTATTAAAGCATGCACTTGAGCATGGCGGTCTCATTCCCAACTCGCCAACAACGAACAATCTGTGCTGCTTCACAGCACACCCTCGGTTTTCGCTTTTGAATTGCGGTACGTTTATTCAATCCTTCGGTTGGAATTATCTGAACATGTAATTATTATAGGCTACTCGCACATCATTAATGGCGAGATTTTCGTTGGGAAGATGATTCCGCACCCTTGCCCAACGGAAATCCTGGTTTTCACACCTGTCAACCCACCTCCGGGACTCGAACACAAAGCGATCGTCCATGTTCGGAACCCACACACACATCCCATTTATCCGCGCACCAAGCCACGATCCGTGGATCGGCAGAGGCTCAATGCGGCAATTGATGCCACCGGAGCAGGAATCGGTGGACTAACTGTGCAAAAATTACTGAATGGTAAGTGCAAAGTAACTGATGAGAAGACCTGCTGAATTCGGTCGTAGCTTCGACAACAACTGCGCTGTACAGCGGAAAGCGGGTCAACGAATCCAGTCCCGCATATCAGGACAAGCGCTTGGTACGGAACGCAATTTCCAAGAAGCGAACCGAGAAGAATCCCATGGGATTTGGGTGGGAAGGTAAGCAGAAATAATCCCAGGGGTTTAACATTCTTTTTGAAATGATTTTAGGTGTTGTCTTCCGCAACAATACTGTAGATCGAAAACTGCCTGCAAATGAGCGCTATATCCATTCAGTTATCAGCAAGGCTGATTTTCGTCTTGCGGTGACGATGAACTCATCCATTATGCAATACATTCATCGCATGCGGGCGATCATGTTTGACTATTCATACAAACGAGTCAACGGTGATATAAACGAGTGCGAAGCAGTCGGATTTTCGAACTTTTTGAGTCAGCGTGAGTACATCTTATACCTGTTTGGCTCATTTAAAGAATTCTTTCAGGGATCACACTCGGAAGTATCTACGGCGATGGTCTTGATACCAATGCCTATGTACACCTATTCACCGAGTTTTGGGACTCCGTGGAAAGTTCAACAGGATGCTTCCTGAAACTGGCGCCATTCTATCCTGACGGCAAGCTCAAAGTGATTGTTTTAGACGGCGATATTGCCCAAGCAATGGGATTGGGTATTTTTCTGTCCCGGTACAACAAGCCCGAAATCAGCGGGATTCAGACAACAGATCCCGTCGAACTTCTGTCCTATTGTCTCAAGATGTGCACGGTACATTTCAAACGGTATGTTCTCGTTCATTGGTGCCTGGATTTTATTGACTTCGTCCTAACAGGCATATCGACGAACTACCCAAAACAATCCCACTGGCAACGATTTCCCGTATCAAGGCAATTTTGACGCTCAAATCTCAAGCCGATCTTGATAGTTGGCATGCAGAAATGACAGCTCAGACTGATTCCCATATAAAGAGTGCGTCTTCTTGCATTATTTCTACTGTTAATGTGATTGAAAGCCATTCCAGACTGGTACGAACATAAACGTCGGAATCCACTTGTCTTGCGCGCAGTAAACCAATATCTGTCGAACATTCCAGCCGAAATCTGGAACACCACACCAGACGATACAAATTATGTCGAATCTGCTCATGCAGCCCGCAATGCCGAAACCTCAATCCGGCTGACACCACTTCATGCGATTGAAATGTGCGTTGTCTTCACATCTGTTCACTAACAAGTAATTGATTTAATTCAAGGGCTGAGGAGCGAGATAGGATCCGAGCTGCGGAGCTCATCCAGATTGAGCAGGAGGCTGTTGTCCCAAGGCGCAATAATGGCCTGTTCAGTCGCGAAAAACTTGGTCTGCAGCGCAAAGAATGGAAAATGCGTCAGACCCAGGATCGAACCGACCAGCTCACGACGTTCGATCACTTGACAGCTCAGCGTGAGTTGAACCGGTCAGCGCAGAAATCTTCGCTTGAGAGAGAGAAGGAGATTAAGGAGGAGATCAAGAAGCTGCAGCGAGAGTTGGAACTGGACAGACGCCGAGCAGACCACAAGTTGACTATCAAGAACCTCCGGGACGATATTTCAAGTGAAGAGAGTCATCGGCGGGAGCTCCGGTTTAAACGCGACGAGATTGATTCTAAATTGGCTGCGCTACGATCTGGTCCTTTGGCCGGCGTCCGAGTCCATGGTCGACGATCTAACACTGGAGACACATTTGACACAATCTCAGTAGACGATGAGCCTCTAGACCATGATTTGCGGCCAATTAGTGGTAAGTTTTCACATTTATTTGTAATTTTGGTCGCTGAAAGCAATTCTCAGAACTTGTTAGCAACCAGCCGGAGTTTGCGGATCCAACTCACAGATACAGTCCCGAAGGAAATGCGCAGAGTGAAGATGAAGCAGCATTTGAGCGTTCGCCTCCCAGGGACACCGAAACATCCCGGTTTAGAGGCAAGTTTTTGGGTATTCTTTCTCAGAGATGTTCTAACTAGTTTGATTCAGTCCCAGATTTCAACTGGGATACTATGGACATCGATTTTACACTCGAAGACTACGAGTTTACAGAAGCTGATTTCGCATTCATGCGATCCCTTGAGCAGGGTAATCCGACTCACGATGAATCCTCGCTCTCCGCTGCTTCTCACCAGGACATCATTCTTCCAGTTACAATGTCGCCCCAGCCCCTGCCTCAGCCCCAGCCCCAGCCCCAGCCTCAGTTGGCAGTTGCAGTGGAGCACATCGGCGAACTTAACCTTGCCGATGTTAGCGTAGGTAATATTGTGTCCACACGGCGAGTGCGCCGAACACGGGACAGAGCACGGGACAATGACATTGGAGATAACGTAGGATCTGTGTCGTCCAAGAAGCGACGACTTTGATCGAATTTTATTCATCTCACCTGTTATTATTTACGGAAAACGTTTTGGTCTATTGGCCTGCTCATCCCTGTGCCCCAGACAAAGTAGCCCTCGAGATTGACATGCGGCAGTGCAATTGACATATCACGTGCACCAAAATATTGTATGGATTTGTCAGCGAGCTCATCAAGGTTATTTCACGTGCAGCGGATGCCTCGGGCTGGGATCAAACTCGCTCCCCCCCTGACCGCCGACTAGTCCCTTACCTCTCCCCGTAAGGCGTGTCATGAGTTTGGAACACGGAGGGACAGATCCTAACAGATCTGTCAATAATTCGGAGTCTGTATAGGACTGGCCAGGGTAGGACTCGGAACTTAAATAGGACTGGCCCAGTCCTACTGGATCAATTGACCAGTCCCACTCCTACTTGTCTCGTATAAACTCAGAATACAACCAAGTAGCTACAGTATTTATACCCAAATCCAGTCTGAGTCATATCTACAACTAATGAGTCATAGGGCTATGTACCGCATGGAGCACTGGTCATGGGTTGTAGTAGAACCTTCCGGAGCATATGTCGCGCAGCCTTGAATCGATAGAGATAACCCCTGGAACCCCTAGCCCGGACCGTCTGATGCCGTGATCCGTGATAAGATAAGTCGTGCCAAGATAAGATAGGATCGTCGATGATAAGATGAAAAAGAGTCGAATTATGACATTACCCCCTCTCTAGGGTCGATGTCCTCATCGACTAGGCCGATGGGCGTGAAGACGTTTTCGTAGGGATCAAAGAGTTGTCGCTGGGGATATGGAAGGCGCTCGTCTTTGGGTTTGTAGCGATGGATGAGATAATCCCCATGTCCGGCTTCGAAAGTTGGCAGGAGGCGAATGCGTGTGTCTGGGTTGGATTGTTTCCTCTGCCAATCTCTCAGGATCTTCTTCGCGTGGGTAAGGTGTCGTGATGGTTCCCAGGTGTTCTCGCTGTGCGGCCATCCCTTCCATTTGACCAAGTACTGTTTTCCTCGGCCGACGTTTCGCTCTTTCACGATCTCTTCGACTTCCCACTCCTCTGCTCCTCCGATCATCTTGGCTACAGGCCTCTTCTCTCGGCGATGGGGGGGTGGTTCGTGATAGGGTGTCAACAGTGACTCGTTGAACACCGGATGTCTTCGGTCCGTGTCCGGTAAATCCAGCTTCCATGCGGCCGCTCCAACCTTCTCCAATATCTCGTATGGCCCTAGTCTCTTGTCGCTCATCTTCTTTGATGGTCGATCCGTCTCGATATTTTCCCCTTCTATGTACACCTTCATCCCAACCTTCAACTCCGGAACTTCTTTTCTTTGTTTATCGTAGTATTTTTTCATTTTTTCTTTTGCTTTTTCTAGTGCTGTTTTTGCTTCGTCTTGTATTTCTTTCATTCTTTTTACAAATTCCTCCGCCGACTCGTTTCTCGACTCCATCCGTTGCTCCACTCCCTTCCATGGGTGATATCCGTGATTCGCATAGAATGGCGATATTTTGGTAGATGTGTTCATTTTATCGTTATATGCGAATTCTGCCATCCCTAGCCACTCCGACCAGTCCGTTTGATGGTAGTTGACGTAGATGCAGAGATAATGCTCGATCTCCTGATTCATGCGTTCTGTCTGCCCATCCATGATCGGGTGATATGCGGTCCCCAGATTCATTTCCACGCCCAACATCCGATTCGTCTCCCTCATGAAGCCCTTGATGTAACGCGAGTCCCTGTCGGTGATGATCTTGCGAGGGATCCCGTGGTAGCGGAAGACTCGGTCCCTGGTTAGTCGTGCCACTCCTTCGCTGCTGATGTCAGTACTAATTGGTTCGACATGGATCATTTTGGTGAAGGTGTCACACCACACATGAATTGCGTCATACCCGTTACTGACCGGCAAGGGTCCGATCTGATCCATGGAGATGATTTCCCACGGCGCGTTTGGAACTGCATGCGGGTGCAAACTCCCTGTCCTGGCTCTTCTGGTCTTGGTCCGCTGGCACGCCTCGCACGTCTGGATGTATTTCCGAATTTGGTTTCCCATCCTTGGCCACCAGTAGTTCCTTTCCACCATCTCCTGCGTTCGGTTGATCCCAGCGTGTCCGACCAAAGGGGTGTCGTGGTGTAGTCCGATGATCTTGTCCCGCAACTCCTCATCCCTTGGTACATAGAGCTTCCCATGATACGTGATAAGCCCTTCTTCCTTCTTCCATCCGACGAGTGACTTCTCTAAGGCCGCCTTGACGCTTCCATCAATTGATCGAATGGCCTTGATTTCATCAATTAGCTGCTGATCCTGTCCCTCGAATGTGACTTCTTGTGATCGGAAGAACTCGGGCTTCAGTAGCGTGACGTCCTTGTTGTTGTTCTTGCCCTGATCGTGATCTGCTCGTCGAGACAGGAGATCTGCCTTGCGGTTGAGTGCGCCGGGTCGGTGTCGTAAGGTGAAATCAAACTCCGCCAACTCCGTGATCCATCGTGCTTGCTGTCGATTGAGCTTCTGCGGCTTCCGGAAGTACTCAAGATTCTGATGATCAGTGAAGATCTCGAACGTCTCCGTGGCTCCCAGTAGTAGCTGTCTCCATTCGTCCAATGATAGCATGATTGCAAGCATTTCCTTGTCGTAGATCTCGTAATTTCGCTCGGTTTCGGTCAATGCGTGCGAAATAAATGCGATTGGGCGCCAAATGCCGTCTTGGTTTTGGCTCAAAACTGATCCTGTTGCCCCTTCCGAAGCATCGGCTTCCAGACGATATTGGCCAGTGTCATTTGGCAGTGCTAGGACCGCATCCTCCGCGATTCTCTTCTTCAATCCATCAAATGCCGCATGCTCATCTGCACCCCATGACCATCCTGCCTTCCCTGTCAGCCGTGTCAATGGCTTGGCAACCTCCACGTATCCCCGGACAAAGCGCCGATAGAAGTTTGTGAATCCGAGGAAAGCTTGGACCTGTTTGACACTCTTTGGTTCTGGCCATTCCATCACGCCCTTGATCTTGACTGGGTCCATCCGCATCGAATTGTGTCCAATAATTACACCCAAATATTCGATTTCCGTGCGTTCGAACTCGCACTTTTCGGGCTTCAGGTATAGCTTGTGTTTCTGGAGCAATTCGAGCACTCGTTTTGTGATCCGCCGATGTTCGTCCAAGTTTTCTGTGAAAATCAGTATATCGTCTAGATAGACTACCACGTGACCCTCGTTGATCAACTCTCGGAGTATGTCGTTCATCATGTTTTGGAACGTTGCCGGGGAATTTGTGAGACCGAAGAACATAACTAAGGGCTCGTACAGCCCTCGGTTCGTGCGGAATGCAGCCTTCCACTCGTCGCCCTCTTTGATCCGTACATTGTTGTACCCCCACCGGACGTCAAGTTTTGTGAAGAACTTGGCGCCACATAGATTATGGACTAGTTCGGATATCAGCGGCAGCGGGTACCGATTTCGGATTGTCATTTCGTTCAGCTTCCGATAATCTTGGACGGGGCGTAGCGAGCCATCTTTCTTTTTGACAAAGAAGAATGCTGATGCCATGGGTGATTTTGATGGCCTGATCCGTCCACTGGCCAGGTTCTCTTGTAAGAATTCGTCGAGTTTGACTTGTTCATTGCGTGATAATGGGTACACCTTGCAGTCCACTGCCTTGGAACCAGGTTTGAGCTCGATTGCGTGATCCCATGCCCGTCGGTCTGGTAGCGAGTCGAACGATTCCTTGGCGAATACTTTGACAAATTCCCAATATTGATCCGGAATCTTCCCCTCGGTCATCCTCTCCTTCTCTTTTTCCGCTTCTTCTGCGAATTTCTGCGCCGGCGTTTCCTTCAGCCGCAGATCCACTTCCTTCCCAAAATCGACCAACAGGATCGATTCTCCCTCTTCCAGATCCGGTGTGCCCGTGTCCAGGTCGATTGCATCCATGTCAATCATTGCTTGATGTTCCTCGTGACCCCTCATGTGACACCGCTCTGGGCATCGGCTGAATCTCATGGTCTGCTCCTGCCAATCCACCTCGGGGTTGTGTTCCGTCAGCCAATCAAGACCAATGAAGATCCGAGCTTTCCCTAAACACGTCAGAAGGAACGTGCGTGTCTCCACGTGAGGGCCGATGCTCATCCTTAGGTCAACGTAATGCGTGATCCGACCGCTGATGTTCTCGGTGTTGTCGGCGTTACGGGCCACAATGGGTTGTGGAAGATCTTGAATAACCAACTTCTCCGCCCGTGCGTAGTCGGTATCGATGCAACAGGTACTGCAGCCGCTATCGAGCAGCGCCTTGACTCCGCGCGTTTTCCCTGAGTCCAGACCCGTGATCTGGACATATACGTCCATCGAATGTCTCTTCCTTTCGGCCTGGTAGTCGCGCAATTCCTGCGCCAGTCTGCCGGGCTGCGGGCCCATCTGTCTCTCGGCCGCCAATTTCCTTTGAACGGCATCTGGCACCCTTGTGCGTTTGGGTGCTTCTGGAACCTTGGTTTCGGCAGATTCCTTGGGCGCTTCCTCCTTTTTCAAGGATTGAGCCTCCGGAGCAATGCTCCCCTTTTCGGTCTTTGTTGACGTGGTTCCTTCTCCACGAGCCATAAATACGTAGGAGTCCAAAATTAATTTATCCGCAGCTTTCTGATCCTTTTTACTCTGTAAATACTCTCTATTTAAAGCTATTTTCTTTTGACGTTCCTTTTCCATATCAGCAACAAGAAAATCATGAATATTAGTACGTAGGGAGTCTGAGATCGTGTATGCATGAGGGGAATCGTTCATATCTTTAATCGAAACAAGTACAGAAAAACGTCCATAGTCCGGACGCTCCACCTCCTTGGCTAGAGGAGTGGAGCGCTTCAAAAACCCTTCTCACGCAGCTTCTCGGCAATCTCCTTGAGGAACTCGTTATCCTTGTCCCCGTTCTCGATTTCTTCTAGCATCGTGGCCCGATTGAAGAATGTGCGCTTCTTCCTTGGTTCCGGGCAGTTCCGCGCAATGTGCCCAGGCTGCTGACAGTTGTAGCAGATGATATTGCGGCCGCGGGCATGGGTGCGATCGATTTCCATTGGGACCGGTTCGTTGGCAGCCGGTCGGGTCGGAGCAGGCGTGGGCGCCGCTGGTGCTGCCTGAGGGCGGAATTGGGGAGGAGGCCGTGGAGTCGAGTGCGCATAGGAGGCCTTACGCAGCTGATCGCGCAAGGCATTGGCCTCGATGTTGACGCACCAGTTCTTGAAGGCACCATATGCCTTGGGCAGGGGGACGCCGGTGTTGTAAAGGCGGCTTGCAATTTCGCTGCTGAGTCCGCGCTCGAGGAACTCGATGAGGATGTTGTCCTGATCCCCCTTCTTGTACTCGCCCTTGTCATCGGTTGAGGCGACCACGTTGTACCCCGCGTCCGCAGCCAGCATTTCGAAGTCAGAGATGTAGTCCGCGAAGGACCGTCTGCCCTGGCAAAGGGCCATGAGTCGGGCGGCAGCGACTTGCTCTGCGTTAGAATCCCCAAAGGCCCTCTGAAGCTCCTCCAAGAAGCTTGTCGCGGTGACTCCCGCCTTTAGTCCTTGGAAGCCCTCGAAATTGTGCTGCTTCCAGTTCATCGCCCATCTTGAGGCGGCGCAGCTTGTGCCGCTCTCATTGCGGAGGTAGGACAGTACGAAGAGGATTTTCGTCTCGTCCAGCGAGAACTCTGACCGATAGGCACCGATGTAAGTGGTGCACGCGTCCACAAAGCCCAGGTATTTGGACTTGTCGCCATCGAAGTAGGGGGGGTTGGCAGCGAGAGTGATGCGGTGATGTCCTGACATGGTAGGAGCAGGTGCGGTAGGTGGGGGCGAGGGTGGTTGTTCGGAGGGTAACTCGCCAAGGTCGGGGATCTCGTCTTCAGGCGGCGGGAGGGCGAGGTAGGGGTTGGAGGGTCCGGGTTCGTTTTGATGCGCCAGATCGGGCGACGATGGTATGATGGGGGGAGGGGATGGGCTCCCAGATGACGATGGGAATCGGTACGAAATGGTGGATTCGTGTGCTGTACAAGCACTCGAGGAAAGGTTCTTTTGCTAGCAAAAAGATCCCGGGCCTAGCTCTTCACGTGCCCGATGATCCCGAGGTGCGTTTTCCCGAAGGTCTCCGCAGCACTCCTTGTAGCTACCGTAAGGCTTGGGTCGGGCTCAACGTTACCCGTGGCCTGGTGCTGTTTGCTCGATATGAACCTTTCACTGCGATCGCAGCGAGCGACTAGATGATTCGGTAAAAGGGTGAGTGGGGTGGTAAGGGTGAAGAGGATATAGCGGGCGTAGCGGTGCACGGAGCAGGGTAGGAGGTAAGAGGTACGAGGGTATGAGGGGAGTCTTCGAATTATGTGACAATCAACCCAAAAACAAAGTCGAAAAGAGAAGTGAATTCGAAGACTGGAGAATACAACCAAGTAGCTACAGTATTTATACCCAAATCCAGTCTGAGTCATATCTACAACTAATGAGTCATAGGGCTATGTACCGCATGGAGCACTGGTCATGGGTTGTAGTAGAACCTTCCGGAGCATATGTCGCGCAGCCTTGAATCGATAGAGATAACCCCTGGAACCCCTAGCCCGGACCGTCTGATGCCGTGATCCGTGATAAGATAAGTCGTGCCAAGATAAGATAAGATCGCCAATGATAAGATGAAAAAGAGTCGAGTTATGACATTGGAGCCGCATCGGGTGTTGTTCAGCCGTTGTCTAGGTCGTCGTCGTCGTCGTCGTTCTCTTCGTCGTCCGATAGCTCCGGTTCCGGTTCGTCTTCTAGCACGGGATTCTCTCGGTCCTGCCACACTCGTCCATTTCTCGTGAATGCCCCGGATTCCTTCAAGAATTCTGCCAACGCAACGATTCCTTCTTTCGTCCCAAGGATGTCGCGCAGGCCGAAGTTGGCGGAGGTGGCTCGTATGATTGGTCGTTGCGCGTCGTATAGAGGGCATTCACGGAGGATATGCTCGCGGGTTTGCACTGTCTCGCCGCAAGGGCAGTCAACGTCCTCAGGTATGTTAAAGCGTTGGTAGAACTCGCCCGTGTATCCATGTCCTGTCCTGCACTGTATCAACCTCCCATACAGTTCCCGTTCCCCACGCAGTTCCGTGAAGTGTTGGCTCGGTGTGGTCGATGGCGGGATGTGGTTCGCGTCTGTGTATAGTCCCGTGCGCTTTCGTCGCTTCCATTCACGGCGCCATGTCGACTGAATGCGTTCTTTCGAAACTCGTAGTGCGTGTGATCTGGTGATTCGTGTGGTTGATGCGAGCAGTGTTCCTTCTTTGGCCAATTCGTCCGCTCGTTCGTTCCCCAGGATGTCGCAGTGGCCCGGCGACCATCCCACGTCCACGGTGTGAGTTGGGTGGGCGTCCAGGAACTCGCAGATGAGCTTGTGGAACTTGTATGCGTAAAGCTGTCTGGCGCGTGGTTTCGGGTCGAATATCGTGGCGAGAGCTGAGATATTGTCAGCGTACAAGTGAAGGTGTTTGATGTTTGGCTCTGCTTTGACAGTTGACACCATTGCGCCTGCGGCTAGGCAGAGCGCCGCCATCTCCCCGTCATACACCTCTGCATGCCCGCCCAATCCTTCGGTTTTGGCCCAGATCTCCTCTCCTTCTCTGTACATCACGAACCCAGCCCCGACTCGCCGCACTCCATGAACCTTGGTCAATGATCCATCAGAATAGGCGAGGAGATGTTCTGGGTCGTCCGAAAAGGTGCTTATGCGTGTCTTGTGTAGCTCGGCGGCCTTCTCTTTCTCCAGGCCTCCCGTGCCTCTCTGAATCTTCAATCGATCGGGGAAGTCGTTTATCGCGCGACGCCATGGGGGAACCAGATACGGGTGGATGCGTTCTCCGTTGGGGTTACTGTGTTGGCTGATGCGTTCCAGGTGTGTGGTCTTCGCTTGGTCCTTTTTGTTTCGATTGTTGGGGCGGGCTGGAATCGGGGGCGGGTGCCTTGGTGGACGTTTCCCGCGCCATGTGTCGGGGAGACGCTCGATAACCGGGTTGTACAAGCTGAGCTTGTTGAAGCGTATCGCCGTCGTCCGGTTGATATGGTCAAGGGAGAGGCGTATCGGAGGAATTGACGATTCGATTTCGAGCGCGTCAATTGCCGTTGTTTTGAAGGCTGCACATATCAAGCGCATTGATCGTCTTTGCACACGTTCCAACTCTTTCTCGTGCGTCTTCTTCCCTGTCCACCACGCAGCACTTGCATATGTCATCACAGGAACAACACATGCCTTGTATAGCTGTCTCAAGTGGACCTGGGATAGTCCTCTGACCGTGTTCGAGAGCATGGTCATTGCGTTGACCTTCGTCATTGCTCGCGAGGCAAGTGTCTTCACGTGGTGGTTAAACGACAGCTTCCGGTCCAGATAGACCCCGAGCCACTTGATTGTTGGGGTAATTGTTATTGTTGTTGTTCTGCCGTCGTCATTTGGTAGTCGGATTGCAGGTGCGATGTTATCTTGTTTTCTGCGCGAGTAGTGCATGAGTTCTCTTTTAGCTGGATCGATCGACAGCCCGGCCTTCTTCAATCCTTCAGCTATCTTCTTGTACGCAGATAGTAACAATCGGACATTTGTGTCCAGCGCGTCCGACGAGACATAAATCTTCCCATCATCCGCGTACATGATGAGGTTGACGTGCGTCGGTTCGTCTGGGAGGGGGACTGCCGCTTGGTTTGGTGGGAACATCTCAAGGAGGAAGCTGCTGTAAAAGGCTGCCAGGATCGGCGACACCGGGGATCCTTGCGGGATGCCGTTCTCGACATGCTTCATCTCTCCCCGGATTCCGTCAATGCAGACCGCAGCCTCCCGGTCCTCCAGGAATGACGCGACCCATTTCACATATTCGATTGGTATCCCTTTCCGACGCAACTCTTCCAGGAGACGTTTGTGGTTGACGAAATCGAAGTATCCTTTGATGTCGAATGTGAGTGCCGATGTGACTTTTCCATTGTTCCACGCTGATTCAATATCATGTGCAAAAGTCAGAATCGCATCGGTCGTTGATTTGTTGGATACACCACCAAACTGTCCTCCTGGGATCAGGTTATGCTTTCCCTCCATGTATGTCAGCCGTTTTGCCACGATCTTCTCAAGTATCTTGCCAAGGCATTCTAGCAGCTGGATCAATCGGTACGCTCGTGGTTCGGAATAGTCGGGCTTCCGTGGTTTCCGTAACGCCACTGCGATTGCTTGCCGCCATTGCTTGGGGTGGAATCCTTCGTGCAGGCATCGCTTGATGAGGGTGTAGATTTCGAGTTGTGCCTCTGCCCAAGCCCATCGGATGACCTTGTATGTGACTTGCGAGCTCCCGGGTGCCGTGTTTGTTGACGATTCAAATATGGCCTCTCGTACTTCCTCCACCGTGATGTCCTGGGACTCGTGGTCACCTGGTAGTTGATCCGTCAGGTTGGGATTGAACTCATCTTCGAGTAGGGGTGGTGGCTGAAATAGGGCCTCTCGCAGGGCCTCACATTTGTCCTTGTGTGACACTGCAGGGGTCTGTCCCGGCCTTTTGATCGCTGGGGATGGGTAGTTGCGTGCACCTGCGGCCCATTTCCGAAAGCCCCATATGTTCATTGGTGTTGCCTCTTTGAGTTTTTCCACTGTGTCATAATTCGACTCTTTTTCATCTTATCATCGACGATCCTATCTTATCTTGGCACGACTTATCTTATCACGGATCACGGCATCAGACGATCCGGGCTAGGGGTTCCAGGGGTTATCTCTATCGATTCAAGGCTGCGCGACATATGCTCCGGAAGGTTCTACTACAACCCATGACCAGTGCTCCATGCGGTACATAGCCCTATGACTCATTAGTTGTAGATATGACTCAGACTGGATTTGGGTATAAATACTGTAGCTACTTGGTTGTATTCTCCAGTCTTCGAATTCACTTCTCTTTTCGACTTTGTTTTTGGGTTGATTGTCACATAATTCGAAGACTCCCCTCATACCCTCGTACCTCTTACCTCCTACCCTGCTCCGTGCACCGCTACGCCCGCTATATCCTCTTCACCCTTACCACCCCACTCACCCTTTTACCGAATCATCTAGTCGCTCGCTGCGATCGCAGTGAAAGGTTCATATCGAGCAAACAGCACCAGGCCACGGGTAACGTTGAGCCCGACCCAAGCCTTACGGTAGCTACAAGGAGTGCTGCGGAGACCTTCGGGAAAACGCACCTCGGGATCATCGGGCACGTGAAGAGCTAGGCCCGGGATCTTTTTGCTAGCAAAAGAACCTTTCCTCGAGTGCTTGTACAGCACACGAATCCACCATTTCGTACCGATTCCCATCGTCATCTGGGAGCCCATCCCCTCCCCCCATCATACCATCGTCGCCCGATCTGGCGCATCAAAACGAACCCGGACCCTCCAACCCCTACCTCGCCCTCCCGCCGCCTGAAGACGAGATCCCCGACCTTGGCGAGTTACCCTCCGAACAACCACCCTCGCCCCCACCTACCGCACCTGCTCCTACCATGTCAGGACATCACCGCATCACTCTCGCTGCCAACCCCCCCTACTTCGATGGCGACAAGTCCAAATACCTGGGCTTTGTGGACGCGTGCACCACTTACATCGGTGCCTATCGGTCAGAGTTCTCGCTGGACGAGACGAAAATCCTCTTCGTACTGTCCTACCTCCGCAATGAGAGCGGCACAAGCTGCGCCGCCTCAAGATGGGCGATGAACTGGAAGCAGCACAATTTCGAGGGCTTCCAAGGACTAAAGGCGGGAGTCACCGCGACAAGCTTCTTGGAGGAGCTTCAGAGGGCCTTTGGGGATTCTAACGCAGAGCAAGTCGCTGCCGCCCGACTCATGGCCCTTTGCCAGGGCAGACGGTCCTTCGCGGACTACATCTCTGACTTCGAAATGCTGGCTGCGGACGCGGGGTACAACGTGGTCGCCTCAACCGATGACAAGGGCGAGTACAAGAAGGGGGATCAGGACAACATCCTCATCGAGTTCCTCGAGCGCGGACTCAGCAGCGAAATTGCAAGCCGCCTTTACAACACCGGCGTCCCCCTGCCCAAGGCATATGGTGCCTTCAAGAACTGGTGCGTCAACATCGAGGCCAATGCCTTGCGCGATCAGCTGCGTAAGGCATCCTATGCGCACTCAACTCCGCGGCCCCCACCCCAATTCCGCCCTCAGGCTGCACCATCAGCACCTGCACCCGCTCCGGCCCGACCAGCGGCCAATGAGCCGGTTCCGATGGAGATCAATCGCACCCACGCCCGTGGCCGCAATATCATCTGCTACAACTGTCAGCAACCTGGACACATTGCGCGGAACTGCCCTGAGCCCAAGAAGAAGCGCACGTTCTTCAATCGGGCCACAATGCTAGAAGAGATCGAGAACGGGGACAAGGACAACGAGTTCCTGAAGGAGATCGCCGAGAAGCTGCGCGAGAAGGGTTTTTGAAGCGCTCCACTCCTCTAGCCAAGGAGGTGGAGCGTCCGGACTATGGACGTTTTTCTGTACTTGTTTCGATTAAAGACATGAACGATTCTACACATACATATACAATCTCGGACTCATTACGTACCAATATTCATGATTTTCTCATTGCTGATATGGAAAAGGAACGACAAAGAAAAATAGTTTTAAATAGAGAGTATTTACAAAGTAAAAAGGATCAGAAAGCTGCGGATAAATTAATTTTGGACTCCTACGTATTTATGGCTCGTGGAGAAGGAACCACGTCAACAAAGACCGAAAAGGGGAGCATTGCTCCGGAGGCTCAATCCTTGAAAAAGGAGGAAGCGCCCAAGGAATCTGCCGAAATCAGGATTCCAGAAGCACCCAAACGCACAAGGGTGCCGGATGCCGTTCAAAGGAAATGGGCAGCCGAGAGACAGAAGGGCCCCCAGCCCAGCAGACTGGCGCAGGAATTGCGCAACTACCAGGCCGAAAGGAAGAGACATTCGATGGACGTATATGTCCAGATCACAGGCCTGGACTCAGGAAAGACGCGCGGAGTCAAGGCGCTACTCGATAGTGGCTGTAGCACCTGCTGCATTGATACCGACTACGCGCGGGCAGAGAAGCTGGATATCCAAGAACTTCCCCAACCCATTGTGGCTCGTAACGCCGACAACACCGAAAACATCAGCGGCCGGATCACGCATTACGTTGACCTAAGGATGAGAATCGGTCCTCACGTGGAGACACGCACGTTCCTTCTGACGTGCTTGGGGAAGGCCCGGATCTTCATTGGTCTTGACTGGCTGACGGAACACAACCCGGAGGTGGATTGGCAGGAGCAAACGATGAGATTCAGCCGATGCCCAGAACGGTGTCACATGAGGGGTCATGAGGAACACCAAGCAATGATTGACATGGATGCAATCGACCTGGACACGAGCGCACCGGATCTGGAAGAGGGAGAATCGATCCTGCTGATCGACTTTGGAAAGGAGGTAGATCTACGGCTGAAGGAAACACCGGCGCAGAAATTTGCAGAAGAAGCGGAAAAAGAGAAGGAGAGGATGACCGAAGGGAAAATTCCGGATCAATACCGGGAATTCGTCAAAGTATTTGCCAAGGAATCGTTCGACTCGCTACCGGACCGACGAACCTGGGATCATGCGATTGAGCTCAAACCCGGTTCCAAAGCAGTGGACTGCAAGGTGTACCCGCTATCACGAAACGAGCAGGTCAAACTCGACGAGTTCCTACAAGAGAACCTGGCCAGCGGACGAATCAGACCATCAAAATCACCCATGGCCTCAGCATTCTTCTTCGTCAAAAAGAAAGATGGTTCACTACGTCCCGTCCAGGATTATCGGAAGCTGAACGAGATGACAATCCGAAATCGGTACCCGCTGCCGCTGATCTCCGAACTGGTCCATAATCTATGCGGCGCCAAGTTCTTCACCAAGCTCGACATCCGATGGGGATACAATAACGTACGGATCAAAGAGGGTGACGAGTGGAAGGCTGCGTTCCGCACGAACCGTGGACTGTACGAGCCCTTGGTCATGTTCTTTGGTCTCACGAACTCCCCGGCTACCTTCCAAAACATGATGAACGACATACTCTGAGAACTGATCAACGAGGGACACGTGGTAGTCTATCTGGACAATATACTGATCTTTACAGAGAACTTGGACGAACATCGGCGGATCACGAAACGAGTGCTCGAATTACTCCAGAAACACAAGCTATACCTGAAGCCCGAAAAGTGCGAGTTCGAACGCACGGAAATCGAATATTTGGGTGTAATTATTGGACACAATTCGATGCGGATGGACCCAGTCAAGATCAAGGGCGTGATGGAATGGCCGGAACCAAAGAGCGTCAAACAAGTCCAAGCGTTTCTAGGGTTCACAAACTTCTATCGGCACTTTGTCCGGGGATACGCGGAGGTTGCCAAGCCATTGACACGGCTGACAGGGAAGGCAGGATGGTCATGGGGTGCAGATGAGCATGCGGCATTTGATGGATTGAAGAAGAGAATCGCGGAGGATGCGGTCCTAGCACTGCCAAATGACACTGGCCAATATCGTCTGGAAGCCGATGCTTCGGAAGGGGCAACAGGATCAGTTTTGAGCCAAAACCAAGACGGCATTTGGCGCCCAATCGCATTTATTTCGCACGCATTGACCGAAACCGAGCGAAATTACGAGATCTACGACAAGGAAATGCTTGCAATCATGCTATCATTGGACGAATGGAGACAGCTACTACTGGGAGCCACGGAGACGTTCGAGATCTTCACTGATCATCAGAATCTTGAGTACTTCCGGAAGCCGCAGAAGCTCAATCGACGGCAAGCACGATGGATCACGGAGTTGGCGGAGTTTGATTTCACCTTACGACACCGACCCGGCGCACTCAACCGCAAGGCAGATCTCCTGTCTCGACGAGCAGATCACGATCAGGGCAAGAACAACAACAAGGACGTCACGCTACTGAAGCCCGAGTTCTTCCGATCACAAGAAGTCACATTCGAGGGACAGGATCAGCAGCTAATCGATGAAATCAAGGCCATTCGATCAATTGATGGAAGCGTCAAGGCGGCCTTAGAGAAGTCACTCGTCAGATGGAAGAAGGAAGAAGGGCTTATCACGTATCATGGGAAGCTCTATGTACCAAGGGATGAGGAGTTGCGGGACAAGATCATCGGACTACACCACGACACCCCTTTGGTCGGACACGCTGGGATCAACCGAACGCAGGAGATGGTGGAAAGGAACTACTGGTGGCCAAGGATGGGAAACCAAATTCGGAAATACATCCAGACGTGCGAGGCGTGCCAGCGGACCAAGACCAGAAGAGCCAGGACAGGGAGTTTGCACCCGCATGCAGTTCCAAACGCGCCGTGGGAAATCATCTCCATGGATCAGATCGGACCCTTGCCGGTCAGTAACGGGTATGACGCAATTCATGTGTGGTGTGACACCTTCACCAAAATGATCCATGTCGAACCAATTAGTACTGACATCAGCAGCGAAGGAGTGGCACGACTAACCAGGGACCGAGTCTTCCGCTACCACGGGATCCCTCGCAAGATCATCACCGACAGGGACTCGCGTTACATCAAGGGCTTCATGAGGGAGACGAATCGGATGTTGGGCGTGGAAATGAATCTGGGGACCGCATATCACCCGATCATGGATGGGCAGACAGAACGCATGAATCAGGAGATCGAGCATTATCTCTGCATCTACGTCAACTACCATCAAACGGACTGGTCGGAGTGGCTAGGGATGGCAGAATTCGCATATAACGATAAAATGAACACATCTACCAAAATATCGCCATTCTATGCGAATCACGGATATCACCCATGGAAGGGAGTGGAGCAACGGATGGAGTCGAGAAACGAGTCGGCGGAGGAATTTGTAAAAAGAATGAAAGAAATACAAGACGAAGCAAAAACAGCACTAGAAAAAGCAAAAGAAAAAATGAAAAAATACTACGATAAACAAAGAAAAGAAGTTCCGGAGTTGAAGGTTGGGATGAAGGTGTACATAGAAGGGGAAAATATCGAGACGGATCGACCATCAAAGAAGATGAGCGACAAGAGACTAGGGCCATACGAGATATTGGAGAAGGTTGGAGCGGCCGCATGGAAGCTGGATTTACCGGACACGGACCGAAGACATCCGGTGTTCAACGAGTCACTGTTGACACCCTATCACGAACCACCCCCCCATCGCCGAGAGAAGAGGCCTGTAGCCAAGATGATCGGAGGAGCAGAGGAGTGGGAAGTCGAAGAGATCGTGAAAGAGCGAAACGTCGGCCGAGGAAAACAGTACTTGGTCAAATGGAAGGGATGGCCGCACAGCGAGAACACCTGGGAACCATCACGACACCTTACCCACGCGAAGAAGATCCTGAGAGATTGGCAGAGGAAACAATCCAACCCAGACACACGCATTCGCCTCCTGCCAACTTTCGAAGCCGGACATTGGGATTATCTCATCCATCGCTACAAACCCAAAGACGAGCGCCTTCCATATCCCCAGCGACAACTCTTTGATCCCTACGAAAACGTCTTCACGCCCATCGGCCTAGTCGATGAGGACATCGACCCTAGAGAGGGGGTAATGTCATAATTCGACTCTTTTTCATCTTATCATCGACGATCCTATCTTATCTTGGCACGACTTATCTTATCACGGATCACGGCATCAGACGGTCCGGGCTAGGGGTTCCAGGGGTTATCTCTATCGATTCAAGGCTGCGCGACATATGCTCCGGAAGGTTCTACTACAACCCATGACCAGTGCTCCATGCGGTACATAGCCCTATGACTCATTAGTTGTAGATATGACTCAGACTGGATTTGGGTATAAATACTGTAGCTACTTGGTTGTATTCTCCAGTCTTCGAATTCACTTCTCTTTTCGACTTTGTTTTTGGGTTGATTGTCACACACTGCCCATTTTGCTTTGGTCGCTTTGCACAGGCGTTTGAAGAAGTTACTCATCTTTTTGGCCTTCCTCCGCAACGGGGCGCATCGCGTCCCGTGTTGTTCTTCGTACGTCTTCAGCTCAAGTTGCGCGTTGCTCAAGTTGTTAACAGCGGTCCGCAGTTCGTCATTCCACCACGGTTTCGCCATCTTCGACTGACGCTTCGGCTTTGCGACCCGTGCCGTGGCCGCTTGCATTGCCTCTGTGAGAGCAGTCGCCGTGGCTTCCAGTTGCTCGTTGGACACTTGCATATCGGGGTCGAGGATTGCGTCGATTGCGGGGCGGCGGTTGTCAAGTTCCTCTCGGAACGCCGAGGACCATTTCTTGGGATCGACATCCTTCATGTTGTATCTCGTCCCAGTGACATTGTCTATTTCCTCCCTGCCGTTGTCAGTTGTCCAGCGAATGCCGTGGTGGTCAGACCCATATGACATGGACCTGTCGATAGTCCATTCTTGGATGATGTCGTCATTGATTGCCCGTCCGTTCACGAACATTAGGTCTATGACCGAACTTGAGCTCGTTGCGTTATGTGGGGTGAATGTGACTTCTCCTTTCTTGTTGATTAAGACGCACTGAGGTCCAGCCTCAGCCTCCATCATCCACTCGACAAAGTTTCGTGAGCGGCGGCTTCCATTCTTGTCCGCTCGTGACCATAGCTCGTGGTGCAATTTCCAGTCCCCAAGGAAGACGGTCGGGGTGTTGCGGGGGAGGTCAATGTTTGTGAGGCGTTCCGCGGCCGCGGCTCGATGTCCGCCCTCGTTGTATGTGTTGATGTAGATCCACTGTTGCCGTTTGGTCTTGATACCTCTATTACTTGAATGTCGAGGTCTTGTATTAGGTCAGTACGCAGGGTGACATTGAAATCGGCTCGTTGTTTGTAATAGGTCATAACGCGTGGTGCTTGGTCCCGTGGTATCACATCCATTGGGAGGATTGGCACCCAGCTTCCGTGTCCAACTGGGCCGGTAATGTCGTTTCCGTTGTCGTCCGCTCCAATTCGCCGCCACGGGGGCTCCTGCAGGAATATTATATCAAAGTCTTTTATGCGGTGATTGAGGAGTGCCTGTACGGTGTCACCTTTTTTGTACGCATTGAGCTGCCCGAACCGGATTGGTCGTGTGAATTGTGGACGGGGTTGTTGATTCATTGGAGTTTGTTGCGCGTCTCTGCGAGATTCTTCAGTGCCATTTCTTTTGTCAGAGTGATACCCTTAGTCGCTGCCAAGTTCATGAGGTCTTGTGCTCTCTCGTCCGTGCTCCGTTCTGGCTCCAGCGGCTCGAATCGGTTCCTGCCTTGTTCTTCCATTTGGTTTGTCGGTTTTGTCGGGCGTTGTCTCCCACCCTTTGCTCGAACTTGTTGCCAGCCGTTGTCCACAGCTTTCTTCTTCTCGTTTGTACGTGCTTCGTTGTATCTTGCCGTTCGTTCGGGGCATCGTCTCGAGTCCGCAGGATGGCCGGTGTCTTCGTGTTTCCCTTTGCAGTTGATACAGCAGATTCGGTGCATGCATGGCCCGGGGTTGCCAGAATCGATGTCCATGTCCTCAGCTCGCGCTTCGGCGGTGCAGTTCGAGCATTGCGCGCGGCTGGGGTGGTCTTGCGAGGTATGATCTTCTCCGCAGATTTTGCATCGGGCCGGTAGAGAGCATTTGGTCGCCACATGGTCGAACCTGACCCCCCCCAACCCCTGCAAGGATTTAATTGACAAATGTCCTGCTCAATCCATTATAAGAGTCTACAGTATTATTGGATTCAGTAAAGGGCCCAAATGGTGTGTAGACAAGAAGTATGAAATCCGGAAATCAACAATTATGACACCTCCACAGAATATGCTGCAAATGGAGAGAAAAATTTGAGTGCAGACAGACTACCTGAAGCAAACAGACAGAGAAAAGAAACATTAGCCATTTCTTGTTGATGATGTTGGCTGTCCCTGGAGCATGTACTTGGGAGATTTGCCTAACAAATCAAGTTGCACATTTTTCAAATTTTTAGTTTGACCTGACAGCTTGAGCAGACCATGCTAAAATGAACCAAGTCATATATATCAGTGCCCCAAGCCAAGCCAAAAGATTTAGGTAAATTTGCACAGTTTTGATATCCCAGCCCCTGCCGAAGCATCAGGGAGTCACATGGCTGTAGCTGCAGACCAACCCCAGACACAGCCTCCAAACTCCTGGCAAAATGAAGGATAATTATGCTGCATGCTATGACCACAGCGAGAATAGATAGATCAAAATATGATGCAATGCACCCCTACCCCTGCTCCTGTGGTTGACCCTACAGCGGGCCCTGCGGCACCCCCTGCGGCACCCCTTGTGGCACCCCCTGCGGCACCCCCCGCAGCACCCCCCGCAGCACCCCCCGTGGCACCCCCCGCAGCAGACCCCGCCAAATGATGGGATCAAGTGCATCACCAGTCCCATTGTGCAGGGTGCATTTTGGGTTTTCTAAGCTCAAATTCATGCTTAATTAGTGTATTTACCGATAGAAATGATACCAGGATGATTTGGGGAAGGCTTCCATTTTTTTGGGCGGAAAATCACGTGATTATGCGCCCATTGTCTGCCACAGCATGCAATGGATCAAGCAACACCTCCGAAATCATGCCGAATGGTGCACAAAAGGTGCCCCAAAAGTCACGTGATAATGCGCCCACTGCCCGCCATGGTGTGCGGGGGGCCAGTAGCGCCCCCGCCAACCCCCGCCAACCCCTGCTAGCCATTTTTGATAATTTTCATGCGGTGCATCACGTGATTTTTTTACCCCGCCATCAGCCGCCATCCCGCCCATTGGATGTGTCATGTGATTCATTTTTTTTTCGCGCCCACCTGCCCGCTCCCAATGATAAATCACATGACATGTACAGACCCCCCCTGCTGACCCCCGCATATGCCCCCGCCCCCAAATGGACCAAATCCCCCCCGCGGGCCCCGCAGGGGGGTACCTGTTAGGTACCCTCAGAGCTACGTCTGAGGGTACCCAGGAGGACCCCCGCGGGGGTGCAACCGGGTGATGGCGGTGGTAACTGAGGTGTACTTGCTGCTGTACCGCGGCTGTACTTGCTCGAGCTTCTTCCTGGCCTTGGATTACCGCGTCATAGATTGCCGGGATGCTCCAGCTCTTCCCAACAGCCATGACGAACACCTCCTCCGTCAGCTCTCTCGCGTTCTGCGGCATGCCTTCCACCTCCAGTGTTTCGCCCATCACCATATGCAGTCGTGTCAGGGCCACCTTCGCGTCGTTCATGGCGGAAAGGTAGGTGTTGTAGAGGCCCCCCGTGTCGCTGTTCCACATATCGAACGTGGTATCCCTTGCGTAGTTGTCCTCATCGTCGTCGGTGCTCATTCCGTCGTATGTCATGTGATCGTGTTCGCGGATGCCGGTGATGCTGTTCGGGTCGAAGACCGGTATGCTGTGGGTTGTAGTCGTCGGTGCCGGTTCCAGTGGTTGGGTGCTCGTTGTGTAAGATGGTTTCTTTCCTTTTCCCGGAGATGAGTTGAGCCCGAACACACCACTCACCCGGTTTACGGCCTCCTTGACTAGGCCGCTCGAGCGGGTTCCCTTCGGTGTTGTCTGCCCTTCGCTTCCGTCTTGGCTGTTTCTTCTTGTGTCGTTTCTGGGGGTTTGAGGGCGGCCGGTGTTTGGGAGGTGTCGCGTGTTTGTTCTGTTCGAGATGTCCTTAGAGCCGGGGCCGTTGCTTAAGTTACTGGTGTTTTTGCGTAGTGTAGTGGTCTGGGTTGGTCCTCGCGGAGCAACAATGACTGGTACCCCTGGGGGACCCGTATTTTGGTTTGCCATTCAATTCCTACCCTCAGCGAGCTTCAGCGGCGGGCCGTCTGAAAGTGATCGAGGTGGGTGTTACGGATCAAAGTGCGGTGCCGTGACACCGCAAACGCCCTCATGATTACCCTCTTCGAACACCACTTCAACACTACATATCGCTCACAGCTGACTATTGGGAAGAATGGCATTCGCTCCGAACCGTTCTCTAGGTCCTCAGCAAGAGCGGAGGCTGATTGCATATCTGGACGAGAAACTACTCGACCTCACTCGGCACAGCAAGACTCGGTGAGTCCTTTCGGTTCAACTCCATGTTCTCCCCGTACATGACCTGACGTGAATCGCCAGGACTCTCGCGAGAAGCAAACTTCAGACTTTGACCCTGTACCTGGAAGCCGCTCAGCCTATTCTGTCCATGATTCTACAAATCCCACCCGTCGATCCGTCCACCTCCCTGCGCGCCCAATATCTCCTTCGATACACTCACGACCTCCTGCTTGCTGTGACGAAATACGAGCCTCTTGTGGAAGAAATGCCCGCTCTGCTCGACGCCCTGGATGATCTCGACCAAGCTTGGCTCATCTTGTTGCAGGGGCAGATCTGGACACCCGACGGAGGGGCTGAGGATCTTATCATCGACGCTGAAGCCGTATTGAATGGACTTAGGTCGTCGCCGGTGGACCAGACAGACCTAACACGCTTAAACAGCCTTCTCATCGCTGCTGTGGCGACTCTGGAGGAGTGGGTCGGTGGGGACTTTTACCGATTCGGCCGAGACGAGGCTGAAGATCTCAATGATGCCGATGACGAAGAACCAGACATGGACAGCGGAAAGTCGAATGTCCTTGAGGATCCTGATGTGCAGGATGGCTTTGACCAGCTGTTCTGCAGGACTTTGCAAGCACTGGGTGTTCTCAACGGCGTGAAAGTAGAACTACCTCCGACTACTCTGGATTGTGCAACAGCCGTCCAAAGTCTCGTAGAGGGTGAAGACGACGACGACGACGATTGGGAGGAGGTGAAAACATGAATCCTACGGATGCTTCAGTTCTATGCCCAGTCGATTTATTGTTGTACGCCAAGTGCAGGCTGTAATTTTATGGAATGTATTTCTAGTCCAGGTCGCCAGATCATGAACAAACATCACCAACTGATGGTACTTTTTGTCACCGGCGCGGTCATGCCAGCCATTTGACATTGCATGTTCACCTTATTACGACCAGCATGCCGTGCGCCTTTTTCTCCCTTGCAGCGACTGGGTGTGCGGCTTCGTTCGGACACTCATAAACCTAAACCGCGCCCCAAAAATACATACCACCAGTCTCATTTTCCTGCCTCGTCCGACTACCGGCCGGAACCTTCATATGGAAAGCGACCTCATTTCCCCGCTTCTGCAAGACCTTGGTCACATGGAAAGGATCGGCGAGCGCGACCACAGAGGAATGGGGAAATCTCTGACACTCACGGTCTCGAAGGGGTGAAGGACGGCAACGCCTCTCAGAGCACTGTGCTCGCATATTTCACGGCCAACGTAGACACCTGGTGCAGACACCTCTCGGTGCAAAAGCGGTTGGTGGACTTTGGAGGAGAGAAGGGAGATGTGAAGAGTCTGTTGCAAGCGTTCAGCAAGGCCGCCGCGCGGGGGGTGTTCAGCTCTGACGATGCATTCGACCAGTACGGCCTCGCACACATCCGCGGGACCGACTCGCTGGACGTCGATATTGCGTTCTCCCGCGTCTTCTTCGCGTGGCTCGAGACCTGTGATGTTGTTCCCAACGTCAGTCCGACAACGATGGAGACTTTGAAGCGGATACACCGAGTGGCATCGAACATGCACCCCGCAGAGGGATACACCCTCGCACGGAGAATGCGACGCAAGTTCATTATGCATGTGGGGCCGACGAACAGCGGCAAAACGCATCACGCCCTGCGGGCACTGGCGAGTGCAAAGCTTGGTGTCTATGCTGGGCCCCTCCGACTTTTGGCTTTTGAAATCTGGGAACGGATGAACCTGGGGCAGATCGTTCCGCTTGGTGCGACTGCGGAACAAATTGCCGAGGCTGCTGCGTTTGGCCCGAGTGTGGATAACCCCTTCGCGCGGCGGTGCAATATGATCACGGGAGAAGAGCATAAGATCACCAGCGATCTTGCTGGTATCTCCAGCAGCACGGTGGAGATGCTGTACGTCAATGCGCGGTACGACGTCGCCGTCATCGATGAGATTCAGATGATCGCCGACCGGGAGCGAGGATCTGCCTGGACGCATGCGGTGCTGGGTCTTTGCGCTAAGGAGATTTATCTGTGCGGAGAGGAGACAGCGATACCCGTTATCCGAAAACTTGTTGAAATGACGGGAGACGAACTGGAGGTCAAGCATTATCAGCGACTGACGCCTCTGATCGCGGAGGATCACAGTCTTGATAAGCAGTTGTCCAAAGTCACCAAGGGCGATTGCATCGTTTGTTTCAGCCGTTCGAGCATCTTTGCGATCAAACGGAGAGTGGAGAAAGAGACTAATCTCAAATGCGTTGTCATCTATGGCAAACTGCCGCCGGAGATTCGTGCCCAGCAAGCCGCCTTGTTCAACGACCCAGACAGCGGTTACGATGTCCTCATTGGCAGCGATGCGATAGGAATGGGTCTTAATCTGTAGGTCCCGCAACGTACCAACGTTGATCTGATGACTGATTTGTTCGTAGGAAGATCCGCCGAGTCATCTTCGAGACTGTCCACAAGTTTGAAGGATTGAATGGCATGCGGCAGTTGTCGGACTCTCAGATGAAGCAAATCGCAGGGCGAGCAGGTCGCTTCGGCATGCACAACATCGACGAGGTACCGCGAGGGTTGGTGACTACCCTGAAGGAAGAAGACCTGCCCATTCTCCGCCGTACACTGCCGGTCGTGATTCCGCCGCTGACCCATGTCCGCGTTGACCCACAGACCGGACAGTACATGGAACTCATGGAGCATATGCCACCAGATGTCAGCATCGAGGTGATGATAACCGCACTCGTCCACGCTGGATCTCTGCCCGTCTTTATGCGACCCAGCTTGAAGGCTGACATCAAACTCTCCTCTGAGCTGCTCTCAGGCTCCGCCCTATCGCACAAGGAAGTGTTAACATTCGCTCAAGGCCCCTTCCCCTGGCGAGACCTGAACGCTCTAGCGGCTATGTCGCGGCTGTTGATGCTCTACCGTCGCAAGCACAGCGTGGAGATTGAGGAGCTCATGCTTCATCTGGGATTTATGGAGCGGCTCGAGGAAGTCGAAGAGCTTATGCGCCAAGACGCGATTCCCGGGGCACCGAAAGTTCAATTCAACGCACAAACACAGCTGGGAACCCTAGAACTCTGCCACAAGTTCTTGGTCCTCTACATGTGGTTGACCTATCGAAACGAAGTCGCCTTCCCCTCTGCAGCCGCGGCAACCGAAATCAAGACTCGTGTCGAGACCGTACTTCATTGGGCTCTGGAGAGATCCACAGCGAAACACGACGTGAAGCTCCTGCCGATCACAAGGCCTGCGATCGGCTTCAAGCCCCGACGGAACAAGCGTGGAGAGGATCCCGTGGATCATGCTCACCATTTTGCTGCCACAGAGAGTAAAGCTGCACACGCCTGAGCGTCCAGCGACCCAAAGAGTAATGTAGCAAGCCGTCTAATCCACTATTTGCACCTGTTATGGGACGCTTTGCAATATGATGGTGCCCTCGTCCTTTCCCCCTCCATACTATCGCTGCCGCCATGCACATTGCTTTTCTCTCGTCCCACATCTTCCTGCCCGTCGTGATCGCAATATGTGCTACGCGTTCCTCGCTTGTGGCCGCACTGCCTTCTCGCCCTCCCGGTTCCACCATACAAGCTGCGAGCGCCCCGTCCAGTCTCCTCGGGCGCGCATACACTCGCACAGACCCATCCCAAGACCCTCCCCTTCGCGTTTTCGAACCCGCCGAAGGCCCAGTCGCGTCAATCCGGCCCAGGGCATCTCTGCTTGACCGCGCGACGCGTTTCCAAGTCTCCGTCCGTCGCATCAAGGAGAGCGCGATTGTGAGCGAGATCGCCGAAGCGGGTACCAGGGTGGCCAGGCGGGATGTCGAAGAGACGCGTCGCATCAACTCCAACCTGCTTTCGCATCAAGAGCTCGCGCCGCCAGCAAGTACCGCCATGGCACTACCATCGCCTCCACCCGTTTCCGGCCCACCCGTCGCGCCGCCACCTTCGATCCCCGCTGCCGGCGCAGCACCGTCCGCGCACCACGGCAAGCCGAAGAAGGGCGAGGACCAGAAGCACGATCAGCATAAGCACGGCAAGGGAAAGAAAGAGGTGACTGAGAAGAAACACCGTCCCGAGACACGCAAACGGCCCGCTCCAACCACCGTAATACATGAATAGACAGACCGCTATATGCGCATTCCTATGTATCCATATATATCCTGGATCCCTATGGTACCACTGCTCGTAATCCTGCTTGCATGACACACTACTACTACTACTATCCCTACGTAGCAATCACAACGCCTCACCTCTGCTTGTTCTTGATCGGTGCTAAGTTACAGTACATCTCGGTCCACAAGTCGGAGAGTTTGTGACATTATTCACGTGATGATGTGACTGTCACTGGTCGGATGACCGTGATCAGTTCTCTGCTTTCCTGATCTTTGGCCATTCCATCTAATCCGATCTCCTCACGGATCAGATACATATTCTTTTCATCTGTGTTGATCTCAATCTTTCCTAGATCTTTGGCTCGGCGCTCAACGGCGTTAAGATTGAGGTCAAAGCGGCCGAGTCAGCAGACCTGAGCGCGGCAACCATGTTAAGCGCTTTACGCCTCAGCAAACACGGGCTGTCAATCGAAGCCCTCCGGGCGCTTGTCTTTCTCCGCTCTTACCACGACACACGGCGACCTTGCGTGCTGACAATGGCTATGTATAGCAGCAGTCGGGAACGCATCGCTGCCCTGAGAAGCGGTAGTCTGAGCCAGTGCTGTGTTCCTCATGTCGCGATTCACCGGACGACTGAGCGGAATGCGACCTCGAATCTGGCACGTATCGCGTCTCTGTTGTGCCGCAGTCAGTCGTACAGCCGCCGAGGAGTCGTCTGCATCTGGATGTGTGCACACGCGCAGTATGCTGGACGGGCAAATGGTAATGCGGCTGGATCTTGTATGGAATCGGAATCGCGTGAGTGTCGTTTCCAGTGCAGAGCTGTTGTCCTCTTCCCAGGCCGTGCATTTATTACCTACGGACGAGTCGGTGGCGGCTGTCCTAGAAAGCTGTCGCCAGGGCCGTCTGCTCCAAGTTTCCAAATATGCAAGTCGAGAAGCGCTATCCCGCTGGGGGCTCGCGGTGTGTCTGCATCCAACAAGCTTTTCGAGACGGACATGGGAACAGTTTTGGGGAAAGGGAAATTCTTGGACGTTGTTGGAGCCTTTGAGCGCCTCGCGACGTGGATTAAGTTGGGCGTGGACTAGCTTCTGTGGTGCGTAATCCAATATAAGTGCAGTCGTTGTCGTTGGACTACGTCTCACCACCGAAATGCCGACCATCCTCCATTCACTCGCAGTATGCACAATTATCTCGCTGTGCACGGCGCTGGCGTCTCTTGCGCGCCACAGGAATCGAGCCAATGTCGTCCATGGCTCTCTTGCGGGGATCCGGGCTGTCCTTGATCCCCCCGGCGTGTCGAAACAGGACATTCTCCGCGCTCGAGCCATCGCCAACGAGCGCTTGGTGCACGCCTTCAGGCTGACGAATGCGTTTGTCAGCGAAGATCTCTCGACGTACTCTGAATTCGTCCGCCGAACGGGGGGTCTCTTGCGGGATTTCGATTGGAACAAGTTCGCAGAGATCTCGCTCGATGCCGTACGCCTAGGGCTGTCTGATTTTCGGATTGGTGATGAGGCTGTTGCATTCGACCGCTTCGTGCGTGTCGTCACACTCCGCGCCGTCATCGCTGGGCTGCTCGCGCCAGACACAGACGTCGACGCTCTGGACTGCACTGATCTCGATACCACGGCAGCGCTGATCAACGATCTCTGGGTTCTTTCCAAAGATGAGCGCAAGATCCCGCCCGCCCTGCTGCATACGCTACAGTGCAGTGTGCGGCGCCTGCTCCCCGATTCGGCGGCATTCCCGAACCCTCTGGATCTGGTGATTCCGACCTGGGAGACTCTGGGGCGTCTGGTCGCAGTGACGCTCGCGCTGGTCCATTCGGACGACGCCGCCCGCAAGGCGTTCGCGGATCTGCTCGAGCACCCGACTCGCGCGCAGTTCTGCGCGCCGTGGTGCGGAGGGATGGCTCCCAGCGTGGAGAGCTACTCCACCGAGGTGCTCAGGCTGTACCCCCCGGTGCGGCGCATCACGCGCGTCGTGCCATGCCCCTCGTCTTGGGGCCTCTTTCTCCCTGCGCGCTTGAAGTGTCTTCTTGCATCCTCCGCGCGGGCGGTCGCCGATATCGAACGCGCCCATCGTTCGGCGGAATTGTTTCCGGATAACCCTGATTCCTTCGACCCCTCGCGTTTCTTGCATCATCCAGAACGGGCCCAAGAGCTTTTGTCATTTGGTTGCAGGCCAATGAAATGTGTCGGGGCGAAATGGGCGCCTATGGCTTCTGCAATCTTGACTGCTGCTATTCTTAGCGAGATCGATGGGGCTACATTCCGCGTTGTTGAGGGACCGAAGATCGGAGGCCGAACAGGATGGGACAGGTGGATGATTCAAGCAGCACACATGGGTACAGCGAAATGAACGGTAGGTCAAGCCACAGCGCTGAGCAGTCAGATGTGAACATGAAAGAAAGTCACGTGACTGTGTTCAACTGTACAACATGCTTGTAAAGATATACCCGAATTCTTTCGTCAATGAGGTTTTTTTTTCTTGAACCTGAGTTTTTACAGAAAGTCTCACAAAGTCGCATGTGATTTAGTCTCTGAGCAGTGAGCACCGCAACCAATCACTTGGAGTGCTCGTTCAGTGATGCCCTTCCCTTCAGTCAAGAACATCTCTTAACGAGCGAATTGATCTATGCCTCGCATCCATGGGCCCAAATACACTGGAATTAGCACGCACACCCCTCAGATACACAGTGGACTTGGGGTTTGACTCGGAAGAAGATCCGGACGAAGAATCATTCGCCTTAGATCTAGGGTGTGCATCAGTGAAACCGCTCGCGGTTCTGACGTGTGAAGGTCTACTGGGTTATATGGAATACTATCCTATTGTGATATTCTCTTTGCGGGACAAACTCTGTCGATTCCTAGATTGTTGTTTACCAGTGTGATGCAATTCTCCTCCTCCTGAATTCCATCTACGCATAATGGAAATCGGAAGATCGAGATGGTACTCCATCGAGGACGGTACACACAGACACAGCTTTCTGTCAAATGGCAGACACATGATCTGCAGGACACACGTGGGAGATATGATATTGACAAGGCCACGTCGCGGTGCACGGCCTTGTGACCCAGGCATCAATGTAAACAGTCCCATGCCCGAACAGACTTGCCTTATACAGCCACCGCCCACACCCACTCGGAAGATCAGAATGAAAAATGCTCTATGTGAGTGTGTGTGTGCGTAACAAGTCTATGAATTTCGTGAATACAATCGGCAACATACAACCGCCTCCCCCTCTCTAGCGCGCTCATAATGATGATGATGATGATGATGATGCTCTCAGACCGACTCCTTCTCCAGGACAGGCGGCTGGCTCTCCTCGACGGTGTCCGTCTTCGAGTCGACGCCAGACGTCTCGGTCTCGGGCGCGGCCTTGGGGACGCCCTCGATCCAGTTGCGCCAGGCCTCGCCGTACAGGGTCGTGAAGTGGATCGCGATCGCGGCGACGAAGACGAATAGCGCGCTGATGGTCGACACCCAGCCGACACCGATGTGCTTGACGGCGGGCAGCACCACCGCGGAACTGATGGCGGCGAAGGTGTATCGCGTGATGTAGTTGCCGGCTGTGCGCGCGATGAGTGGTCTGTGCGGGCGGTGGCGGGGGTCAATAACGTACCGACAACCTCAGCGGAACGGCTTTGCATGACGTCTGGGAGAAAGAAACACATGTGAGTAGGGAACATGGGAGGCATGCCAGGACGACGCACCCAGGCAGTAGGTGTTCAGACTCGGGAAGCAGAACAGCTGGGAAACACCCTGGATGAACCTATTCCCCAGTTCAGCAACCGGACGCGCGAGAAGCGGCGGCCGCGACGCACATGACAATGACCGGGAGCGCAATACCGCCGACTTCCTTCTCCAGACTCCAGCCGTAGATGAGCATGCAGCCGGGGATGACGAGGGCCATGAACGGCAGTCCACTGCGCAGACGGTCTTCCGGGATCCGCTTGCCTCCGCGGATGACGATCCACTTCTTGACGGTGCGGTCAGCCCATCGCCCGCCGACGAAGGTGCCGGTGATGTACCCGACACCCGGGGCGAGGTAGAACAGGCCCGAGTCCATTGGCGACGTCAGGTTGAAACGGGGGTTGATGACGTAGCGGATGGGCGTGAGAAGCGTGTACATGTTCCAGATAAGGGCGCCGGCAGCAAGCGACTAGAGGGGCAAAGATCAGCATCAACCATGCGCCATCGATAGCAGAGCCCTACAGTCGTGGTCTGCAATGGGTCAGAAGTCTGCGCCTCCGGAAAGGAGCAAAACGCGCACCAAGTTGGGGTACTTGTAAAGCTTGAACACCCGGAACGGGTTCGACCATTCGAGGATCTTCTTGGTTTTCTTGACCTTGCTCATGCCCTCGAGCTCCACCGAGCGCTTGTAGTGGATGGTCTCCGGTACGATGAAGAAAACGAGGACCGTCGCGAGACCACTGAGGGCGGCCTGCAGGTAGAAAATCACACGCCAGCTCCGGTATGTGACGATGACACCGGCAATGAAGGGTCTGCCCGAGGTGAGAATAATGTCCACATGATAAACATGGCAACGCACCCAATTGCGGGTCCGATGAGCGTACCGGAGAGGAACCATGACAAAGCAGTGGCTCGCTCCGTCTGGAAGCGCTGTGAGAAACTGCCCAGCCGAGGCGATACAATGAACATACCGGCCTGTAGATGTCACCGATGCAGCTGGATCCGACAGTCAAGAACGACATGCCCGGGAAGGCAGTCAGCGCTCGGAAGATGAAGAACGAGACGAGGTCCGGGCTGAAAGCTGTGGCCAAAGAGAACGCGAAGAACATGAGGGCACTGCTGACGCAGATCTACACGAGAAAAGTCAGCGCGATTGCAGAGAGTCATCATGAGAATAAACTGACCCATCGTCTACCGTAGACCTAGAGAGAAACAGGGTGAGCTAGGGTGACAGATTACACGGTGAAAATCTACCTGGCTCATGGGTGCCCAGAAACAGGGGGAGAATGCCATGAAGATGAGATAAACGGCATTAGAAAGGTTGATGATTGTTCTTCGAGCAGTCGATCAGCGAGAGCTTGGGGGTCGTAAAAGAAAACAAAAGACCCACCCGGTCGTATTAAACGTCGCTGCCACCTCGGGAACCGCAGCGAGAACATTCGTAGAAGAAGATGGGGCCAGGAAGCCACACAACGCCAACACGGCAGTGATCATGGCCTTGCGATGGGCAGGCACTTTGTCGTAGATGGAGTCGTCGTGGACTTTCTTGTGCGCAGCCACCGGCGGTGCGACGGGAGCCGACACAGCGCCGTCATGCTTTTCGCGGCTCGACTCGGATGCAGGTGAGGATCCGGCCATTTTAGGTGAGTTGCGGAGAGGATGAATCTGCGGAAATCGAGTTCAACCCACCTCATTTAAGTAAGATAATTACTCCGGGAGCCGGCAGATCTGTTTTGCCAAGGCGATCAACTCCGAGGAAGCTAAGGCGAGTCACTTTGTTCACCTTATCGTAAGCCGTTGATTCCCACTCTGTCAAGGCTAAAGACCGCCGTAGTTGTCCTGAAACCCGTTGGCAAGGTGGCAGCGTCCGCGCGACGAGAGTCAGGCTCGCCATGTCTCGACTGCGCGCGCTACTAGCAGACGCGCTTGCGCAGACCGAGTCGGTCTCAGGCTGTCAAGTACACCACGCTGCGAGAATTCAAGAATATAGGAAGGCACCAAAGAGACATACGGTTTGACAGACACACGTGAAACCAAGAGAAGTGACGGGTCTCCATCGTATCGATAACGGAAGAGGGTGGCGAGAGGGAGAAGCACAGCGTCTGATAGATTCATGGAGACTGACTGACGGACTGCCCAGTCGGTTGTGGTGCTGCTGAGCACGAGATTTCACAGATTCTCGGATGTCCGAGAAGAGAATCTGGCTCTGGTCGCGCTCATCCGATGCGATTCCGAGACGTGCACAATGCATGGCGTGCATATCGCCTAGCCAAAGCCGGATGAGAAGAAGACCGCTCCCACCCTCTCGCACCACTCGCTTGCACACTCACGTCTGCCGAGCTGGCTTGACACAAGCACATTCTGGCTTGGCTTGGTGCACAGCCCAGCGTACATAGGCCCGTGCGTGGTGGCTTCCCGGAAAGCACCACCCTTGACGACAATTCTGCTTTCCTTTCCCACTGCCGGCGTCTCGACACAACCATCGATATCCGATGTCGTCAAGAAATGGGCAGCGTGAGGCAGCGTGTCGATTGTCGAGATGTTCGTGGCTGGCTGGGCAGAGATATGTCACTCGCGAGGGACCCATTGCCGCCGGACAAAAGAAGTGATGCTCCTGGCAGTCGACTGCAACCAACGAAGTCTCGACAAGCGATCAGCTTCTCTGCGCCAAGGACAGCAGGGAGGCAGTGCACTTACGCACCATCTCGACTCCCAGCCGGTCACGGTGTTATCCAGTGATTCAGAGCGATGCCGTAAAAGTGTGAGGACTTCATAATCCGTTGCCTCGGACCTCGTCGAATGTGATGCGAAAAAAACTCCCGCGCATACCGTATGTGGGGCCCGCTGGGTAAGTTGAGCAGTCCCTGCAAGGCGCCGATACCAGAGGGCGTGTCGTGCAGGCCATGCGTGGCCAGATCGCATCCGGCAAGATGAGCCAATCGCGGCCGCGGAAAGCTCATTATCGCAGATAGCGACTCGCCCCTCGTTCCACCGAAGCCGTCCTACGGGTCCAGAGAGAAAATGATGCAGAGGAAGATGGAAGAAGCAGATGATAACGGAAGGCTCGACTCGTCAATGAGATCGCAGTCACCCGGCGTGTGGGAATCACAGCCCAGCCAAGCCAAGCGCTTTTCGAGCGGGCTTTTCCAGCCAACCCACGCGAGAGCCCTGCCTCGTGCCAGCCCTCCAGCTGTGCGAGTGGGAACTGCGAAACTCGTTTCGGGGCGGCGCATCAACGTCGGACCGGGAATCGGCAGAATAGTGATGAGCAGGCCCACGGGAGTGACGCCGATGGAGCGCCGAGAGCTTGGCAGACGGAGTCTCGGAAACGACATGTGGCTGACATGTGCCATCCTGTTTTCATTTCCGCATGGAGATGAGAGATAACAAGGGTTGATTGTCGATTGACAGCTGCGGGAGATGCCGTGCGACTGTCGCTTGCTTCCGCTTGGAGCGGTAGGAACGTTGGAGGCTGGGCGCCGGTGTCGAGAAGAAAGGAGGCAAGTAAGAGGGATGGCGTCATCCCCGGCCTTGCCGCCGGGTCGATCCCGCTGATGCAAGCTTGCGCTGACGCGCGCGACGTCGCGACCCACCTGTGCTCGAGGTCACGTCCGACCTACGCTCAGTGGTCTGGAGACCCGAGATGCTGAGATGGAGTGATTTCT